AGATTGTTAAAAAAATAACAATATTATAACAAAGAAGCATTATCATTGACTACAAATTATGTATTCTACCATTTTTTAAAAATATATACCAAGTTGTTCATAGAACTTTGTCGATTCTTTTATGTGAGATTATGTAACGCGTTTCGGATTCCTAAGAACGGAAACACAAAATGGACAATCCCGAATTTATTTATCAAGATTACAAAAAGAACCTATTTTCATACAGATTAAGTCTTAGGACATACTACATATTATTATAGGTTGATTCAATTTTATTTGATTTATATAAACTTTTTCAATAAAAAGTCATTCAGTTAACTTTTTTCTTTTGAATTAACATGTTTATAATACAAAATATTAAATAAATTGAATGTATCCTTAATGGAATTTTCGCTCAATTTAAATAGATGATTAAGTGGAAATATTATCAAATGTGGTGTGTAACTATATACTTCATTTTTGAAACTATGAAAAAAAATTCTGCAAATGATTCGATGACGTAGAATGTAGATATATTACTGATAATGTTGATAAATGCTGAAATGGATTTAATCCATGATCTAATTGTTTTATACAACATCTGAATCCGAGCCCGAAACGAGTAAGAAAATCTTCAATCGAATTCGATTTGATTCAGCTGAGACGAATTAAATCAAATCGAGTTATTTGCTTATTCGATTCGGTTTCCATCTTTGACACATTATACAGACATTCGAAAATTGTTTTCTCAGCTTATGTTTGGTCAAATTATTCGATATTAATATCGACGTATCTGTTAATAGTACTCGCTATATATGCTGCTAAAATCAAGTTTTTATATATTATCATGTGTGACTACTGAACAACATAAACTACTGTAGTTTTTTCTCCATTTTCCACATATTTTCATGATGATTTCTCATAGATATTTTTCTTTTTGCTTCTTTTTTAACTTAAAATAACAAGTATAATTCGTTTTCTCACAGCATTTTGCGTGCTCTTTCTACTCATGACCTCACTTTGAATTCAACTATTTTCGTTTCATAAAAAAATACAATTTCTGTTAGCAATTCCAGAAAAAGTTTAAAAAAGGTTACCCACTTTCTTTGGCGATTCTTTAAAGCTAATAAATATTATAGGCCAAATCTTTTTCGATAAAAAAATTCAGAAAACTTAGCACTATCGATTGATGAAAACCACAACGTATTAATTTTGTCTATTCTTGAATAATTTACATTTTGTTGGCATTCGTTGAAATGTGACTTATATTTTGTCTCATCCCCTTTTGCCTATCTCCAAACTAAACTAAAAAGAGTTAGGAGTTGATTTTCTTATCATAAATTTCAGTTGAGTAGAATTAACTCAATATCAAATAACTGAATGCAGCAATGATATTAAAAATGACTCACATATTGAATAGATAAATATTTTATTTAGAAATACTTTCTTGATTTCATTTCAATAATGAAAAACGGCATAGATAGATAATAATAGATGAAAGAATTTTGCTTGTTGAATTTTCGGTTATATCTGTTCGACCATCATCAGAACATATAAAAACATAATTGTTGGATCAACATGTACTACCATTCACATAACTAGGACGTATACCACCATTAACAATAATTAATGAACTTATACTAGTTCCTATAAAATAATAAATTAAATTTCTAAATAGAGAAAAGAAACATCATGTTCAATAGCTGCTGTATTACGCATTTTACATGAACTACGTAGTATAAGTCCAGTAATTATTGTTAATGGTGGTCTACGTTCTGGTTATGTAAATGATGGTACAAGTTTATCGAACAATTATGTTTTTATATGTTCTGATGATGGTCGAATAAATATGACCGAAAATTCAACAAACAAACCTTTTTCATCCATTATTATTTATCTACTTAGGTCTGACCAAAAGTTCTGCAATCGTTATTGGCAATTTTATAAACCAATCAACATTCAAGAGGTTGTTGCATGGATAAATAGTGGAATGTCTTGTCTATAATAATATATATAGTAAATCTATTTTGGACTTAGTTATAGTACTTTTTCAGATAAACTTTCGTTTGAACCAAAAAAAAATTTTTTTTAATGGATAATGAACTCAATCGATATTATATAAAAATTCGAACTATTTTGGGAATAGATCCAAAGACAATTCATGAAGAACTTGTAACAGCTTTGGGACCCAATGCTCCATCATATACAACAGTTACAAGATGGGCAAAACGTTTTCGTGAAGGAAGAGAAGAAGTCAATGATGATCCTCGATTTGGTCGTCCAATATCCGAACTTACAGATGAAAATATTGAACTGGNGAAGTCCGTGAAGTCTCACGAAGTCTGTGAAGTGTAACGAAGTCTTTTGAAGTCTTTTGAAGACCCATGAAGTCATACGAAGTCTTATGAAGTCTTGCGAAGTCATTTGAAGTCCTATGACATCTTCAGAAGTCTTTAGAAGTCTTCTGAAGTCTTGTGAAAATATGAAGTCACAGCGGCTGCAGTCTGTTGAAGTCTGTTGAAGTCTTTTGAAGTCTTGAAGTCTTGAAGTCCGCTGTTTCCCCCTTGACTTTACAAGTAACATTATGAGGCAAAGAAAAAGGAAAATTCCAGAATTCGAATGATTTCTGTAGTTTTTGGCGATGAGTCATATTTTGTTATATATTCGTCGTTTCTAGGTCGAATCATAAGATATTGCCTTGTGAGAGTCTGTCAAAATATTTCACTATTGAATGATCCTCTTGAAATGAAAAGCCACATAGATCGTTTTGTGAAATCGGTCGGAGAGCATCGAATGCTAAAGAAAAGACTTATATCTACTGCGCTTCAGAGTTATAACCAGCCCGATTGGTTTTTACCGGTTGAAAAATATTTTATAGATATGGCATTTTTTCTAAGAGAACGTGTTTAGAGAAAGTCAGCATGCTCTTATCAAAATAATCAACCAGAGTTATTTCAAAAATTGTTTTTTCTTTCTGTTCGCCCACACTGTTTGGTTCCTTTAATCGGAGTATACTTCATTTTTTAAGAAGTACAATTAAACTGAGTGTACAAAGTAAAATGAATGTTTTTCTCAAGCCATTTCCATTTGTCAGTCAATAATGACCTATAAACTAGCCACTTTATTGCCAGTTTTCATTGGTATAAAATAGTTTTTGAACCGGTAGACCCAAACTAGTTGAAACGTTCTCGACCGATTGCAGTCCTGGGTTTAGAGACCTGCGGGAGACTCCGAAACCCGATTTCGACTCCGACTCCGACGGAGTCGGAGTCGGAGTTGGAGTCGAAGTCAGTTACAAGTTCGACTCCGATATTTTTTTTTTCGATTTACCAAAACTTAATTTTTAACATTAGTAAATAGAAAAATAAAGCGTAATATCTGTCACATAGATTTATATCACGTGTAGGACGGAAAGATGAGTGAATCACTTTCCAGTTATAACACTCGAATGATCAAGTGAGATGAAAACATAACAACATTAGTCAAAAAAGATATATTAATGTCATTCAAAGTACTACGACAATCTTCATCATTAGTTCTTCCTTGTTTAGACGAAGAACATCCAAGGCCAGTAAAATCAGTAACAGAAACGCGTTTTTAGGAGCAAAACTGTGGATTTTTTACACATTCAAAAAGATTTTTTTGAGGGGAAAAAGCGACTTTGAAGATGATAACATCCATAAACTGTTTTTTTTTAAGAGAAACTTGAGATTTTTAGTGTAAAACGTGCGTATGTTAAGTCATTAAAGAGCCCTTTGGCTGCTGAGAACGTTTTATTTTTAAATGACATTGTTAAAAAATTTCGGAGTTTTTCGGAGCCGGAATCGGAGTCAAAAAATAAAAATTTTCGGAATCGGAATTGGAATCGGAGTCGGGTTTCGGAATGAAAAAAGTTGACTCCGCAGGTCTCTATCTGGGTTGCTCCCTGTTTTTATTATCGTGAGCTTTATTTGTAAGCGAATTAGGAATAAGACTCACTGAAATCTAAGAATTCCAGAAAGGACAAATGTAAAAATCTGTAGGTATTCAGAAGGAAATTTTCTCACTGGTATTCAGTTTTATCGCTTGAAAAGAACTTTGTGAACTCGCTGATTTCTGTCGATCTGGAAATATTTTTGGGCCGATTGGATCGGACTGGTCTAGTATTTACTTAAAAGTTAAGAGAATTATGATGAAGTTGAGCTGGAGAACACGTATTTTTTCTTTGAGTTTCATAACTTTGGAAAAGAACCATTGTATAGACCAGATGAATCCTTATTGTTTATTGGTATGTTCTGCCTATTTACTTTTCAAATTGCACTGAAGTCTATCAGCGTTTTCTAAAATCATAACCGCCTATCTGAAACCATTCCTATTTAGAGGCTAGTAATTCAGCAATAATTAAAAAAATCGAGCGTAAACCTTTCGAAACGTTTCTGAAACAGCTGAACATGAATACATACAAATTTTTCAATCGAATGCCATATCAAAATCAGCATGACGATGCAAAGCCAGAGCTCAATTGATTAAGATTTTCGATTCAATGAAAATGCGATATAGAATTGATGAATCTTTGTCTTGTTTTCTTCTTGTCACAATCGTACTAAAAATTCGATAAGTTACTGAGAAAAAAATTAACCTTATTCATGAATGATCTATTCAAATTTTTAGTGCTTTTTCTGCTCTTGGTAATTCTTCCTGTTCAATAGGAAGATTTTATCGCTTCTTCAAATCATAATTAAAAAAAGAATAATCAATAAATTATTCTAATTTGTTCTCATTTCACTTCGTTATTTCACAGGTATGACTGCCATGACTTATTATCATTTGATTATTGTTTTCTAGTTTATCTTACTGTTAATTATGTCATTTTGCAAGCATAGCCAAATTCTTTTTATCTCTAGTTTATATCTAGCAAGAAATTACGTAATATTGAATGATTTATTGAAAAACCAAGTATGCTATTCTATTGTAATCTTACGGGTATATATATATATATATATATATAAAGGAAAACCTATTCAATAGAATATAATTATAATCTATTTTTTGTCTTGTTTTTTTTCATTAAAAAATTTCAATCCAGTTATTATTGCTATACTTGTTAAAACAAGCATTGAACCAACAATTGTTAAATAGTTTGATTTCATTGATGAAAACATATTTTGTAATAGAATAGAGAATAATATATTACTAGATTGAATTATTGTAAATATTGATGGATGTTCACGTTTAACTGCTTTTTGTGTTAATATTATTGCAAGTATATGTAATAAACAAATTGATGAAGCACATAGATATTTCCAATTAAAAAAATCATTTTTAAATGATTGCATACTATCAATAAAAAAATTATATTTGTAAAATACTTTACCAATTAATACACATAATGTTACAATTGCATATTGTAACATTATTAAACTATGTTTTGTTTTATATTTCATTAATAAATGTTTATTAGATATTATCATTATTGATAGTGCTATAGAAGAATATAATACAATTATTAAACCCATTAGACGTTGATAATGGTCATTTGAAGCGTTAATTTTATTTTTATTTGAATTTGTATTAAATAAAAAATTCGGTTGAGCGACAAATATCACACCACTAGTTGTTAATAAAATAGCTATTATCATTGGTATGGATGGTTTTTCACGATAGAGAATTGCAGTTATAATTGCTGTCCAAATAACTTGTGTGTAGCGTATTGTTATTAAATCTGGTAATGGTAAATAACGATAGGCAAAATAAAAAGTAAAAATACCCGTTGTAGAGAAAAAAACATTGATAAATAGAAAAAATCTTTCTTCTTTTTTTGTCTGTTGATATAATGAATAATGTTTTATTAATTTGCTATAGATAATTAATATCGCACTATGTAATATATAGCAAGGAATTAATGCATCAAGTACATCTACTTTTAATTCTTTTGTTATAAATATTGAACCTGTAAAAATCAATGCTGCTAATAATATATAAAATATTCCTACGAAACGCATCACCATTGTCGGAGATGATTTAACAGGTTCATCGATGTTTATTATAATTGTTGGTTCTATTAATTTATCGTTAGTTTGTTCTTTCTTATTATCATCTTTCATTTCAATTTCAAACGAATTTTCATTCGTCTTCAATTCAACTGTTGAACTAAAAAATAGGAATTTATGAGATTAGTATTACAATCACATGTTATTAATTGAAGTTATAATCCGTATTCGTTTCATATGAAACCTAATTTATTAATAAATTGAAACTGTACTCAATGATAAGAAATAGAAGATTTGTTTTTATTCATGCTATTTGAAAATAACCTTTCATATCTTTGCCATTTCATTTTCCTAATATCATTCTACAACTATATCTATATTACTGATTTTTTTTCAAACAAATTTTATACGAAGAATATCTGATGTTTGTATGATCCTCGTCTTTTCGAAATTAAATATCATATGTACGTATGTCTATGGGTCATATCTCAACACACACATGAATATAAGACAATTTTTTTACCTCTTTTCATCCATTGATTATATTGCGCTGACTAAAAATGAAGAAAAAAAAACAGCAATGATCCTTTCTCCTACTTTTTGCGTCGAATAAACCCAATGAGCGAACATATAGTTACGGTTGGTTTTTTTCTTTCTGTAATATTCAAAAAATGACTCTGTCAGTTGCGTCCTCTACATTTATTCATACTTACTGCCTTTTCTGATAGATGAATATTACTGGACATTCATATAACTATAATAATCACAAAATCATTCAAAAAAAAAAACTTCTACAGTTATATTAAATCATCTGAAACATATTTCTGATGGTTTAAAAAAGCAAAACATTAGATTAATCAAAATAAACTCAGTAAATCTTTTATTTTTATCCATCCTTCATATAAGGTCGATTAATGGACCTTGTATGCAAGATGGATACAAAGAAGAAATGCTTTTTATTTACTTTGATCAAAGAAATGCCCTGGCATACATCATAATATTTTTATTGCATTCGACGAGAAAACGAAGCAATGAAAAGTTTCTCACAGATGGTGTAATACGTTGGTATACATACAATTAGTTGTTTTTTTTTCAAAATCGCATAAGAAATAAATACTAACAGCAATGACCAAGTACAAGAAATAGCTTTTACAAGGACAATAAAATTCAACCTAAAACACGAGACGAAACTAATAAGAACAAGATATTTGCGATAATTTTACAATCTATTATTTTATAGATGGATCGTGAGGGTGGGATTTTTAAAGAATCAACACACAATAGTTTTCATGTCCCAGAAGATTATGTATGAATTACTTTTCGCAATCGATGAAACAATGAAGCAATCGTGTATTATGTTCGAGCTGTTTTACAAAGAGTATGACGATATTGTTTTGCACTCTGTCGAGTAGCACAGAGTCGCCTATCGACGTCAGTGGTAAGTATCGTGGAACACTTGATACGTACTAATCGTTGAAACAGCTAAGGGTATTAGCGGATTTCCAGCGAGATTATCCAAGACAAAAAGAAGTTATTTGTTCATTTAGCATGATTTTTGGCACCCAATAGTTATGAAGAACTTTGGCGTGACATCGTAGACGACGAAAATAAAAACAACGATTTACAAAAGAATAAATATATATAATTACTTTGTTGTTTGAACAACATTTGATATTCGCTTTCTTTTGTGCTACAGAATATTGGACGTAGCCATGTAAGTCTGATCGGTGCGCACAGTAACACTCACCATTGATCCGTTCGTCGTCAAATTCTGGCAATCATTGTGACTGACTTTCCTGAATTTGTGCTCAAACTATATTTTCCAAACTTTTCAAATTGGAAAATAGAATCTGCCCACTAGCATGCCTATTGCAAAGGTGAACAAAATACTCTTCTATGACCCTTTTATAATATAATTATTATGTTTAGGTCATAGTGCTGTCATAGAGACTTTGCAAGCATTAACTATACAACACACAAAGGTGGAAGTTCAGCATTTTATACGGTTTATTCTCTCGTCACATATCACCACTGATCTTCCATTTGGTGAGAAAAACATGATGCTATCTATGGGTGACATCGTTATCGCTCTGAATACTATTTTTAATATGATTCCTCAACGGATTATCAATCAATATTCATCGTATTGCAAAAAGATAAACTTCGAGCCATTTGGTGAAACTGCTTGCTTCGACATTCTCAAGGTGTGTGCAGCATCAACGCGAAAATGCCTGCGTGGTTTCGACACCTTCTCTGATAACGGATCATCAACGTTCGAGAACCTCAATGATCTTCGCAGTGTGCCAGCGATGTACGGTATGCTCAGTTGGCTCATTTAACACTCGTCATATCTATATTATGTGGATGCCTCCACTGTAGGTTGTCTACATGAAAACAGCTTGACATCAATCATGCAATTACATCAAATGTGATTTTAATTTGCATGTTTCCTACAGGTCGTTCAGTTTATTTTGAAACGATTTACATGCAGTTTTTCTTCATTATTAACTAATACAGATCGCATGGTTCTCATATAAATCTATTCCTCTTGACACTCCAGATGCTGTCATGATATTTATACTTGAGATAAACCAATGCCTCGTAATAAAATATCTAATAATATCGAAGGGGTCGTCAAATATCTTTTGACGCAAAAGTATTCGTATTCTGTGATACAACAAGAATTATCTGAAATGAATCTTAATGTATCAAAAAGTACTATTAATCGTATTGCTAATAAACTTGGAAAAGAGTGTCGGTTAGGTTTATTAAATAATCAGAAACCAAAATTTTATCGTCGACGCCATGTAGCAACACCTGCAACTGTTCGTCGTATTACGTCATATATAAGTAAAGAAAATCCTCCAACAATCTCGTTAATGGCTGTAAGATGTAATATTAGTGTTGGCACCCCTGTTAATATTATTCGTGATATTATCCATGCAAAATATGGTTAAAAAAGGTCGGTACATCGTTTATATCCAGTTGTCATTGAAAAGAGACGATCCCGAGTTTGACGTATGTATCGTCGATTATGCATTGAAAAATATAAAAGTTATATAACTACCGACGAAGCATGGTTTTATCTCGATGCAAGCCAAGGTGTTAGAGATATATATTATGTCAGAAGTGATGAATTACCAGAAGAAGTTTAAAAAAATCGAACGAAATGATTTACATCCAGTGGCTGTGCTGGTTTAGACCGATCTGAACGTACATGGTAAAACTCGGTTACATTTTATTGAACGTGGTTCAACAATTACCAGCCGATACTATATTGAACATATAATAGAACCGTTTATTAAATATGTTATTCCTCGTTTATTTTCTGGTGATACACGAAAGAAAATGATTCTTCATCAAGACAGTGCACCGGGTCATACAGCAAAATGGACAGTTAGTTATATGAAAGAAAAGAAAATCCAAGTTATGACACCTGCAGAGTGGTTAACTAAGAGTTCAGACACTGCTCCGATGGACTATTCGATTTGGAGTATTTTGAAAGAACGGGTAAGAAAACGCAAGATGTCAACATTAAATGGGTTGAAAAATGCTATCAAACAGGAGTGGGAAAATCTTGAACAGGATGTAATCGACTATGCTTTGGAGAATTGACCAAAGCGTTGTAGATTAATTTACTATGCTCATGGATCACATATCGAACATCTGTTACAATAAATGTACAAAAATAAAAGAATAAGAAACATTCTATTTTGCTTCGAAATAAATTGAACGACCTGTACTACAGTTGCATTTCTGATCATTGTAGCACATTTGCTTTCAATAATCCATTGAAAAAAGATTGACAGCAAGTATGCGATTACGATCATGACCAAAGATAGGTTTCTACCAAATGCGAACTCGAATTCGGCGTTTGGATTCGAGCTCGGGTTTGGGTTTGAGCTCGATCTTAGGGTTCAAATCCAGTGTATACCTAACCAAAGGCAAATGAATCATTTATTTCTGATACGAAATTCAAAATAGACATATTGATCAAATTTAAGAGAACATGTGGTTTTCTCAGTGAGGTGTCGCTTCTTCCAATTCAGAAAGCTAGTTCTTCTGAAAGACAATACTGATATCATTTTATGGGATTGCTGCAGAGAATATTTCTGATCTTTTTCGGTTTTTCAAATGTCAAGATATATGTATATGCTTCAGATACGAGCAATGCTGTGTTCTTATCAATGTACTTGCTCAGCTCAACACATTCATCGACAAAAGTTCTATTATCTATTTCTCGTATCAAATGATTCATTCATTGCCTATGTTTATGATAGTCCAATTCGACGTATGTTGTTTGTTTTTTATTCTTTCTTCGATTGTGTTTTAGCAAGACGTATACTTTTCATGAGAAAACATGTGCGTGTTGATTCGAAACAACTGAATTCCCATCGACCACTCATTAAACTTATGTCTTTCCTAACATCTATTTTAGTAATAATTCGAAATGTCGTCGCGTCTAATTAATAGCAAGAAGATCTTTATTAATGTCAACATAAAAATGAACAGATCGCTACTGCCGACATCAAAGTTGAACCTATTTATATAAACTTCATGTGTTCATTACGGCAATATGATACAGATATATTTGAATATAGATAAGTGTACAAATAAAGAACAAATTGAAGTAAGAACCGGTATTCCTTAATTCAGCACAAGACAATTTATTTCTTAATGCTCAACTAAATAAGTCATATGATTCAAAAAACATCGATAAGGAGATCAATTTTAGATTAGACATATCATTTTTAGATATCTAAACTAACATCATGTTTGTTGATCTTCATAAGATGTTGAATAAATCTGTAAAATACTAAAATGATATGGTACACTGTTTCTCATGTAGATTAGTTAAAAATAATATTTTTCTGATTAAATAGAAAAGCAATATTATAATTTCGCATATTTGGAGTACGTGATCAGGTTATACGTTCAATCAACCATACAATAGTCTATTTGATTTCAGCTTGAATTTAAAGGAAAAACAAGAAACACTCGATTTCAAACAGAAATCGGAGTCTGGGGGGGGGGGGGGAAGTTTTAAAATTATCTATTATATATAGGGACGTAAAATGTAAAATAACAACTCATGTAACAAAAACCGGACCACTTTTAGCGGTAAACCGCTGATTTTTACCCGGTTTTCGTTACATGGGAAATAATTCAAAAGCTCTCGAGTCCTACCGTTTATGAAATTGTTACATCTATATTCTTCTTTTAGATAAAAACATCAATACGATTATCTAAAACTTTGAAAAGATTCAAATAATAAAGTTTCGCATTTGAAATAGTTTTGTTAATTTTCATTAGGAAAATGAATTTATGTACAATATTTCACTGTCAGATGACATCAAGGTTGACTAAAAGAGCAAAGATTCATTCCGAATGATATCACTTTCTGAATAGTTGTCCTGATATCTCACTTTCTTCATATTTTGAAGGAGAATTTCATGAATTTTGCTATTAAATAGGCAACATACTAATTAGTTCGATATTTATATTGTTTTCTTCACACGACTGATATTGTCGATTTGAGATAATCTATTATCTTAGGAGATCCTTGTACTGTGTTTTTTGAAGATACAAAATTGTTCGAGATCAGAATACCAGATTCAAAAGTCTTTTAGTTAAACTTTTGAAATATAAACTTATAACTTTTGATAATATTCGAAGCTGTTCCTTTCTACAGTGCATTCTAAATAGCTTGATTGCAACCAGCAAAATCGATGATGTTCAACAATAAAATTCATTTTATCAATTATGATAGATGATCATGCAAGCTTATTTTACATAATATCCATTTGTAGCAGAATTAATAAATAGTGACCAACTGGAACCAATATATTGGAAACCGAGAATCAAATCAAATATTTTTAAGTAAATATCCTTTAACTAGTATAAAAGGAAAACTAGAATAAGATGATATTCAAAACTGTGATCATCGAGAGATTAACAGTATTAATCAAAACCTATATATTGAGATTCAACCAACTTTTATTTGAACTAATGATTAGATTATGAGCAGTACGAGAACATATCAGGATCGAGTTTCAAAGGAAAAATCGACATGTAAATCTATAACAATCAGATTGTGTTGTATATTGAAGTAGATCACTGTAATCTAAAAGTTTTCAAAATGATTTTCAGTTTCGTTAATAGCAATAGATGAAAAGTGGCTCAAATTTTGTTCTGTGCCTTGGAGAATCAAGAAACAGAAAAGAAGTTCAATAAAAGTCTAGAAGATGTGGGTAAACAGTAAAATGTCACTCTCATCCTATATCGTTTATGAACATACAGGATGTCGTTTTCTTGAACTTCGGCATATACCTTCATCAATTTAAAAGAAATTAATCAGTCATAGATTTTTTCATTTTTGTGCTAGAAATGATAATTTTTAACGACTTGAACTTTCTTTCCTTCATGATAATTCATCGTCAACAAATAGTTGTACGGGTGAAAATAAATTTTTTTCTTGATATGTAGAATGTACTGATAAATCAGATTATTTTTATGACAGTGAAATTTATTTTTCAATTTGATAATGATTACCATCCAGACCAAAAGACTTTAGTTGTTTGAAAATATCTTCTCATTCGGCAGGCGTTAGATTAGCATTAGATAATTCACTATGGCGAGGAGAGAAAAATGGTAAACATCTCATCATCTCAAAATGTATATTACTAGGAGATTTTAATGTTAACTTGAATAATGACACCCCACCAAGCGAGATGTTGTTAGAATAGGCAGATAGTTGGTCGTTGTTTCCAGGTATTCCAGACTCCTCTACATCACTCAGGTCCAACTCAAACTGTACTATCGATTATGCTCTATCGAGAGGTGTTCCTGTAAGCATTCAAACATGCGAAGAAGGAACAACTAGTGACCACAAACCAATTTTAAGCACACTAGTCAGTGGCGGGAATGAATTAGCCGTGGAGAAAAACATTCATTGGAATGTACTGTCTCTTTTTCTATCCTATGTTTTTACGTACTGACCAGAAGCGTGATCCAAAGACAACCGTGATGAGGTTTACGATGATTACACTTCATTTCTTTCGCTGCTAATTGCTAGGTGCACAGTCTACTTCTCCCTTAATCGATATCGATTAGTATTATAATGTATTATTCGAGCTAGGCTATACCAGAGTCGTACAATTTCATTTCGAGCTAAAAGAACAGGTGATTTAGAATTAAGGAGGTTGTTGAAGTACCTACGAGTCTCCTTGAGAAATGAAATTCAAGCATTCAGATCCGACCAACTAAGGAAAAGCATAGCAACACGATTTGCACCAGCTCAAACCTCGGCACCTTTTTGGTCAAAGGTTAAGCGATTGTTTAAACCAGCTAATGCATCACTTCATGTCTTCATGCAAGATAACGGAGAAATCATTAGAGATAGTTTAAGAATGGTTGATCTAGCTGCTAAGCACTATAAACAACTCTACTCAGCGCCTACAGTAGTCCGTTCTCATCCTTATGTTGATGCACCTCCTTTCACTTGAGAAAATGACAATGAATTAATCCCACCGATAACTTTCGAAGAAGTTATTAAGGTGGTCAAGAGTAGAGAAAAGAAGCTTTCACTAGATGCACATGGATTATCAACATTTCTTTTCAAATTTTTACCTCCGCAGTATTGGATGTTGTCCGCTGATTTATTCAACAAATCGTTTCGATTTTTCTTTATACCTTCCGCATGCAAAGATGTTCGAATTATTCTATTAGTTACGAAGGAGTCAATTTGTAGGGTGTCCAATTCTAGACCTATATCACTTCTGGATGTCTTCCTCAAAGTTATTGAAAGGCTCTTCCTAACTAGATTTCATATAGTTCTTGAAAAACGAGGTATCCTTCCCGATACACAATCAGGATTCAGATCTAATTTCAGATTACAAAACAGAGTTCTTCTTCTAATTGAACAAATCTCCTATATGATGGCTAATAGCTCTTCTGTTGTAACAGTTTTTGTAGTTTATAAACAGGCATTCGATCAACTGTAGATTGAGGGATGTTACAGTGTATTCTTATAACATATATCCCGATCCTCTCTATTCTCTTCTCTTCGATCATTTCTTTATTTCGTTTCTGTTACTTCTTTTTTTTGACCTTGATTAACCTTTGTATTCTTTTCTATTTTTTCCTAGTTTTCTCACGTGTGTATATAAACACTGCTTTTCTAAAAGAATAAACAGAGAAAGAAGAAAACACATCTTTAACTGTGGTCGTCGCTCTTCGTGAGCACCAACGTTAATAAGGGGTGTATGGGCAAATCTAATCGTATGGGTATACTCAGAGCATATGTTGAATGGATTAGAGTGGTTAATAAAAAGAAGAGGGTATATAGAAATCCACGGAGTTAGATCACAATGGTTCCCAATAGAAAGAGGTGGTCCGCAAGGGTGTAGTTTAACACCTTCTGTATTTATCATATGCCATGCTGATATGGATGACTTCCTGCAAGAATGCGTCTCATTTTACTTTGCTAATAACTTAGCAGCTACGATGGCCGGAAGACTTGGAGTTAAATATGTGGAACAATGCCTTGTTTTAGAGAAAAGGCTAAAAACTTTCTTTGATAATCTTGAATATTACTCCTTGCTCGCTGTTTAGCCAATAAACTATGAAAAAACTAAAGCTCTATGGTCAGCTGAAGCATGGGGCGGGGAGGAGGGCGAGTACATGACGGGCCTCGGGTCGAACTGATCTGTGGGGGACAGCACATTAGTTGGTGCACTTCATTTAAATATCTCGGCTATTGGATGAGCCCTAAGTTGGGCTGGTTCCTAATGATCAATAAACACTTTTGAAAATTCGACAACGAGTAGGAATGCTAAACTCCAGTCGAATCTATGGAACCTCATCCTCTGAATTTTGCAAAGCACTCTTCGCATGCTTCGTCGTCCTTCTATTCACTTGGGTGTTTGCGGTGTTCCCACTCTTCACAGAATGTCAACGTAAGTACATAGATCATTTCTATGCGACTTGTCTGAAGTGGGTATTACACTGTCAACAATGGTCAGATCATTTTTACGAGTTTGCCTACAATGAAATTTCTCTTAGCAATAGGTGTACTAAATATTGGCAAAATTACACTAGAGCTCTAGTGAATACGAAAGATGGTGAACTATTAATAGAACAATTGTTCCTTAGTCTACAAAGGTTTGGGTGGTTAAGCGGTTAAAACAGAGTTCGAGGTTTGAGGAGGTTCAAACAATTTATTCAGCATACAACCGTTCTCGAGGAATGTTGGGACTGGTTGGATCAGAATCTATCAACAAATACAATAATACAGTTCTCAGAAAAAGATATTGATCTGTTAGAATAATTCCCAAAAAAACTTTTGAAGTTGCAGATGGACTTGGTATATCCCCTTTCCCTCACTTCTCATTCTCCGATTATGATTAAAGCACGTCGCTGTTGAACTGTATCCTGCCTTGTTATTCACTCGGACTGTTCTATCTTCTGCTTGTATTGATCTAGTCGTCATTGGTTTAGGTACTGTGGCTCTCTTTTATATATTTATATACGTATATATAGTTTCTCCTTTTCCTATTTTTTCTTACGTTTACTTGTTGTTGTGTTTCTTCTCACTTTCTTTTATTTTTGTTATTATCATATTTTCGTTCTCTTCCTTTCTTCTTCTTTCCATCTTGCTGTTCATTCATCTATTTTTTCTTCTTTCTCTTTTTTTACATACTGATGTATCAAGGTGAACTTTTCTTTGTACTGTTAGGCCTATTAGGGCACAGATCCTCTCAACTGCTTAAATAAAAAGAAAATGGTAAACATTAATTATCCTATTCTAATTTCATGCAAGTAATGGTAAAATCAATTCTAACTCATCATTTTCTTGTTCTTTATGTTTTTATGTTGTGAGAAAATAATGTTGATGATGAGTTCAAGAGTGTTAGAAACTTAGATGCACTAGTTATTCTTGTTTATGATTCGAAGGATACTAGTCAGATAGGTGATAAACATCGATTTCTGACAACATTGTTGACATTTCAAGTTTCATTTTATTTAATTGACTACGATATTCAATTTGAATCAAATATTTATTCATGGATTAGGTTTAACACTTTCTATAGATGATTATTGTCTAGAGAGTATCTGAAAATGACCTATCTTTGCTATCACTAATAGGTCTTCAAAATGGATGACATCAGTCGTTATAATCTCAATAAAATTTTCAGTTTCATTAGCTAATGTTTTACTCAAATCAGCATAAATAATCGATTGATTTCGAGACTACATATTGATTGATTGATGTTTGTTCATTATTTTTCGATGAACGACATTGAAAAAGAGGATTATTGTCGACTCGAATGAGTTTATTTATTTACTATTATTGCACGTTAAGACATTACTTTATGATTAATAATTAGAATCAATCATTCGAAAAGAAAGAATTGTTTGTCTTTATGGAGCTTTACTTGTAGAAGTGACAGATTTCTTTTTTATTTATTAATTACTTCATTCTGCTGTACATTAAAGATCGATTGATTCATTATTTAATCTAGTCTTTTTTTGGCGATTATTCGTTTTTTATTCATGTTTAAAAATCTTGTTTATGCTTATCGTGATCTTCGTTACTATTATTGTTATTTCTAGCAGACTGAGTTTTTGTGTCGTCAAAAATTGAAATTGGAAGGATTTTCTTTGATGATGATGATGTAGACATCGGAGTAACAATGTGCTTCGTCGTTTCGTCGATTTCTTTCTTTTCTGTTTCTTTGACATACTGAGTATTATTTTCAATGGTTTGTTGTTGTCTTAATACATGAGGATTTAATAAGGATGCTTGAGATTGTTTGATAAAAGTATTACATCTATTGTCATCAGCAATAAATTCTGATTCAATTGGTAGAGCAAAATTATAAGGATCAATCGATATAAGATCTTCTTCGCCTTCACACTCGTTTCTAGCATCACCGAAAAAATAATTCATGTTAATACCAGTATAATTTTCTGAATCTCTCATTGGTACTGAAGACGAAGATAGTGTTTCTTGAGTTTTTGTTGATAGACGAGAATGTTTAATAGGTTTAGAAAGTATTGTATTATTTAAATTTACTTCTTCTTTATTAGATGATTCATGAGAGTCGAGAACATTTTCAGATGATATTTGAATTTTAGGCTGAGGTGCAGTTTGAATAAGTGATTGAAAATCTTGAATTCTTAGTTTACTAGATGATGTTAAATCTTGAAGAGATTTAACAGATGATGATCGAGCAAAATTTGTATCAATTGGATTTTTTTGATGAAACTCTTCTGTTGACTCATTAATTCCAATGTTATAATTATCAACATATTGTGGAACTAAAATCAATGCTCGGTTTTGTGGTAAACCAGATTGTTGACGACGAAATCGATTGAGAGAAAATGTTTCATGAAAATTGAATCGAGATATTTCATCAAACGTTGATTTAAGATCAGAATTTTCAGGATCATTTTCAAGAATTTGAATTTCTTGTGTTTCTGGTGCATAATGATATTGACCAATGACTGAATTAAAAGTCATTTTTTCAGTTAACTTTGGTGTTGATTGTTGTGATGTTTTTTTTGTTTCACTTGTTATACGTGGAACAACTTGATAAACTCGTTTAGGTTTATTTGGCCAAATTTGTTTCTCATCATTAGATAAAGGACTATTTTTTTGAGAAGATGTTGACCGTTCATCTACTATAGATGGAAGACGTGGTGAAACATAATTTGAAATTGAAGGACGTTTTTTTAATGTAGATAATTCTTGATCAATCTCACTGATATTTCGTTGAATGTTTTTTAATAAATGTTCACGCATAATACTAGCTGTAGCAAGACGATCATCATTAATTGATGATTGTCGACTTGAATTTGGTGGTTTATATATTAATGGAAGAGAAGTTATAGGAGATCGATGATATTTAGAAGATTTTTGATTGTCAAATGTTAGTATTGGTTTAACTAATTTAGAAACTGTTGTTGATGGTTGATATTGATGTTGAACACGTGGTGTAGAATATGTAGGAATAGGTGTTGCATTTGAATAAGGACTTTGTTGAGTACGCAAACGAAAACCAGAAGATTGATTATGAGTAATTCGTGAAGATATTGAACTTGATGGAATTAGAAAAAAATTATTTCTATAAGCGTTATGTTGCTTATGACGATGCATATCACTTATTTTATTTTAAGATAAAATGTGAAACAAAAAGAAAATAGTTGATTGTTTTTAACTATGTTTGCATGCAGTCACTCTTTTTTTTTTGCTTTTTCTTCGTTGATTAAAAACATTCAACAAATAAATAAGACTGCTTTTTTGGAGCTTCTTTTTCAATAGTTATTCATGAATTCATAAATATGATTGGCTGAATCTCAAGTTAGAGTATGTTGAATTTAATGATGTATTTCGATACAATGTGATGCACGTGAAGTTTTGAAACATATGATTGCAACTATATGATGATCTATTAGAATTTGTCTTAGAAAACTTGATAAATATATAAATATCGTTTCGAACAGTAATCTACATTATTGAAATAGTTTGCTCAATTGATTATTTCTAAAATTGCTAAGGATATCAATTCGTCGCTATTCAAATTTTTTATAATAGAAAAATTTTCATCTATGAACTTGTTGGAGGATGTACTTGAAAGGTGAGTTTTCTGAGAAGGCGGCTGTAGGTTGTTTGCAGACATTTGTTTTTTTTTGCCATTTAAAAAGTATGTTCGAACAGTGAGAAGTATATTGAAAATGTAAACTTTAAAAGAGACGAATTTTATTTTCTTAATCAATATGTTCATAGATATATAACATAATTGCTTAATTATATAGTGCTTCGTGCATTGTTGACATCGATTCCAACATGTTTTATCGAAATTTAAATAGCATAATGATTAGATGATACAACAGATTCGAATGCCTATGTCAGACTTTTCTATTTCATTTTTAGAAATAGATAAAGAAGAAATGAGTCTCAACATAGAACGAATAAAATAATCTTTCTATGATTAGCAACAACAGATACATTGTGTTTCACACTTTGATTCCACAGGAATTGTACTAACAGCTTTTTCACTAGTAGTGTAGATGAAAATGATCAATAACGTCTATTTCGAACGTATCGAACATTTGCAAAGCGAATTATGATCTTATTTAGCGTGATTTAGATGACTCAATTGTAGCAAACTATGATTGATTCAATAAGATGTTCATTTGGGAGATATTTATAGAATGCGATAAACATCGATTACAAAGAAATCGAAAAAAGAAACCATACATGTTTAGAAAAATCTTTCACCGAACAATGGAATAGGCGAAGAAAAAAACATATAAAATAATATAATTGAGTTAACTTATGACAAAACAATACGTCAATGTTAATTTTTTTTTTCTGTATAACAGTATCTGAACTATTGCAGTTAGGTGAAATTATTTCGTTTACTAAGAAACGGTTCTGGAGGAGATAAATGCATTGATGATGATCGACCACGGCCGCCTAAACCAAAAAGATGACAATGAAAATCAGGTTGACTATCAAAATCATCTTTCAAACGATCGAGTAAATCATTTTCATCAGATAATGTTTTTTGAGTATTGAGAGATACTATTACAACAAAAAAAAGAAAGAACCATAAAATTTTGTTTTAATTTGAATTCTTAAACATACGAAATTGATTTTTTGGTGGATAAGCAGCTATTTTGAGTTTTTGTTTAGATATAGGTATTAATGATACATTTGTTTGACTTTGATTAATTTGATTTAATCGTTTCGGTTTTGAAGATATATTCATTATTTCAAGACCAAATGCTTGTGCAACTTCTGTATCATCATCTTCAAGAAAATATTGAGCATCAGGTGGACGATTTTCATTTAATTGATTAAATTCATCAAATGCTGATGAACATCGAACTTGTTCATATAATGATATTTGATTCATAGATTGATAAGCACGTTTAAGTGCTGGTGGAATATATCCACGACCACATGGAGGTGGTGCATCAAAATCAAGTTTTGGCAAAGATGCTACAATATTTATTTCAGGTTTTATTGGATCATTATTATTAATTAATATTCTTTTAGTCTTCTTTTTACGAGGACGTTTTTCATTTATAGCTACTTGTTCAATTCGCTGTTGTTCTTGGATACATGTTCGAGCATGTTTATTACGAGTTTTATTTGTAATAAATCGTTCACCACATATACATTGATAGAGAACAATTTGACTTAAATCAATTGATATTTCAAGAGAATTTTGAAAATCTTTCCTACAATAAGAATAAAGAAAAACAAGAAATATTAATTCCTCGATTTTTTTCTTCAACTTAAACAAATAAACAAAGGATTGGTGAACGATAAATACGAAGAAAGTTCAGCGCACAAATATAAATGAAAGTAAAATGTGTGGCTATGAATTTGTGTGTTAGAGCCTGTTAGGTTGGCCTCAAACTAATGATGTGACCAGAAGATCATGGGTGGTAATGCAGTGCTCTGCGGTTTTGAGAAAACCATGAAAATACAGTGTCACTGATAGTAGGGTGCTGTCCAATCTAGTCTAACCTTGGTTGCGCCACTATTCCTAATGTGACCGAGTCTAGATCCGACAGGTTCTAATGTGAATGTGGACAGCCATGAAGAGAAGATTAACTTCCATATGCACAAAAGACATCATATCCATCTTCAGTTTTTGCGTGCTGAACTTTCCTTGTGCTTATCGTGTCACTTTCTATAAACCAACCATGTTGGTGTTTCAGGATCTTGGTCGTCTAATTTCTGTTCAATTCTAGTTTTTAATCGTTCATAAATATCAATCATAACAATAACATCCATAGCAGCATAATCTTTTAATGATTGTGTTAATGGTCGTTTTGACCAATTTGCACATTGTTGTTTTTTATCTAATTGATAATGAAGTGTCATTGCTGTCATACGTTGTAGACTATAAATTTGTTGATCTTTTTCATTAGGAAAAACTTTACGATAAATATCTGATAATTCAATGCAATGATGAAGTTTTGATGTATGAAAACAATCTTCATCATACGAACATTTTAATTGTGCTAAATCATTTAATAATGATTGAGAAATTTTATATGCATTGGAATGATTAAACATTAATTGCATTAAATTATGAACATTAATACTTGTATTATATTCACGAAAATGAATATTTGATCGATCAAATAATTCTTGAAGATCAAAAAGAAGAACATTTTTACCATGACGATTTCGACTACGAACAGCAACTTGAAGAAGTGATGGTTTACTGACTAAAATATATAAATAAAAAAATTTTCTTCAAAAATAAATATAAAGATTTAAAAATGATATTCAATATTATATTTAGCATATGAATCAACAGTATCTATATATCAATGATGTTCATTGCGACTAAAGGTCTGCCGTTATTACAATAGTATTCAAAAGCAAAAAATGTTTCGAATTTGACTAATGTGACTAGATTGAACCGGAACTGTTCTTACTAATTCATGAGATTCGTCATGTTTTAGGATGTTATATTTATAGACACTGCAATTTTGTGATAATGCATACAGTTGTAAAGTGCTCTTGAAGAAAAAAAAACTGCTGTCATTGTCATGGCGAGGCTACAATGAGCATCTTTGCTATATATATATATATGTTTGAAAGCAAATATCTCGATATAGCTTCCATTATGTGTTTAACTGTTTCTTTCGGAAAGCTATGAAGTTATAATGTTCGCAGTTTTAAAATAATAGATGATCTGGGCATGTGCTCTTCTTCGGATTGATACCTTTCTTACTTCATATAATAAATTAATTATCAAGTGAATAACCTCATATATGAATCTGTGTTATTTGTTTAAATACTCATAATTATAAAAATGTTTATATTAATATGAACAGATTTAGATCGATAGTAACTTCGAAAAGATCTATATGTTAATACTTATTCTTCGCATGTTTTATTTAATATTCGTCTGATTTAATATATATTATACAAAAAAGTTGCTTCACTTACTACATGAACTTTGTGGAGTTTGACTTGGTAATAAATGCCAACTACTATTTAGCCATTTATAATTTTGATTTCGTTGATAATTCGAATGATAAAAACTAGGCATTGTTTCTAAGAAAAATAAACACTTATTATTAACTATTTATCTAATTAATTTTAAAAAAGTCTACTGACCAGTATCAAATGCCAATAATTGAGCATTTTCAATGATGCGTTGAATTTGCTAAATAGAAATTCAAATTAAATAAAGCAACTTTCTTCAAATATTTTGATTACTTCAAGTTGTTTTTCATCTGTTCTTCGATCAATTAAATGAATAGTCCAATCTTTTGGAATTAAATAATAAGATAGAAGACGAATATCATCTGCATTCATCGCTCATATATCACCATTAACATCAAATATTTATTTTCATAGTTCTCTTTTGTTTTTCTTATTTTTCTAAACAAAAAATTTTCTATCAACAACTTAGCTTTTTAATAGTTAAATATTTTATTAAAGAAAACATTTAATCAAAATTACAATACTATCTAAAGAACAAGTAGAAAGTATATGACACAAACTAAATAAAAATATGAGAACATAAAACATATATAACGTCTGCGGTGAAAATTTTTTGGATAAAATCTTTGCTCTTGTTTGATACACTTCGAAACATTCTAAAAATAAATGAAAATAGACAAGCACTGAAATTTCGTACTCTTCCGCGAAATTCATTCAAAAATTATTGTATGTTTTTGTAATTTTTCTATTGAGAATTGAAACTTTGGTTCATATATTAGAATGTAGAGGGCATTCTGCTCTACAAAATGTACTAGTTTAATTTTCAATAAAACATAAAATACTTTAATTGTCATTTTTCAAAAAATTGTTTTTTCGACAAAAACTGTTCTACTGGCAGAAGAAATTCTGAGAGCATACTCATAATTTTACTTCGACATTTAAAAAAATCTATGACTATATGAAGTATTAATAAAATATAATTTTGATTTTTATGAATACTTTTTTTCTATCAAAAATAATATGTATATTTTTCAAATGAAAAAATTAAATATAAATATAATATCATTCATTAATTGCTATTTATTCTTTTGTTGTTCAAATATCATTAATATTGACTGTTTGTTTAACGAATATGATTCAATGATTTAATCCTATGATAATTTCAACCATGCTTAAATAAGAAAACCATTTGAGCTATACCAAATCAAGGAACAATGATCATATATAATAATGAATAAAATCTTTGTAAAAACACTAATTTATTCTTCACTGATTGTTTTACTTAAAAAAACGAAATAATAAGATTAGAACAAAACAAACCTAGTGAATTTACCTGATACATTCGACTATTTCTAAATAATGATGTTTACATTCAAGTTTTGTAGACGAATTTCTATAAGTAAAAACGAAAAGAAATCGAAATTTTATCAAATAGATTCATCTAATACAGAAATAAAACACAAATCTTTTATCATTAATTAATTAAAATATCAATTTTAATTCTTGATTTAGCTTCTACCTGTAGATATGTGCAGGATTATCTTACCCTGCAACGAAGGGTATGATAAGGATTAGAAAATTCTTCTCACTAAGGATACTGAATACGAAAAAACAACTTACCTCGCACATCTCTACATACAGCTAAAGAATCCGTGTCGAAATTTCATTCACATTGCGATACTTTTAGAATAAGCGAATTAAAGTTCAATTACACATTTTTTTATTACGAAGAATTTTTGCTGACTCCTTCTCCCCTACAGAATAGAAGCCTGCCCTATCCGAACAAATGCAAAATAATAATGTAAATCATCGAATAGGTTAGTTCATCACTTTTCGCTGTTTAGTTGTAATTTCTTTTTTCTGCGTCTTACTTTTGTGTTCTACTTGTTGTCGATTAACGAACAATGAGGTTTCTTTCGTAAGTTGAAAAATGTGCATGCATAGCCATTAACAAGAGGCGCCTATTCTGGTACTGGCAAATAGGAAATAGACATGCTTTAATAGCATTCTGTTGGGCTTCTCCCTATTGTGGGATTGTTTATAGTCTAGAAATGAAACAATGTAAATTTTAATTAAGTTGACAGAAATATGAACAAGTCCTTAACTGAAAAATGAAATATCTCATAAAATTAAACGATGGTTGATTGAAACTATGCGAAAATTTATTGGACTCAGAAAACAAGTACCAGTATGAGATGAATACAATATCGATTATGGAAACATTGATAAGATCTTAATTATCTATTTCATAAAAATGAGAAGCTCTCATTTAATAGTAAAAGATTTACTCTACTTCGTTCAAGATAATTAAAACATACCTCCTTGCTTTTTTGAACTATATAATAAGCTTCTGTGATGACATCACTTGTCAGAGCCGTATAGAAGCTTTTTCTCAGCTCATTAGCTTCTAAAACCAAAGTATCGTAACAAGCATAGTTGTACATATCTATGTTAAGATTTAGAAAGTGCTGATGACCGATAAACGTGTGAATGAGAAAAACAGTATAATGAATGCATCACTCAGGTTATCTGATAACATGGAACTGGAAAAGCATAGAGGTCAATCATTGTTCATCAATAGCTATCAAAGTTCTCAGATAATGTGAAAACGCCAATTTATCGAGTTTTGTACACTTCTATGCTTGTAAGCGAAATAAATCAGAAGCTCAGTATACTATTATTGTGAGGCGGATGAGAAGGTGGTGGTATTTCAGTTAGAATCTCTTGATATATATATAATTCCGATAAAATTTTCTTTATTACCTTTAATTCATTTATAGAAATCTTTTTTTAATACTTCATTTGTCTTCAATAACGAAATAGATTATGAACAATAAATTTAATCCATTATTTTTCTCATTAACAAGATATCCAATCTAAAAGAAAACGATCTATTTATATTAAACATCAAAACAATATCACAAATTATAAATAGAATGGAATGCATAATTTTATTTGCTGAAATGCTAGTTAATTGAAAGACAACATAAAAAATATAGCGAAGAATAAAAGAAAGAAAGAAAAAGCAAAATTGTTTATTAAGAATATAAAATATGTTGTTTATTTGAGAAAAAGTTCCGTATAACGTGCAATTAATATTTCCGTAAATGTATTTATCAGTGAAATATTAGTTAATGTATTCATTTGTACATCATCCGACCAGGCTAGATTAGGTCCAAAAACAATTGATAAATTTTTTGTTGTCATCAAATTTGTATCACAATAAACCGAAACCTAAATCAAAGACAAAAACAAGATTAAAATTTCTTGTTAGATTTATTTTTATAATATAATGTAGAAATAGACAAATTCAAGAATTCAGCAAAGAAAAAAGGAGGTTTAAATCGTATATTGGAGGACGAAAAAATTGACAGAAATTAATTTAAACAATGTTTTATTCAATATGGAAGCCACGGGGACGACGCTTCTTCGAAGATTTGGTTAGACCTCCGGAAGATAAAATCTTGCTAAAACACCAGGCCTCAGCAATGTTCAATCCTCAAAATTAAACTGTAATTTTTAAATCGCTGCATATTTGTGATCAAGCATTATACATCTCAAGAGAAAATTTTGCCAAGGATTAAATCACTTTCTTAAATGAGGTTTAGTTCATTAAGTAGAATTTATTGAGAGTAGAAAATTCTGACAAATGTTGTGTCTATAGTGTGTTTCTTGTTGGCTTATGACCATTTTAGTGATTTTTCAAAAAAATGTTGTGATCTATGTCAGATTAATTTTAAAAACAAGCGATACTAGGAGATCTAACATTTGCACAATGAACGAATAGAAAATCGATTTTGAAGGTTTTGTCAAGTCTTGATATAACATATCTAATGTAGTAAGACTCATCTCAAAAATGATTTCTCCTTGAGAAAGATTTTCTTATCAATATAAGTAGTGAAAATGTCAATGAGAACTTGTTCTTCTCGGCTATGCCTTTTTTTCAAGTGCAAAATGTCACCAAGTCAAAACTCGAGCTACATTTTTTTATCATGCTTAGATAGAGCTCGACAAGTTAACCTACAAAAATCTTGTATTTGCAATATTCAAACGATGTTATCATAGTAAAACAAATGAAAATTACGATACAAAAAGTCAGAAACGTCTATAAAAAGTGGCATATACCAAAATCATCAAGCCTCCGTATTTATGGGAATTTTTCTTTTGAGTTTACTCGTCATATGATTAGGAAAAAATATTATAAAAACTTCAGTTTCATAAGAAACGAATATCATATTCAAAATCAATGCATAAACCTACATTAAATATTATACCTAAAACTGATTTGGTCAGAGTATTCGAAAATAATAGTTAAAGAATCTAAGAACCCAAATTTGATGAAAATTAGTTTTAAGCATTTGGTATATTATTTGATTCAGATTTTATGCGCTGACTCTGAAAATGACATTCGTTTCTTTTAGAATTAAAGTTCTGACAATCAAAATGTTTGAATAAAAAGCTTTATTTATGACTTTTTACTATTATATCAAAAGAATCGATTTTGTCAACAATCAAGCAATATTTTTCAAGAAACAATACGATAAGGAAATAGTTTATGTGTGTGACTTGTGGTCGTATATCAACAACATGTGTCACGATGTGCGACACAGATGAGTTGAGTTCAAACTTTTACTCGTATCAACACGCCATTTAGATCGTGTTTGTCAAAACTCGGATAAATATTGAAGCTACTGAAACTTATCTAATTTTCCTAAGGTTCATTACAAAAAAAAAATCGTCTGAACATGTCATAAACAACATTTTTTGTAAGTAATTCAACAAGCTCTATTCAAATGTGACAAGAAAATTTTGCTTGAATTTCAAATTGCCAGTATATTACTTCAATAGCATTGTATTCTATCAAACAAAAAGAAATCATCTTACCAAATTTAAAAATTCAATAAGATATTTTAAAACATTATAATTTTCTGTTGGTAATTTTTCTATAATCAAATCTCGAATAACACCAATTTGATTGTGTCGTTTAAGTGCTAAATAAAAAAACATATATCAATAAATTAAAATTAAAAAAAAACAAAATTCGTATATATTTATATTATACAAATAAAGTAGAAGCATGTCCCTTAATAAAAGCAAATTAAGATATGGTGCAATATAAATTATATGTGTACCGCATGTATAAGCATAGAAGAGAATCGAGTAGGCTTGGTCAACAAATAATTTTCACACGAAAATCAATAAATAAAAATGATATACTCACTACCTGAGAGTCCAAGAAGTTCAGGGTATAAACGATAGGTCATTAATGGTTCCGTTAAATCACGTAAAAATGTTTTTAAAATACATGCCGCCAAATGAACATCACCCAACTGTTGAAATACAACTGGTTCTCCTATGAATATTCTCTTGAATAAGTCAATAAAAAAAAAAAGCACAAATTTCATTCATATCTAACCTCGATTATATTTTTCTTGTACTTGTTTAATCAATGAAACAACTGCTGTTCGACGAAATATTCCTGGTTCATTAAGTCCTAAATAAATCAATTTTTTTGTCAATTCTCTCATACGAAAAAAAAAAAAGAAAATTTTCTTTACCATAGCTTTTAATATAATCAATCGTTTGTCGAACAACAATCGGTATTATTTCACCATGTTCATGATCAAGAATACTATAGAAAAGACAAAAAGAAAATCATTTAATTATAATTAAACGTCATGTTTTTTTTTGTATATCAAATTACAATTGAAGTGAAACATGAAATTTCGTTGATGGTTTGAGTTCTGCCGGTGGTATTTCTATTGGCATAATTGGATCAATACTAAAATGAAATAATTATTTAAATAAAACCAAAACAATAGAGAAAACATACGCTTTAACTTCAGCTGGTATTTTAATATTATCCATATGAACATATTCCATTAATTGACCAAGACGATTAATATAAATAAGTTTACTTGAAAATTTTGCACTTAAATATAAATAATTCTTTATAAAAAAAAAACAAATGAAAATATAAGAGATTATTTACCTGATTATTGAACGAAGAAATGGCCATAAAAATTTAATCCATTTTGTTGGATGAATAATATAAAATGCTTTTAAATTTTTCTTATATCTAAAATGAAAAACAAAAAAGAAAACAAAGTATTTTAACTATTATTAATAGATGACAATTAAATCATACTTTCGATCCATATGAAGATAAGCGCTTAATAACCATCTATATGATGGTCTATTATATGAACGTAAACCATGATGAAAATATATGATCACATAATCCATATCAACATATTGATCAAATGTTCTTAAAACATATCTTTTGAAGAGAAAAAGAAAAGTGTCAAATTTTAGTTTGAAAAAAAAAACAATCTTTACTTCAATAAACAATCATAAAATTTATCAACTGTTTTAAATTCACTATTGTGAATTGCATCTTCATGTGGTAAATAACATGCTGAACAAACAATTGTTTTTCGACCAAATTTATCTTCGCCACACAATTCAATAATTCCATAGTCAGCGATTTTTCTCAGTAAATGATAATCAGGATCTTCTGTATCATGGAACTCCTTGATAAATAGATATATTGATGGATTAAAAAATCCTTATTATTTTACTAACTGTTGTTTCACGTCCACCTAGTTCCGATTCAAAATCATCATCAATTATTCCATCAGATGTTATATTGCCTTTAATAATTCCTTGTTTTTTCGATGTTTCTCCTATAGCTGATGCAGATAAATCTAAATATCATATTTACGAATCATATTATTGAAATGTAATGAAAGAATTAGTAAGTAAAAAAAAAAAATAAAGAAAGCGTTATTTACCACCACCAATATTATTCTCGTTATTTAAAACAAAATCATGTTGGTGATTGTCAAAATCAATATGCGGCCGGAAATCGGCATTATCTAAGAGAAGAATCGTGCAGCAAAACAAAATTAATAAAGCTTAAGAGTTACATTCAGTCAATAAAATAGTTAATTGGTTAATCTAACTTCTTATTCTTACCATACTCTAATTCATCATCATCTTCAATTTCTTTAGAAATATTTGCAATTTATTTTTGGAACTTCTCCTAATTATATAGATAATAATTTACCTCGATCAGCAATTAAATGAATATGGTGTTCATCATATTCAAGTTGTGGTACATCTTCAATATTTGTTCGATTTTCAGTCGAATTATTCCAGAAAGCCTGTTCGTCTATATGAAGAGAAAAAAAAGTGTAATAACACTGGAATCATTCTTTCGCAAGCGTACACAAATGCATCGACTTCAGCCGAATGAGATAAAACTTTCTAAACTAGCAGAACTTGATATCATGATCTAAAAAATATCTTCAAAAAAGTTTAAAAATAATGTCATAATGGTTTTCGACTGGTAATTCAAGTAGTATTCTTAGGTAAAACCCAAGTTCTAGAATTTCTCTATTTCATACGATAGAAAGCTGAAACTTTTAGATTAGATGCTAGTCTATGAAATAATCATTTTATTAAACAGAAATATGTTTTCTTTTTATCGAAAATTTTTCCATAAAAGTCAACTTGTTCGTAAACTTGTAGACTGCCTACTGAAAACATCAAGGACATTGGCGAGGAGAACAACCTACATTCATAGTCTATTCAAAAAAGAAGTAACTCAAAAAATGATATTTCCAAATTGATCCTTAATATTTAGGATCGATAAATTTTCAGAATTTTCAAACTCATTGGTCATTGAAGCAAATACATTTTTGTTTTAGTCTTTATCAAGAAAATCTTAAAATTAAGATTTTCTTCTGATCAGAATCCTTTTTGAGTTTTAGCTTTTGTCAAATTTCATAGTTGAGTAATATGTTTCAACTTGATTCTAACACATATAAAATCAATAATTAAATATTACTCTCATATCGAATACATTGAGTTTCAAAAATCCTAAAGAATCTGACTTTTTGGGAAAATTTTTAATGACAAGAAAAAAAATTCACTTCATAAAATTTTATCTTTCTATTATTTGAAATAGAAGAATTCTAGAGATCAGACTTTAGCTGGGAATATTCCTTGAAGCGATGGTCGAAAACTATCAAAATACCATTTTTAAACTTTTTGAAGATGATTTTTTAGATCATGATCTCAAGTTCCAGTAATTCGAAAAGATTCATCCCATTCGGCTGAATTCGATATAAACTCTGATACATTCACGAAAAAAATCATCCAATAATTATTAAAATTACTATTTATTTCAATAGAATGATGATACAAACTAATCATAGATAATCATATATATTGTCAGCAAAAGTTAATCAAGCTAGCTTATTACATTTAACTGCTCATACATAGAAGTGGATATGTAGACATACATAAATGAGATAAGAAACTAAAAAAGAGTCAAATTGTTTATATAGACAATGAGTGATAAAAGTTTATGTTTTGTAATTACATTTAAAGTCTATATGTTAAAGTATCCTATTGACAAAAAAAAACTTCTCTACTAAAAGAAGCTTTCGATGTCAAACAATAGCTTAAATCAGAAATACATGATTTTTGTAGGACTAACAAAAGCAACATCTAATAAGAAGCATTCGTTCTAAAATGTAATGATTAAAAAATCACAATAAGTTATTAGTTCAACAAATTTGAATTCACACTATTAGTAACCTTTTTTTTTTGTTAAATACAACATTAATGATTATTTAAGCTCTCAAATGTCAAATTTTGAAAGTAGTTAATTTTTATCTTGTTTCTTCAGCAATTACATATAATTAGATGTTGCCTATGTTGAGCTCTATAGATTATAGTCTTGCATGTAGTGACGTAACCAGACGAAAGCTAGAGACAAAGCTCAGCTCCCTTTAACAACAGTTGAGTTGGGCTTAAAAAAAGGACTTAAGCCCCTTACAACTTTTTCTGATTACCTTACTACTTGCATGATAATCCTTTTTATAAATATAATTTTTGATAGAAGAAATATTTATGAGGGTGCGTTTAAAACAAAGGTGACACATATTCTGATCGGTTTTTTAAATAGATTATGGCTATGGCATATTTTATGAGTTCTTTATACAGAAATAAATCAATCTTTTGTTCGAGGAATATTACGCTGATATGCGTCATATTTTAATATATTTATATACAGTTTGTTTGCAGAATGATAATTCTATTGTTTTTTTCTTTTCTTCAATTAGATTTTAAAAAATCTAAATTTCTCAATTTACCATCCGATAATAAATTTATTGGAATTTCATTTTGTAAATCAGTATCACTTGATTGAATTATATTATCTTGTGAGTTGTTCACATTTTTCTTATCATCTATTTGAGCCACATCGGAAGAATTTTGTATCAATATATTATCACTATTGAGATTGGTTGTATCATCATGTGATGATGACATGATAATCTAAAATAATTTAATGTTGATTTTCTATTCAAAAATATACTGAACAAATAAAATCAATCTAATTTTATATGAATCTATTTTGATATATTTCACCGAGATAAAAATACAAAATTGTTCATAATTTATTAATTAATTTAAATACGAAAAAATAAGAAAAGAATTTAATAAACAAAATATAACACAAAACGTATTTATCATAATCATGTGCTCAACATAGCTAAAATTAAGAATGAAGATATTTTACTAATAAATTTATAAATTTCAAAAAAGATCTTATTTTACCACGTTTATATGGACTTGGACTTTCACATACTGCACATGTATCATGTAAAGTTTTAATATATGGTTCATTAACCCATGTACAGAATTCACATAACCATGACGAGTTAATTAGCTCATATTTTTCTACAAGAAAAAAAAAAAAGAATAAGTTCGAATTATTAAAAAACAATTGATAGAAAATCTAACCTTGTAATGTTTTTAATTCTTGTTTAAGTTTTGAATTTTTTGCTAATGCTTCATCATACAAACGATTGAATTCTGATTCATCCTACGACAAAAATAAAAGAAAATTGAAACATTTTGATTTATATTTTATTTTTATAATTATTACTTACATCTGGATCTTCTTGAAGAGAACAACGTTCGTTAGATGCATCTATTTAAAGCAGGAAAAGAGATTCCAGATCTAATCTTTGTGCTCGAACTATAAAAAAAAAAAAAAAAAAGGTAGCCTATATATTGATTTTCTTCATATTAGAACCTCGAAATCAACAAGAAAATAAATTCATAACTTTCAAATAATGTTTTTTCATTTCGATAAGGTTAATAATAGCTAGTATTTTTGATATTTGTTGAGTTACATAGACTATGATTTCTAACCAGATCGAGAAATCCTACTATCGGATTTTGTTAGATTTGCATTGATCTAATAAAGCAAGCAAAAAACTCGATGGAAATTGATTAGAGAAAAACTTGAATGCACAAAGATAGAAATGTGCAGTGCTGGTGTAAATACTGAACAATGAATAACCAATCAAAAGACTTCAAAGCTGAAGTATCTGCTGTTTTCCTTTCGTATGAACTCCATCAAAATATGCGTGAAAGATTCTAGAATAGTATTAATTGGATTATATCAAAGTCTACTGGAATTTATTGATAATGATTATAATGTGAAATTTTATCGGTCGATAACTAATATTTGTAGTCTCTTGGATTTCTGATTTTTCTAGAAAACAATGGATTTTAGTGAAATTCTTTATTTATCTGTTACTGAAATGACTATTATATTAACTCATAAAAAAAACTCGACTTCCGTCAAAATTAATATTGACTTTATGTCCGGACTGAGAAATTACAGAAATGCCGGACTCGGTATCAGTTTACCGTGTCAAACTTTTGGTGACTGACAAAAGAAACATATGAGTAAAATCGAGTGACTTTACAACATGAACAAAATGATAATGAGAAAAGCTCCTGTTGGTTGATGCTTGCTTCTACTCAAATATTTCGAAAAAATATGCATCATAAATGAATAGAATCGTTTCACTTGATAGCATAGTTAATGACGCATACATGCGTCACTGATCTTCAAATGATTAATTATCATAAAAAGCCATCTTCCTATGACTAATTAGAATACTCCAAAGTGCATAGTCGTATTCACATGGAAACTTCTTCAACTGTTTCACATCCGATTTCAATGTTTTTTTTTGTCTATAGATACTGCATAATCTTCTAATAAAAATCTTACAAGAATTTTCGTTCCTATGGGTATTTGACTCAGCTATCGATTTTTTTCGTCAAGGTCCTTGTAAGCTCTAGGCTTTCGAAAACGTTGAGGGTTATTATTAGAATACTAAGTAGTATTTATAGACAAAAAATTCAAATCGAAAGGAGCTAGCTGAAGAGGTTTCTTCATCAATATACCACTTATTCTTACAAATAAGATATTTTTATAATGATTGATGAGGTAAATTTCGGTTGGATCCAAAATTCCTACAATCTGATTTGATGAACAATATACAATGATATATAATGTGTAGAATTCAATTTTAGTTTGTTTTTTATACATGCAAAATTTCTTCATGATTTCCAAAGCTAGAAAGTTGATCATAATCGTCATATTAAATTATTTAACAGAATTCAATTTTGTAATATTAAATAACTTCTTTTTTTTTTTCATATCAAAGATACATTACTATATTCAGAATCACTAAGCAGTGATCGATTAATTCGAGTATATTCACGATTTGAATCATGTGTCGATAATAATGATTGCGTTGACAGGGTCTCCGATATTTGTGTATCATAAATATTTAAAAGATCATCTATAGGTACATCAAATTCAACATTTAATTGTGTCGACAGATCTTTGAATCTATCAATTAAACCTTAAATAAACAGCGAATTAAATATTTTCATTTCGCTGATTAGAAATTTCAACTGACAATTGTCAATAGATGTTGTACATGGACGAAATAATGATTGTTGCGTTTCTAAAAGGTCATTTGTATTTGATATCGTTGATAAATATTCAATTGAATTAGTAGCTAATGTAATTTCATTTGTTTGTACACCTGATTGAGGATTTTGTGTTACTTCTTGATCAATATTATCATTTGGTAATAAAATAAAATCTGAATTAATTTTTTCAACCATAAGATATCCTTTATTTTTTTCTTGATTATTATTATTATTATTATAATTATTATTTATAAGTTTATTTCGAGTTGATTTTAATTTTTTTTTCAGACAAGAAAGTTGATGATGCATTGGTATAACATGTCGATGTTGAATTGTTGAAAAAGGTGCATGTGAAAGTAATTGCTATGAAATAGAAAGAATTAATTTTATTTTCAAGGTTTATTGTTTTCTTTTTCTTACTCGTAGATGTGATCTATTGGTGAGACTATCGTTTGAAAGATTTGATTCAGTACGTTGAATTGTATTTAAATTATCTTCATTACTTGTAGTACATATAAATTCATACATTTCAGTACCAGATGAACCATTACTGGAGATACGAAATAAAAAGAAAAGAAAAAAAGCAAATTTTAAGCAAAGTCTAAACTCAACTTTCTTTTTTTTACTATTAATAAAAATTCTTTGTTAATTGATGAGTGATTTTCAAATATAAGCATTGATATATGATGCCGAGAAAAAGCTAAATCATGAATGAAATTATTGATTCAAGATATTTATTTTGAAGCAACATAGCAATAAGCAATAAAAATGAAACGATAAATCATACCTGTTGGACGAGCGATTTGATGTTGATCGTGACATTTTATGATAGTAATTTGGAAACGTCCAACTAAACAGACAATGCTAATAATCTTTGCCTGTTATCTTTCCACTAGAGGAACTAACTGACAAATTAGGAGATATCCAATGTAAAAAAAAAAATCAATTGATTGATTGGTATTATATTAGTTTTTTCTTAAGCAATAATAGGCACTTGTTCTGACGCTACTTTCAATATGTGTGGGTAGTAGAGGGTAGCACTGTGTCATACGTTGATACCTAAGATAGATGTCATAGATTCTCGGCAATATTATCCATCATAATATTCATGTGATATTATCAAAGAAAAAAACAAAAACTATCCGCAAATTTTTGAATATTCATTCATATTCAGGTAGATATTGACTTGCGAATAATAGCAAGTAAAAACAAATAATGATCGATAAAGAACAGATACTCTTTATGCATTGTAGTGGTGTGATAATCCATGCGTAAATACGATGTGTATTATATGAAGGAAAACCTTGGTCGCTAATTTCTCGTGTAGACTATTTTTTGTTTTTTTTTCGATATTGAATAGAATCAAAGGCAGTCATTGTTGTACATTTGTTTGCACTGCCACCGATATAACACACATTATACCGAATGGTTAATCAGTGTTTTATCGAGATTTTTTTCCTGCGAAGAGGTGATTTAAAATTTTGAAAGGACATCATTGCCTCAGCTCTCACACTACATAAAACAATGTCGCGTCTATGGATGGTTTTTGCTCGGTTTGAAACATATAAAAGAATTCGACTGATTTTTGTAGAATTTTTATTGATATAACTAGGTTATAGTTTGCTTTCATTTCATTCCTAATATATGAAGACTAGTTCAAACAAAAGATGATCATGCATGAAAATTTAATTTTTTTGCTTTTGGAAGGTGTTACATTTATCTATCAGCTGCTTTGATATTACTGCACACTTTTTTTTCTAAAGGTAAACATGATGATATTCTATTCAGTATTCAAGCAATATGTATTAAGCCTTAACATCGAAGTACTTTTTTGAGTGGATAGACCCAGACTAATACTGGTTACAAAATATAAATTTCTTTTCCGAAAAAAATCTTTCTACATAATCGTACTCAATGATTACTGTGAAAATTTATCAGAACATTGTGAAAAGTTTAATATTATAGTAATTATGGTTTTAATGTTTACAAAAACAACTTGAGGTTCATTAATAATTAGTCCATGTCAACAACATTTATATTGCTTAGTGCAATTGATAATTTACTTGACCTTGTGCATGAATGAGAAGTATAGTAGAAGTGCAGAATGGTACACATAGGTTTTGATGGAGGAAAGAACTATAGCTCGATTGTAAGCAGGCCGATAGAAATTTGAGTTGGTCTGGATCATGAGAAATAGCTCTTTGGGTCAGATCAAAATAGACTAGCAGCAATATATCCCGAAGTCTGATAAAAATTTAACGCATAGCATCTTGTCTTAAAAACATGATCAATTTCGACGATAACTGTTGATCTCTTATGCATCATAACTTTAAATTGATAATATATCGATTTGTTGTTAGATATTGATAAATAAGAGAGAATAAAGTTTCTCATATAAACAGATTGTTTCGATAATGTTAGCATTTATTTTCTACAATTTCGACTCTTGCTTAATTTTATCTATGATTTCTGCAAAGCATCATTATCTCTGATTATGAAAATAGTCACGAACGGTATCAGCCAATGAACAAGACACAACACGACTTAGAAAAGAATACTTCTTTAGAAAGTACTTTATTTAGCATGAACCTTGTAATTCTAAATAATGATGAAAAATGTCCGTAATAACACTGATCTGAAGAGAATAATCGCTAGTTTCCTCTACTACTATCATTGCATCATTGAAAGTGGCTTTGTTGCAAAGTAAAACGTCAAGAAAGTTTTGTGAAATCTTCATTTCTCTCAGAAAGTGTCATGCTTATGATTTATATCTCATTTCAGCTATGATAAGGACAATCGAATTTCATATTGAGATAGAGTATGAATTCTTAATGGTAATTAGATAGATAGGGTCCTGCAAAATGGAACGAAAAATTGATCTTATTATTTTGGAAAAAGTTTGAGGTATTCAGGGTCAATTAGGATTCGAATTGATTCTTAGTGGAAATTACTTTCGAGAACTGAATTTATTTTATTCACTTATCAAGAACTTTACTGTTGATGCTTATCGAGTATTTTCGTCGGGCGTATTCATAACCAACCATGTTCTACCTGATACGTTGTTTAGTAAGGAAATGGTCACTCTGCTTGATGCATTCACGAAATCGACTATTAGTAAATTCGTTCGAGTCTTCGAGTTTACTCGCAATATCATTGAGACAGATTAGCTTGCTATTCGAATATTTTCAAATGTTTTTCTTCGATTGCAGAATCATAGTACAGTGAAATTCATGGAAGTACTTTCGGGGGTATTCCTGATATTTTTCCTACATCGAGGTTATTTGTATTTCCATGTATGAGCCTTGGCTCTGTATATGGTAACTATGTAGGTGTCTAGCTTTGTAACAAAACGAAATACCAGTATTTAAGCCAATGTCTATTCCGAAAATATCTATTAACAGATTCAGTACTTGTCTAAGCACTAGAATATTGGTACGATTCTACCTATTTTAGTCTTCTGAATAATGTATAGACTGAAGCAGGAGTTTTCAACATATTTGTTAGCATTCTTCTTGATATTGACGTTCCGAGTCGATTTCCTTTGGATATGTCTGTAGAAACGATAATGAAGGAACTTTTAATAAAAAATTGAACAATCGATGTTTCTTATGATCAATTTTTCGATAAATGCGCTTCTATGTTTTGTTCTTATACTGTTGAACAACGAGTCGACTGATTTTTCGTATTAGTCAATCTCTTAGATCTCTATGGTAGTTTAAGTAAAGATCTTAAATTCATTCTACCTGTTATTGTGTTACTTATCCTATTGATTTTGCGACAAATCCAAAATCGTGCTCGGATTTGTCCTGTTCGTCAACAAATGCAAACGATTAAATTTTGTAAGATAAATGGTAAATAAGAGAAAAATCTGTTCGAACGAAAACAACTTGTCTTATTGTTCGTTTTCAGATGAAACTGAAATTTTTTTAATTTTACATTAGTTATAATCAGAGATGTATCGAAGGAAGAAGCTAATGGAACTCTAGTCTCTTCCCCATTTCCATCTTACAATGTCAAAACACAATCTTTTGAATAATGACGTTTACAGTTTTATAAAACCTATATGAAAGATTGCCCTAATAGACAAGCATTTAATAAATTTTTTTCGGGATGTTGTATTTCCGAATAAGATGAATAATATTCTAAAGTTTTCCAAAAACAAATTAAAAAAAAGAAATCATTGATAACTTTTCGTAATGATAAGATGAATGAAAAACTCTATCCAATAAGTATTATTTATTTGAAAATTTTATGCATTCGAAAAAAAAACTAAAATACAAACAATAATCTATTGACCACTTTATTTTGATTCGGTGGAGCGAAATAAAAATAATTTGATCTATTTTGATTATTGGTCACATAGTTCGGAAGATGAGACCTAATTCATTTTCATCTAATCTTTTATTTTTTTTTGCTTCAATACTGTGTGAAATGATCAATTAATATTTTTGTGTAATAACTCATGATTGCATTTGTTCACATTATCATCGAATTGTTTCTATTGTATAGCTTCTGTTTTGTTTCGAAGAGTCAAGCTCAAACAATATCTATTGAACTATAATCTCTTTGAAACTTCATCTAGTAGTGCTCTTACTCGATCGAAAAAACTTCTGTCAACACGTATTTATATTATTCTTTTAATTGATCTTACAATTACACTTATTTTCTACGGTAGTTTAAGTGCACGAATGAAGACTGAAACGGTCCAGATTTCTTCTCAATCATTTGACGAAAATTTTCAACGTTTGTATTCTGATACACTTTAATGTCCGTATTCGAATATTTCTTTACCATATGATACTTTTATTGTTCATTTAAATGTTACTTTTCATTCAGTTTGTTCGAGTGTCTTAATTTCGGATGCCTGGATAGTAAATTTCAAGTAATTTGATGCATATACTATACCCAAGTATTTTTCTTCACAGAATTTTCGTAAATGGAGTATCCTCTATTTCAAATTACTTCGTTCTTTATGTTCGATGGCCAATGCAACGATCATTGATGCCATCAAACAATTTCGATTCAAGACATTCATATCTACTGAAGTAATGCCTCCGATTCAATTTCAATCACAAATTAATCAAACCATTGAACTTTTTGAAATATCAATGGACACTCAATTTTCTGGCCCATTAAAATTGTTCCGAGCTAGTGTTCAAGGTACCGATTTCATATCTGATCTCGAAACAAATTTGTTACGGATGTATGTACCTGACCGAATTAATACTATGTTCATTTAACGCCCAAGTTGTATAACAATGGGACTTGATTATATGCTACTTCGAGTTCATGTTTGCAAGTCGGCTTTCTTTCAATATCGCAATGGTACAGTAGCCTATAAATTGGAGAATAAATTCCATCTAAAAATTCCCTCTATAAAGTGAATGATACAATCGAAACAATTGTCAATAAATTGTTCATCAATCTTTGGTCGAGTGAAATCTCGTATGAACAATACTACAATACATGCGCTTCAATGTATTACACGTATACATATACGGAAAACGATTCGATGTTCTATTCATTCTGACAACATTTTAAAGTTTTTTTATGGAATGTCAGCAAGTCTTCATCTCATCGTTCCGTTCATGGTGAAGTTATTATACAAATTTTTGTTATTCGTCTAAAATGAATAGATATATTCAGTATTTTCTCTAATGATTCTTGTTACTATTCTCTATTCACATTGCTTGCTGAACACATTGTTTTTCTTTTCGTTCTCAATTCATTGTTGTATCATTTCATTCTTTCTTCTCTTTGATACTTCACCGTTCTCTGTGATCATCTATGAATACTCTATTCGTATCGGTTTCGCTTAGTCGACATGTGCTTCTGTTATTGTTCTTTTATTCTGCGTAATAAACACACATATATAAAAGAGTATTTTACAAAGTACTAGAACACAGAACATTCTTGAATTGAAGAATATATCTTTTATGCGTATCACTTTTTCGACTCACGAAGAGTCATGAGCATCGATAGTTTTTGCCAGTGGCTAGATTAATATTTATTAGACATAAATTCGTTATGATAGGTCTTCAGTTTCTATCTTTTTATCACAACAAATGCATCTATGTCAGAAGTATAAAGTCAGTCTACAGATCTCTTTCCTTTTCTGATTATATAAAATCATATGTGAAATGAAAATACTCAATTTAATCGATATGTTGATGGTAAATTCATAGAACCACTCTTGAGTTCTTTGGGTGTATGCTGTATTTCATAAGGTTTGAGGTGTGATAAAATTTGTTTATATGCAGATACGAAATAACTTCTAATCAAATGTTTTTTTTATGAGGTTTGAGTACTCATCCCACTCTCTCAAATGACATACGATCAGATTATATGTTCTCTTCTAATAATAAAAGTATACACATAAAAATGCGATGATTATATTTCTTACAATCGATCAACGTGTTTTTCTTTTAAGATTTTGTTATAAAGTGCAGAACATTTCTACATAAAACATTGTGTAATAGAAACTGATAATTATTTATCTTATTCGATTATTCCACGCTCATCACTCTCTACTGGATGACATAGAAAGAATAATGATTGTATTTTAGACTATTGATGAATTATTTAATAAATGTGGTTTAGCTCAGAAAGGTGACGATAGAATTGCTGGTATATGATCTAGTGAAAGTTTAGGGGAATTATTTAAAAAAAGTAGTAGTAGAAGAACAATTTTCAATCTTTAAGGAATGCCTAAGGCCATCGATCCGTAAGAACTCATTAAAACAAAAGATTTTTTTTGATAAGTGCTCATAGATCAACATTTTTTCCTTTGTGTATTTTCATCAATTTTCACAATAATATCAACTCAAATAATATCAAATTGTAGCCGAAGTGACTCTTTTTTCGCTCTAAAATTACCACGTTTTTTTCTACATACGCTTAGAATAAATGATTGAAGTATAATGAAATATATGATCATTTTATAGTGAAAAAAGGGCCATTTCAGCTACATTTTGATATAATTTGCGTTGAGATTATTGTAAAAATGACAGCGTTTTGTATTTTATTTTTTCATCATGTAATATGTTTTATTAAAAGACAAAATATACCACAGGATAGAGCATGAAAAGTTTCACAATCTACTATACGAAGCTTATTTTATATATGCACTCTGACTTTTTAAAATGAACATATTTTGTGTGACCAGTTTTCGATGTAGGGAACAACATCATTTGTTGATAGACAACGAATTATTTTTCTTATTTCATCAATTAATGAATCATAGTGCTTACCTTTATTCCATTAGCTACATTTCGTAATTTTGTAGCAATATAAATTGATGTCATGTCATCATCATTCATTTGAATAACTACTTTTCGTAGGTATTCAGATTTTACTTAGGGCAGTCCAAAAGTAGTGGCGGAGGTACTTTATTTTCTTACAAAAAGCTTTAAAAAAATGTCTTTTTTTCATGAACAGATAGAGCGTCTTTCGCTCTATTTTTTTATGCTATTTGATCACTATTCAACTGGTATCATAATAATAAAATTTCGATAAGATCTGTTTTCTTCGCATATGTGCTGGTAGTATGAATGCTCGTGAGTATTTTTTGAATAAAGTTTGATAGAAACAGGATAGAGAACTGCGGTTTTCACCGTTGGAAAGAAGAGTTGAAGATGCATCGAACCATGTATTACTGATTTTTCTAACTTGTTTTCTATAAGATTTTCAATTGACCTTTTAAAGAACAAACCTATCCTGTGAATTGTTTACAGTGAATTTTCAATAATAAGGTTCTCATTCAAACCGCTAATTGCAGATATACAAAGTGCGAAAGACTCAGATGTTTAAGTTCACCTATTTTGAGATAATACGTATTCCAGATGGACGTGTACTACGATTTTTTATTGAATTTTTTGCTTTTGTCTTTTTTCATAAAACAACATTTTCCCGAAGGTTAGAGAATTGAATGAAAAAACTTCAAAAATAATATTAGGAAAATCAGTAATATATGGTTCGATGCATCATCATCTCCTCTTTCCAACGGTGAAAACCGCAGTTCTCTATCCTGTTTCTATCAAACTTTATTCAAAAAATACTCACGAGCATTCATACTACCAGCACATATGCGAAGAAAACAGATCTTATCGAAATTTTATTATTATGATACCAGTTGAATAGTGATCAAATAGCATAGAAAAATAGAGCGAAAGACGCTCTATCTGTTCATAAAAAAATACATTTTTTTAAAGCTTTCTGTAAGAAAATAAAGTACCTGCGCCACTACTTTTGGACTGCCCTAAGTATTTCCTTTTATTCACCAAACAGACTTATACAAATATGATTTATTATTATTATGAAGTTCGTATATCCGTCTAACAAATGACATGAAAGTGAAAAAAAATTTAATCGAAACACATCAATAGGTCTAAAACCAGCCATGGATATGACTCCTTAACCAAAGAAATAAAATACAAAACATAGCCGTTTATTCTAGCCTATTCCCTAGTTTCTATGAATGAGCTAATGATCTAGCAGTAGAGTTCGTCGAATCCGAACCCGAATTTCGAAAATGTTTGCACACGACGGACTCTACACAATAGGCTATGAAAGGTTAATAAATAATTATTTTTAGTCTATGCAAATCTTTACGAACTATTCATGTATATATAGCGAGTAGATATAAGAATTTCCATGTATTCATTTTCATATTGATTTAATCATGAGGAAAAAAAAGTATTATAACTGGTTTTGAGTGACATCTAGCATTACGATGAATAATAATGTTTTCATGACGACAACTAAGAAAAAACAGTTTGTTATGAAAGTCATGGTTATTTCTGGATTCTTCTACAGTCACTTTTCATATAAATTTTAGAAAAAAAAGAAAAAAAAAGATAATTTTTTATTCTCAGGATGCTTACCGAAAGTGAAATGAATCGTAATATTGTTCTTCTTGCTGATCCAAACAAAATTACACGACAAAAAGCTCTTCAAAATCTATGTAATGATCTTAAATCATCATTATCCATCAATGATAATAATGATCATTTACATCCACCATCCAATATAATCGAATCTATGCTTAAAATATTTTCTGATCCAGCTGAAAAAAATCGTGATCTTGCATTAACATATATTTCAATGTATGTTACAAAATATTGTACGGATGAAAATAATATTGATAAAATTTTAACATTATTAATGCCAGCATTTGTACAACGACTTGGAACAAATGATATTATTGAACCATCTGAAGAAATACGTTTAAATTCTATATCACTTCTATCTGAACTTTGTCGAATATATACTAATGGTAATAAATTAGCATTATATTTAAATGAATGGATAACAATATTAAAACGAACTATAATTGATCCATATCCTGAAGTAAGAAAATTAAGTTGTGAATTAACATCAAAACTTTCATTTAAATGTCATGAAAAATTTCATCTTATGTCAGAAAATCTTATTAAACCAATTATAGAAACAATGAAACATCAACACGCTAAAGTACGTGTTGAAGCAATAAATGCACTTGGTAAAATTTTTTTTTTTTTTTGTTTAAAATGAAAATAATATTTATTAATATTTTTGTTATTATTTTTTTTTTTTCCTCAAAGGAAATGTTATTCGATATGGAAATAATAAATCTATTGAAGATAGTATATCACCATTAGCACAACGATTTTTTGATCATACAAGTACTGTACGTCTTGCTGTTATTAATGTTGTTGGTATATGGATGCTTGAATTACGTGATCGTTATTCATATTTCCATATGATGTTACCACTTTTATTAACTGGTTATACAGATGAAATAGAAGAAATTCGTGAAACAACAGATTCACTTTGGTGGGATGTTGGTAAAGTTTTAAATTATAAAAGAAAAAGAGAAAAAAAAATTATTTAATATTTTCTGTTGTTTATTTAGGATTAAAATATGAGAAAGAAAATGAAGAAGATCTTAAAGATCAAATTAATTTTCCAAATATTCCAAAAAAATATCCACCTACTTGTATGTTAATATATGCATTGATTTTTTTTTCTTTTCCTTCTATAATTTACCTAAAAAGATTTGACAGTAATTGACAGTTATTCATTTATATCAACTTATAACTTTTTCTTTCAAATACAATCAGTAATTTTCTATAGAACATGTCAATTACGGTCTGTCAAAATCGCATTTTCTCTTAAAAAATATTAATGTCTATCATTAATGATGAATGACTGATAGAAAACGAAAGCCGAAAAAGAATTTTCGATGAAGAACTTTGCAGAAGACCTCAAAACTCTAAAACTTTGTCAGAAAAAAAGACGAACATATAGAAGAATTTTCTGGCAGAGTTTCGAACTGACTTGTGAAGCAGACATTGATTTTATTAAAATTGTAGTTAGAACAATCATTGTGTAAAAAAAAACATTTTCTCTTATGGACTCATCAACGATAATAAAACACTGTTTCTCTATTAATTGACAGCGGGCATTATGCAAATTTATCATATTTATTGGTTTCGATTACTATTACAGTGAATTCTATAAAAAAAATATAAACCCTAGCAATTAGTCGATGGTTCGAGATACATGTAGCACTATTCGATTGATGTGCCGGACATAATAGAAGATTTGACATGGCCACCTGTAGTTCGCGCGAACCTTTCCCAGTTTCATCCTACTTTTATAAGTACTCAATATTCGATGAAGCTGCTCATCATTCAGGTATGTGTTGATAATATTTGCCAGTTATCCCTAACTATTATTATTTATATAAGTTGATCAACCAGAAGTACATGTAAACATCTGTTGACTACCTCGTATTCGCTTGGACTTCAGGAAGATGCATTGTTATGTTATGCGTTCATAACATTTAATCGAACTATGTCCTTCTAGGTATGTGTTGAGGACAATCAGTACAGTACATTGACAACATCAGTCAATCATAGACAATTGTTAACAGTTCAATGTATATATTAAGAGTGAATGTATGACTTCAAACTCTTTGAAAATCGAGAATGATAAAACCAGAGAAAAAGACGATATGAATAGATTTCAAACTAACTGCTTTTCAGTTTGTTCTTCTTGTAATTAAGTCGTCATATTTGCATGATGAAATAGCAACAACTTCGTGTCATATTTATAGATTGAGGTTCGCATGGATCTAAGGTGGTTCTGTCAGGGTTAATTAAGAAGTTTCTCGCAAAATTGAAAGTTTAATTAGTTTATGTACATCAAAATATACCAAGTTAACAAGGTTTTGAGTTAAAAGACCGAGATCACTATAATTTGAAAATTCTAAAAATGTGTTGTAAAATTTTCAACATATCTTATATTTTTTAAGAAACCTTTTTAATTAAAAATAATAAAAAATAAATGAAACGCAATAGAAAATCGCTTTGGAAAGAGATTTATTATTATTTCTATCTTTGTTACACTTCAAATAGTATTTGATGTGTGATAACAAAAAACAATAAAGAGATTAAATTTCCAAGTAGTGTGTTCGATAATCTAACCATCGATTGAACAACTACTGATTCCATCTGAAGTATTTCAATTACAAAATTCATATATAGTACTTTTCGACTATTCACATACAACGCTAGTTTTCGAAATATACTTTGTTGAGCACGACGAAATGCACTAACCTAAGTTCCTCGAGTCCAAAATTTTCGGACCTGAACCCGGTCGAACCCATACTATGATACTGTGAATGAAACTTTCTAATCTGAAATACTTTTTTCCCAATTTTTTTGTATTTCATGACTAGAGCTCGTTGGATTCAGGTCCAGGACCAACTCAACAAGCTTTGGTACCAACCGATCATAGGAATAAGGTAAACTTAGGCCCGATTCAATCCGAAATTCTGACCTTCAATCGTATACACCAAAATCTCTAAGAAGTATCTAAATGATAAATCTCTATTATTCATCTCTGCCCATTAGTGTACTGGCTTAGCTGCAGAGTCAGATAATAATAATCATCAAAAGAAATATTTTCCTTTTTTTTTTGTTTTAGTAACACGACCAAATCTTGGTTGTCGTGAATTAGTTAAAAGAAATTTAATACGAATTCTTCCTGCTATTCGTAATGATTTAACTGATTGGGTTGTAGCAGGACGTATAAAAGCTTCTCAATTACTTGTTATTTTAACTTGGCAAGCTGAAGAAACTATAACTCAACATTTAGAAGATACACTTCAAGTTTGTTCAAAAGCACTTGTTGATGATGAATCAATTGTTCGTGAACAAGTAAAAATTAAATTAAATTTAAAAAAAAAAAATTTTTCATTTTTCTAAACAAATAATATATTTTTATTTTTTCTATATAAATAGATAAATAAAACATTAATTTATATTGGCTATTTTGTACCAATTAATATTTGGTTTAATTTAATTCGATCACATTTTGAACAAGCATCAAATTTAGGTTTACTTTGTTTAATTGCACCACTTTTAACAGGTGTAACTTGTGACGAATTAATACAAGCGGAAAAAATTTTCGATCAATTACTCACAATTATTCTTAAATCAGAATATACTGATAATTTTCAAGTAAATAATTGTTTTAAAAAGGAAATTTCTTCATTGATTTTTTTTTGTTTGTTAAGGTACCAATACAAAATGAACTTTTACGTATTTGTCGACTTTTAATTGAAAAATGTCAACGTCAATTAGAGTCATATGCATATCGAATATTTAAATGTATTTTAAGTCTTTTATCAATTGCTGAAAATGATGAATTAAAACAACAAGTATAAACTACTAAACATGTTTTTGTTTCTTATTTAATTATTTTTATTTTTCGTTTAGTGTCAACAAACATTGAATGATTTAGCAGTAAATACATTTGAAAATAGTTCTTTAAATGAAATGTATGAAAAATTTGCTTCACAATTATTTGATGATCTTAAACAAACATCAAATGATTGGTTAAGAAGTACTCGAGATCGTTTTATATTTGAAACATTTATTATGCAAGCAGGTAAAATATACATAAACTGAAGGAAAAAAAAGTTTAGAAACGAAGTATTTTTGACTTTTTTCTTTAATGGTAACAGTTAAAAGATAATCGAAGAAAATATTTGATGAGCTGAAACGATTTCCTCTGTGAAGGCATACTCATCGAATTACTTATTAATAGGTTGGATGAAAGGATCTCTGAAAAACCAAGATTTCAAAAACTCCGTTTTCTGCATTCATTCTACGAAAGGGTTCAATGTTTAAAACAACTGAAAATAGCCTTTTAGAACTATCACATAATGATTATCATTCGCTAAAGATAGACCATGAAAAGCTCGAAGATATCAAAATGTTTTCTCTATCAGATGAACTTATTTGCAAAATGTTACTCAAACCTATTAATTGGAATTTGTTAAGTACCTCTTTTGATAAGAAATTACTTAAGCTAATAAAAGCTATTCTCTGATTTGTTGTAAATGTTACTGTTAAGGAAAGAAGTCAACAATACTTCGCTTTTAAAATTTTTGTCTTCGTCTTATTGATTAAAAATAAAAATTTTAAATGATTCTTTTCATTTTCTTTTTCAGGATCATCAAATCGATGTTTTCTTAAAGATATTATTGAAATTTTACGTATGGTAATGAAACCAGATCGTGATCCTGAAGTACGAAATCAATGTTTATTAATTATTGCAAATTTACTTCAATTTATTGATGATACAGATACAACAGTAATAATTAGTCCATATTTAACAATATTAATTGATGAATGTATATTACCAAATATGCAATGGAAAGCAGGTCGAACAGCAGCTGCTATTCGAGCAACAGCTATTGCTACACTTTGGTCATTATTTCAAGCTAAATCGTTCAGTTTCGAACAAGTGAGAAAACAGAGTATTTTTTTCATCAAAGCGACTTAAAATTTTAAATTAGATTTTGTTGTTTTTTTGATAAACTAAAACGCAATAGTAGATTTTAGACAGATAGGATAAAAATTAAAAGTCATATATAATTGAAAATAATTAGGAGTTTGGATATGGGCAGGAATGAGAATGAAGAGAAGACTAAAATCTATATCCACATCTGTCAAGGGTTAGTAAACGATGAACATGAAAATGATAATCACGAGAACGTTCAGCACGCACAAAAATAAAAATGAAAGTAATGAGTGTGGATATGAATGAAAATGAAGAAAAGACTAACAGTCACATCCAAATATATATTCATTGATCTTTCAATAGACATCACATTTACCTTCATTTTGTTTTGCGTGCTTAACATTTTTATACTAAATGTTCTTGTACTTATCATTCCCATTCTAAACCATCGACATACTGGTGGTAATGCGAAGGAACGTGTGATATGGATAGATAAACGAAAACTAATTATCAGATCTCCACAACAGATAATCATATTATCATGAAACATAATGTCTACATATTCAACTGTAGAGTCGTTGCTATAATGTGATCTTTATAAATAAAATTTACTTGTGACTCAATAGATGAAATATAACATAAAACTAAATAAAGACATATGTATTTTCAAGTTTACTTGATAACAGAGATGTGTTTAGATTGTTACTCTATATAGAAACAATAATAAGTTGACTACATTTTGTTGAATAGAATGATAAGGCGCTTTTTTTTATTTCTGAAATATTGAAGAATTGGTGAAAGTTTTTTGAAAAAATATTGTTTTTTTGTCTAAAGTATTTATTTAGATGAACAAGAGATTAGTGTAGGAAGCTTTTAAAGACAAGAATGCATAGCATCATATGTATGTCTTATATTTATTACGATATTAAAGCATAACGAATGGTTGTAAACACTAATGAAATTAAAAATTACATTTTTTTGTCTAAATACTATATAATTGATAGTATGTAATGCATCATCATTCTTGGTAAATTTGTGATGAAATTTTTTGATTATAACGTAAAAGATAAAATCCAGTCATAATATTTAATGTGCTTTTATTTTTTGAACTCTAGTCTAAATCAGTCAGTTCAACTTGTTGATGAACTTTGATTTCCATTATAAATTTTTTATTTTTTTCTAAAAGACTTTTTCTGAAATTAGATTCTCACAATCTCAATTCCATTGAATTCTCATGTCAACAGTGACATATACATGGTCGAGTAGTGTTTATGAACAAGGTCAGAAGTGTCTCGTACATATTAGAAATATATTCTAATATACTATATGTTTACATATCATAATATATTGCATAGCTTAAGTAACTCGCTAACCTTCCATTACGATGAAAAGATAATATCTCGCATTAGACAATCGCAATCAACTTATGTTAATATTCTAAATTTCAAAGAAATAAATTATTAGATTTACTTTCTTCTTACTATTAATTTATTTCTTATTTAGTGTGTATCATCAATGAAAGAAATTCTTCTTGCTGTAGTAGGAATGTTAGATGATGATGATCGGTTAACACGAATGAATAGTTGTTATGTATTACAAGCACTTTTTTCAAATGATGATGCTATTCATACAATTGATAATGATCGTTTACATAAAGTATATCCAGATTTATTAAAACGTTTAGATGATATATCTGATGATATTCGTCTTGCAATATGTTCAACATTAAATGCTTATGTACATGCATTTCATGGAAATTTTAATATTGAATTATATCGATCACATCTTGAAGATATTGCAAAAGTTTTATTAATACATATGGATGATCGAAATAGTCAAATTCAAAATGCTGTTTTTGGTAAAAATGAAAATAAAACAAAAAAAAACATTTGTTTTTTATGTTCTATGAAAAATTCTTCTTTGAATATTTAGATACAATTGTTCAATTTGCAACTCAACTTGATAATGCATCTGAAACATTTATTAATGAAATTCGTAATGTTAAACATAAACATCGTAATCAAAGTTTATGTGATACATTAATCGAACGTATTCAACAGTCAAAATAAATTTTATTGTCTACTTAGGTTCTTCTTTTTGTTGTATATTTAATATACAAAACAAAAAATAAAAAATAAAAGAAAATATAATAAAACATTCTAAATATATCAAGGATAAATAAATATGTACATGTGACAAATAATTATGGTTCGATAAACTAATGAAAGGATAGATCGGACAGAAAATTTGAAAACAAAAATCAATCGAAATAAATAAATAGAGAATATTTTATGTATCGATCATATTTATAGTAAAACCTGTTGTCTATCTAAATACTATAATCAGGTATTGCCCGGGAAAAACAATCAAATCGATAATTTTGATCATAATTATTATCCCAATATTCTGGACTAACATATGATTCGTAGCAAATACTAAATTGTATATTATTTCCAGCACATATTCTATTACGATCAATTTCAATCATAAATGAAAATCGATCAAAAATACCATCATATGAATTAGTCATATATTCTGCATCATAATCGCTAAATGATGTCCAATTGTCAGTTGTTAAACGTATTTTAACATGTTTATGTAAACTAAATGAAACTAATTTAACTGTTCCATAAATTCTATTGTCAATAGCATCTTAAATATATGTAAACATCTAAAAAATTAAAAATTAATATTATTTTTTCTAGACTTACTAGCTTGTTCAAGAAGAACTTTTGTTCGGGATACACGATCATTAAAATTTGGAGTATGTATAGGATTTTCAAATTGTTGTTCCATATAATTAATTAATTTTTCACGTTGAGGATTCATTGTTGGAACTTTATTTTCATCATTACTAATACATAAATGTTTAAATGCAGTACTAGGTACAGAAGGTAATTCATCTGTTCGAATCATTTTAATTTCACTTAAATCTAAACCAAAATCATCAGCAAAACGAACAGCTTTTTTTGGACATGAATCATTTTCATTAAGACGTGTTAGTTTAACTGAATGAGATTTCTTTAGTTGATAACCCATATTAACAGTTGTTACAGATTGTCTTGCTTCAGTAATAACGATTTTTGGTATATTTTTAAGTTCTATTGAAGAATTATTTTCATCACTTTCATCTGATTCATCAGCAACTAGTGACGAAGGAGCTGGTGGTGATAAAGATCTTGTTTTGACTTTTTCAATAGTTTTTGTTAAATTGCATGTTGAAATTTCTATTTTGGCATTTCCTAAACATCAGCTTATTATTAAGATATCGAAAATTCTGACAACTTATACCGTTAATATTCGTTTGATTTTCATCTAAACGTTGTTTTCGTTTTGTACGGAAAAAACGTGAATGACGTGATGTCGTATCAGATGAAGTTGTTATTATTTCATCATTAGTTTTATTTGAATGATTATCTCTACCACCATTAATTTGAATATTTTCGATTGATTGAACTTGTTGATCACTTGTCATATCGAATGTTACAATTCGACATGTGAGAATAATTTAAATATGATTTGTCGAAGAAAAAAAATTATTGAGCGATCTATAGACAGTTATTGAGAAAGGTTCATTTCATTTAGAAATAAATAAATGAAAATTCATGCAAGAAACCAACATAAATGACGAATATATGCTTGAAAAATAATAGATTATTGTTTATATAAACATCTAGTGTAACGACATACGGTCACATTGCTTGCTATTTTTATGAATGCCTGGTATGAGGTACAACGTCGACAACATGTCAGCAACAAATAACTATTTGCCATGACGTTACATGAGATAGATGTTTTCTTCCTACGCTGTGCAAAGTCAAACAAAAATGAGATTCTTCTTTTTTTTTTCTTCTTCTGTTCTTTCTTTCGTCTGCCGACGGCATCATCATCATTATAAAGAAAAATCTTTTCATTGAATGATCAATTCTTTTCTTCTAGAAGCATTGTAGACCATGTACGAGAAATACACGACTTTTATCCTATTTCCGTCTTCTGCTTTTTTCTTCTCTTCCTTATAATTCGTTTCTTCATAATAACAATAAACAAAAAGACATCAAATTGAGGAAAACAAGGACACATGTCTTATAGAAATCAAAGAAATATTCTTTCAATGCAATGATAACAATCATATTGTTTTTATAATAAGAATAGAAACAAAAAAATAGAACTTGTTTTTTTTTTATCATAGATTAAACTATACATTAGGAAAAAATACTAAAAAGAAAAAAAAAACAAAGAATATAAAAATTTATCGAAGAACAGTTGCTGCACCATATACATGTATTGGTACATCATTTGTTCTTATCCATGTTTTTTTTTCAATATGAAATATTTCAGCTGTATTAAGTATTTCAGAATTTTGTCCTAAATTTGTTCGACCACCAAAAACAAATATAAAATATCCAATACGATATACACATGGACTTATACGATTAAAAAACATTGATGGTAATTTATACCAACGACAATCAAGTGAATTATAAACTTCAGCAGAATGTAAACCATTTCCATTTGCATCAGCACCACCAAAAATATATATTTTTTCTTGTTCATCATCAATACATGCTGAACAAAATGTTCGAGCTTCATTCATATCTGTACATAAATAACTTTGTCCTGTTCTTGGATTAAATATTTCTGTTGTTTTAACTGGTAAATTAAATATACATGAACCACCTATACATAATATTAAACCATTTAATTGTACACAAGCAAAACCATATGATGGAGATTTTAATTTATATGGTAATAATGTCCATTGACGTGTGTTACAATTAAACATTTCAATTGTTGATGTTATATCAGCTCCAATATGACCACCTAATGCATATAATGTTGTTGAATCTAATGATACTAAACCAAAATTACATCTTGGTGTTATCATGGAATTTCCTTGCATCCATTGTTGATTATTTAATTTTGATAATGGATCAAATATTTCAACAGAATTAAATATATTATCACCATCTTCACCACCAACAACATAAATCAAACTACCAAGTGCTGCCACTTGATGATGCATACGTGGATAACGCATTTCATCACCTGGGATTTGTTCAATTTCAATTGAATATAATGATGATGATGAATCATTTATATTTAAATGACAACGATATGATAATGTTAATAAATGAGAATTCGTATCGTTTATATGTGAACCATAACCACCAAATAAATAACATGTTTGTCTCATACCACGTCGTGCTGGATTATTATTTATTCGACATTCTCGATGGGATATAATTTGTTCAATACGATGAATTATTGATGGATTTTTCTAAAGAACAATAAATAGAAACAACGAATGAATATTTTATAGATAGTACTCAAAATCAAAAGAAAAAGAAAGCTATTAGTGTAAACTCTAGAGAATTAAAATGTGAAACACGATGTAGATGCTGCTGCTAATCACTGAGAGATCGTTTTATTCTATCGATTTTCGAACACATTTCTTCATCATTCTTTTACTTAATTGTCTAGACATGCAATAAGGAAGTTGTTCATATTATATTACGAGACACTATTCATATACAGCCGGTAGGTTATCATTTGCCCCAAATTGTGGTTCCCTGAATTAACCCCCAAATCATATCCCCATTTGGGGAAAAAAATACAATTAATATAAATTCTGGTCACCGAATGGGGATTTTAGTTTTGGGGAATTTTTCATTTGGGGATATTTTTCATAAAATACACTATATATATACTGTAATTCAACAGCATCTTACTTCTTGTACTAAACAGTATCAACTAGAATAAAAGTTTTTAGTATGATCATTCGATGTTTATCATTTGTCCCAAACGGGGCACCACAAATGCATCCCAAAAAAAATTCCCATTTGGGGATTTTTTTTCTCATGAATTATATCATACATCCTGTAGGTCAATACCATTCTGTTCTCTTCCAAGATGGCATTTCCAAAAAAATCACTTTCGAAGTCATATCTATTGGAAGTGTTTAGTTTGGATTAGCTAAACATAAGAAAAACAGTTCTATGATGAATCTGGTCACCAGAATATATTTTGTGTTGCCAAAAAGAGGGTTTCGTAGTAATCAAAGATGGATTCTGGCCACCAGATTCACCTCGAAATTGTTCGTTGTAGTAACCTAAAATACATTCTCGTCACTAGATTCATCATAGAACTGTTTTTCTTATGTTTAGCTAATCCAAACTAAATACTTCCAATAGATATGACTTCGAAAGTGATTTTTTTTGGAAATGCGATCTTGGAAGAGAAAAGAATGGTATTGACCTACAGGATGTATGATATAATTCATGAGAAAAAAATCCCCAAATGAAAATTTTTTTTGGGATGCATTTGTGGTGCCCCGTTTGGGACAAATGATAAACATCGAATGATCATACTAAAAACTTTTATTCTAGTTGATACTGTTTAGTAAAAGCAGTAAGATGCTGTTGAATTACAGTATATATATAGTGTATTTTATGAAAAATATCCCCAAATGAAAAATTCCCCAAAACTAAAATCCCCATTTGGTGACCAGNGGAGAAAATGGATAACAAGTTCATTAATCCAAAAAAAAACGCATTTTTCTCTAGGTTTTTTGCATTAATGAATTTGTTATCCATTTTCTTTGCTTTACAAGCAAAAATTTTAAAAAGCACTCTATCAGGCTCTATATTCTGACATGCTCTTTCCAATACAACAAAGTTGAATGAATAAGATGGAGGCACACAAAGAATTTTTGAGCTACTTAATAAACTATGCCTAATCCTTAATTAATGAATATCTCCCTCAAACGTCATGATATAGGACTGAAAATTTTACCGTAGTCTCTTCACTATAGCATCAATATATTCTGAAAATTTCATGCGATTCCCATGTATCTGGACCAAGATCCGCTCTAAGTAAGGATGGATTGACGTTAGGTGTCCCAGAATGTTTTGCCCAGCCTATATTTTACAAAAATTTCTGCGCTCATAACTTTTACACAAGAACTAACTTATTGATAGCTGATTTTGAGTCATTAACACACGTGAAACAAAAACAACGTCAAATGAAGGTTGAATTAAAAAGATACTGTAACCTATTGGTCTTTTTTTAGTAGATTTACCGCAACTATAGCAGAAATATTCAATAAAAATCATTATGTTAAGAAAATGCATCAAGTTAAGGCATTTGAGTTGTAACGAGTATTTATTCAGTAACACAAGTAGAAGCATATCGAATTATGATAGAGTTCACTTATAGTTTCACATGATAAGTCTTTTACATATATCGAAAGTATCGTATATCAATTCTTCTACTAAAAATTTTCATAACAACGGATTACAAGCAAGCAGTCCAGTTCAATAAGTTGCATATTCGTCTGAGTTAGCATCACTTGAGTTTTTCTTGTACGAGTAAACGGAAGAAAATAGCTGACAAATATCTATTATTAGATATAATTAAATTGATACGAGAAAACAAACGCTCATACAAATCGTTGGAACGACAAGCTTTTAGAACATCCTGTAGAAAACAATTTGATTCAAAAGATTGACTACACAAAAAAAACAACGTTTTTTTTCTCGATTATATATTATGTAACGCATGGTGCCTAAATTCTGCATTGATTTTGTTTCCAATATTGTATGACAACAACTCATCGTATAAACTCGATAGTTTTCCTGTTAGACAGGCAAAAAAGTCTCTACTACAAAGTTGTGTAAAAATTTTTAGTTCAAAATAGTTACCAAAAGCTAAAAGGTGTCTTGCAACTTCAAAAAAAAACATTAATAAGAATTGCATTTGATCGATTTATCTTGCATTCAGCCTAGGCATGTTATTTGTAAGTGTAGCGAACATGAAGCGAGCTTTCTACCAGTCTCAATCTATCCGAGTTACGAAACCAAAGGTTCCATAGGAAAACAATTTTATTAAAAACTCGACTATTTCTCTACAACACTCAATGAAGTTTTCCTTCATAATACCCCATACAAAAACTATATTCTGAACTGATCTGTTCGAACAATTTTTGGTCTGTTTTCGACAATGAAATACTTCCGGATATAAGAGATCTTTCTTCCGTTACTAAGAAGTCGTTCTCAAAACACAACAAAATTTTCCAAAGAAAACCGTAGTTTAAATGAACCGCGAAAGTAAGACCATTTATGCATCTATACTAGACATGAGCGGGACCAATAATTTTGGTCCGGGTCCCGTTCCGGTCCTAGTTCCGATAAAAAAAAATTGGTCCCGGTCAAAAAAGAAAAATTGGTTCCGGTCCCAGTCTTGAGACCATGTTGCCCATATCTAGTCTATATACACCGATCAAAACCACGGTTTTATCAGAAAACTTCCGTTGGCAGCGTAGTTCTAAGAATTGAACTGTCAAAACAGTTCTTTCGTTCATTTGATCTGAACATTGAACGAAGATCTGGCTGACCTCTAGTTTTATATAACGTACTTTTGCACAGACCTTATTGAACTCTAATCGAACATAAAATGTGGGCTGTTATTATTTTGATTACTAGAAAAAAGATCTTATTTTTTGAACTCATTGATTATTTGTGAATACTTTTTTGCTAGCAAAAAAAAGTGTTAGAAAAAATATCCATTTCGAATTCAAGTGATAACTTGAAAATTTTATTTTTAGTGCTATAAAATCCGATAAAAAACGAAAATTAAGATTAACTTTCTCAGTAGATGGAAGTTTTCTTTCAAATTCCAGAATTGTATATAGAACTTCTTATTCTACGATAAGTATTTTGAAAGAAAAATATTTTTACATGTCTTTGTAATAGAAACTTTACCCTTTCTAATAAGAAAACTATCAAATCTTCATGCCAAATTATTCTTACGCTATATTGAAAACAAAATAAAAGTAGAACTTTAACATCATTCGTTATTTTTGGTTTTTTTTTTTTTATCAAATTTCAAATATCTCTCAAAACTCAATTTAGAATGCATCAATACATACAAATCCAATTTGATGTAAAATCATTTTTTGATGTTCTTTCGAAATATATTCAAATCTAACATTATCAAATAAATGTTCACATGATTGTTCATGATTATGAAAATACCATATTAATATAGCTTCAAGAACTTGTTCTTCATTATCAATAATTAAATCATCATTGGAAATAATTTTTACTAATAAATTATGTGGAATAAATTTAATCATATCAAATTTAATTAAATTACAAAAATGTGTTAATATATAATGTTCAGCATCATTTTTTAATGATATACAACCTAATTCATCAGCTATTTTCCATGTATCAATAACATTATTTTCATTTAAACTTATTGATAAATAATGACAACAAAATTGAACAACTTCATCAAGTTGTAACATATCACTTGCTATTAATATATCTTGAACATTATTATTATCAATTTCAATTTTACCACTATAAATATAATGAAGAAGTATAGAAAATATTTGTGGTTCAATATTACGTAATTCAATTGAATTAAGATTATTTTCTTTAAATCTATGTGTAAGTAATGCTTGAAAATAAGGTGATGAACTAGCAAGAATTATACGATGACATGAAAATTTTTCACAACCAATTATAAATGTTAAATCACAATATATACCAGAATCAAGATATTCATTTAGATTTTGAAGAAATACATTTATTTGTGAAGTTGATGAAGTATAAGGAACACGCATTCTTCTTTTCTGTAAAATAAATTAATATGGATGATTTTTTGTTATTATTCAAAATCGAATGAGAAGAAAGAATGAATTAGTTTTGAAATGAGTCTTACTTTATCATAAACTTTATTGAGATTAGACAATGCTTAGAAGCAATCTGGTCAATAAATATTCTTAAGATATGACTCAATGACAAATCATCAATCCGTACATAATTCAAGAGAAATGACCGAAAAAAAAATGCTAGTTATCCAGTAAATTCTGAAATCGCTTTCTCTAGACCAGGACCAATAGAAACTAAGCTACCGAAGCCACATGAGTACTAGAACATAGAATCTTTTATAATAAACAATGCAGCTCGATTGAAAACTTTATTTGTGAAAATTTCGAATTAAAAAAGATTTGACGTTAAATTTTGTCTAGTCACAATAGCGTCTACCTATATAAGTTAAGACTTATCTGAAAAAAATGATTTCTTATTCAGCATAGTTCTCTTGTCGATACAATAATTAGTTCATTTTGAATTTAGAATATGTTGCTAAACTTTAAATGTCATGTATAAAAGTTGAAAATTTCTCATCTTTAATATATTTTTAAATAGCTTCTTAATAATTTTACATGAAAATATCTCACAGTAACCATTGATTACCTCAGCTATAAAGTCTTCAAGAAATTTCTTCTGTCAATTGAATGATTGCATATACAAAATTACTCATTTTTTTTTTATTTTTTTACAAATTCATATTCAATTATGCAGTAAAAATTTTCATGTACTTAGTTAACTTATGACTCATCACACCTGACATCTAGTCTACCATTCGTTCAGTTTGCACCAATCAAAAAGTTATTCACTTATGCACTATAATTATACATTTCTAACATATTTTCCTCATATTAAAAACCTATCCTTAATTTATTGAAAAGAAAAAATAAATTTTCTTCTTCAAAAGTTTTTTTACTCGTATCATAAAGAGTATAAACAACAACGTAAATGGCAAAAACAATAACCTTTTACGCGCTTCTCTTTTTTCTCTTTCTTCTTGCTTTTTTTTCTTCTCCTCCTTCATCTTTTTCGTCGATTTATTCGCTGTTTTATAGTTATTAGCCAAGAAGATTTTTTTTTTTCTTTTTTTTTTTTATTCGCTCGTATTGATTCTTTTCCAACTCAAGTTTGCTCCCTCTGGCCGGCTTCCTCCGCGAAGAAGAACGAAGAAGCATATAGTAAATAGTTATGATGACTGTCATCAATAAGGCAGAAAAAGGATATTTAACATCTGTGCGAGAGTGAAAAAGAGGGACAGACAAGCAAAACGACGAGAAGAAAAAAGTAAGGACGAAAATGCGAAATGTGGGTCTTTTTCTTCTTCTTATTCTTATTCTCTCTCTCCATTTCTTTCTCTCTCTCTCTCTCGTTCTACCTCTCTCTCTCCCTCTTTTTGTCTCTCTACTGTTCTGGATTTTCGGAAAAGTCATGCGACAAGAAAAAACAACAAAAAAAAAAAAGAAAGAACAAAGAATAAAAAAAGAAAAGAAAATGACTTCATATGATCCCTCATTAAAATTGATAATCTTTTTAAAACAATTATATTTATCATTATGCGAACATTTATTAGGAATATAGTAAAATACAAATGTTGTAAAACTAATCATACATATACATGGCTGACCCAGATTCGCCTTCAAATGATATGTCTTCAGTTGATGATGTTCAACAAACATCATCACATCAACAACACGAATCAACAACAAATGACTGGCCATGGTAAACAATAAAAAAACAAAAACGAAAAAAAAAAAAACCATTCAATTCTATCGATATTTTCAGGTCAACTGATGATCATCATCATCAACAAAATGCAATTGATTCAAGTGGTTTAATGCATTTAATTGCAACAGGTGGTAGTACAACAGTCGATAATAATCCAAATGATGAATCAGTTGGAATTATTTCAACAAATGATCAAACACATAATGAACAACAACAAGATCAAGAACAAACAACAAATCAAAATCTACCATTAGAACAATCAGAACAATTACCTCTTGTTACTGTAACATCATCATCATCTGTACCAATCGATGTTATGGATACTGATGTACAAATGACATCAAATGATATTGAACAATCACAAACACAACAACAACAACAAATAGGTAAAAATCAACATGACATTGCTGAAATTCATCGTGATATGTTAGCACTTATACCTATACCACAAGCATGGTCACATATAAGACATCAATCAGGTCTATTTTCTTATCCTGATTTACCACATTTTAATGTTATAAGACAAGCTACATTTCGTGATGGACGTTTTGTATGTCCATTTTGTACAGTTGATTTTGCTTCAAAAGAAGGCATACGTTATCATTTATATAATTCATGTACAAAATCACCATATCCAAAAGCTTTTTTTCGTTGTTTAATGTGTGGAAGTGAATTAGCTGATCGAAGTTCATTACGAACACATTTAGCTCGACATGTAAGACTAAAAGAAATTTCTTTTTTTAATAAATAAAAATTTTCATTTTGTTGTTGAAAGGGTACCGAAGAAGGTGGTGCTGTATCAACAGATAAAATAGATGTATCACGTAAACCAGCTTTACCAACACTTGGTGAAACAGCAAATTCAAAAAAATCAAAGAAAAAAAAGAAAAATTCCAATGATTTAACACCACCACAAATGATGAATTCTATGGTTGCTATGACATCAGGTGTATCACCACGTATGATTGATAATTATAATATTCCATCAACAATGCTTAATCAACATTTATCATTACCAATAATTAAATCAGAACAAAATGATAATGATCCAAAAGTATGTACACACACATATATATATATATACATATTTGATTTAGAATAAATTATCATTGCAAATATATATATATATATTTTGTTCAGCGTAAACGTGGTCGTCCACCAAAAACAAAATCTGATGGACCAATACCTATAGCTAATTATACGAAACAACCACTTATGAATCCAACGGGTTTAGCATTAACTCCTACAATGAATAATCCAATTATGATCAATGAACAACTTGTGAAAGTAAAATATTTGTATATATTATATTAATTAGTCATGTATGGAAATGAATAAATCGAATTAATGAATATAAATATTATCTAAAATTTTGCATCTTGATCCGGTTGGTTAAGTTTTATTGAATTTGAATCGTATTTCTAATTTCAACGAAGGATTTTATTTTGAGTTTGATCATCGCTCTGATGATCTTGTAATAATCAAGTCATAATTGGTTTTTACTTTTAGAGTATTTGCTCGTTGAGTCGGTTCCAAGACCAACCTGACGTGGTCTAATTGAATCCATGACAAAAACTTCCAGTATTTATTCTATATTTTGATATCTATACATGACTAATCAATATATTACTTTTAAAATATATTCATGTAAATTATTTTTATTTCAAAAATTTAGAATGATCCACATAAGCCATCTGGAATGCGATCACCACGTGGTGTTGATATAAGTAGTGAATTAGCTGAATTAGCTCGTTCAAGAATGAGAGAAGTAAAATTATAAAAGAATCCTAAAAAATTGTTTTGTTTTAATTTTGTTTTTTTTCTTTAAAGCATATTGAATTTGCAACTGATACATTATTGCCTGAACAAGAACAAGAAATTAATGGACGTTTACGTACAGAAGGCTTTGTCCAATGTCATCGATGTCGAGGCAAAACACAATTTACAGCATTAAAAAAATTAAAAGAACATTTAAAAACTGATTGTCCATTAGGGCCTGGTAAAGAAAAAGACAAACGAAATTTTTTTAATGAACCTGTCAGATAAGATGACTATTCTTCATTTGAAAAGTCATCTATACCATTTTGTAGAGCAACTTCTTACACATCGAATGGTATATAGTAAATTGCTTTTTCATCAAATTTTAATGTTCCGAGAAGCCATATACTATTTAAGGGATATTATAGCACTTGTAGGTGATATTATCAAATATTAGGATTCAATATGTCTCTAAACCAATCTTTATCAAAGTTTGTTTAGAGTTATTTCAAAAGAATTTTTGTCTCATTTATCAATTATGTATATTTATAATATTTCTCACGATAACTATATTTATACCCAAAAAACTTTCGTATTTTTCTTAGCTTCTGCAAGTTTCAGTTTTCATGATATTTTAAATTCTCTGAGACTACTTTAAGGACAAAATCGACTAATCATGTAATCTTTTCAGAAATCGTGTGTCATCAAGCTCTATAAGTATACTAATGAATTGTCCTTTAACATAAAGTGCGTCACAAGCAACTCAATCATTTCGATTCTTAAGGATAGAAAAATATATCATTTATACAGCAAATATTTTCTCCATGAAAAATTTTCTATCTGTTAATTATAAGTTCATCATGTCCTATCACTCGATATATATAAATATTTTGAATATTGCAAAAAGAATTTTCGCTTTCGAACTCTTGAACTGAGGATATGTAAAGTGTTTAATTCTTACAAAAAAAAAGACTGAATGTATATTGAATCTAGTAGAGTTCCATATTCTAATCACACTCGGTTACTCAGAATCTAAATTCGTAAGAAGTAAAATAAAAAATAATCTTTATAATAGCTCATTCCTATACTTCTCCAAGGTTTTTAACGTGAACAATATTTTTGTCATTTTTGAAATATTCATATATGTCGAATGATAGGACATAATGAACTTATTATTGAAATATTGAAAATTTTTCATGCAAAAAAAATATTTGTCGCATAATTGATATACTTTTCTATCTTTGGAAACCGAGAAATTGGTCTCTTTTAGGTATTTATTGACTGATTGCACTATGATGCACGTCATTTTAGAGGACAATCAATTGCTATACTGATAAGAGCTTAATGACTCACAATTTCTGAGAACATTGTATGCTTGATTGCTTTTGTCCTTAGAATGTAATATGGAAGAATTTAAAATAGGTTAAAAATGAAAACTTACAGATATAAGAAAAATACTAAGGTTTTCGGTACGAAGAAAGATACTCTAAGAATTATTAGATATTACACAATTGAAGATGAGACAAAACTCAATTGAAATAACTTTAAACAAATTTTGATATAGGTTAGTTTTCGAGACATAATTACTGAATTCTATTATTTGGTCATATCATCCACAATTACTATATTATTCCTTGACTCCTTTTGACGCCAAGGTATAAGGCAGGTGATCGTGTTTTTAATAATTCTGGACAGAAACAAGATATCGATCTGCATGGTTTTCTTGGAGGAGATTTTTAAAACGATATTTTGAAGCCTGTTTCTATTGAGTTATGAATTGTAAGGTGATCATTCTCTTTTGGTCTACGCAAGGCCGAGTTGTACAGCTCGTTTCGTTCAAAACTTATTGACATTTTCCCATGGCGATTCTCATTCAAACCCACTACGGGCCAAAAGACCGTTATCTAGTCGTGACGAGTCGAATGGTGATACTTGTTTGCAGTTTTGAAGCTGCTATATAAGAATTTATCTGAAATGTTGTTATAACAGCTTCGAAGTTGAAAACAAACATTACCACTCAACTCAGTGTGATCGATTATTCTTGTCGTGGCCCATGATATATATAGGCTGATTTCGGAAAACTCTTATTGAATAGTTACATTACAAATCCAAATTCAATGAGAAATGACTTTTCAGAATCATCAAAACTTGATGAACAAACGATTTTCTATATAAAAATCAATGTGCCATAAGTTACTCTACAAAACGGTATTAGTGACTTTTCAAATGAAGACTAATCATGTTATCTGACAGGTTCCTTTAATAATATTTATATTTAGTTATGGCTATTTGTAAATTTTGTGGCATTCCGTTTTCCTCTGTAAGTAGTGTTTGTGATCATCTTGAACTTTATCATGATGATTCACATGATACATGTCCAGGTAAATTATTTTAATAAAATAAAAATTTACGTTAGAAAAAAAAAAAAAAATTTATTAGATGATCCATGTCGTATAAATGATCGAGCATTTCGTGCAGCATTTGCTCGTTATAAATTTCCAATAAATGGTCGTATACCATTTTCAGCATCAACAACAACTATAGGACAACTTATACCTGAAAATGAATCAGCTGCTTGTTTAAGTAATGGTGCTAGTTGTTTACGTGTTCGAGTAAATAAAAAACAAAAAATAAAAATTTTCTATTCAATAATAATTATTCTATTTTGCTTTGTTATTTATTATTAAGATGCTTTCATGCGATCGATTTTTAAATCCATTAGATAGTTTTGCTGCTTCACATGTTATTGTTTTAAATGTTGGTCGTCCAATACGTTCTGTTGAATGGTTACCACGTGCTGTTGATGTTATTGGTAGTCAATATGTTGCATTAGCACTTGAACAATGGTCATATGATACAAATAATCAATTACATAATACATTTACTAATCCAGATCGTCGTTCACCACCAGGTTCAACATTACTTTTAATACTTAATTGTGGACGTTTAAGACAAAGTTTACATGTACCTAATTTACATGTAACTGTTGCAGCTGATTTTGGTCAAGTAACATGTTTAAAATGGTTACCAGATCGTCCAACAATAAATGATCCATATTTAAGTTATTTAGCTATTGGTACAAGTCAAGGTATTGTTATTATATTTGGTGTACCACATGGTGCATCAAGAAATTTATGTACAATAAATAGTGGTGCACAACTTGTACCACCACTTAATCGACGTAAAGATGGTAGTATTGGTTGTGCTGAATATGGTTCATGTACAGCACTTGATTGGTGTCATGAAAATCCAAATAAATTATGTGCTGGATATGAAAATGGTATTGTACTTATGTGGGAAGTTAATTCAAAATCACTTGTTGAACAAGTAAATTTATTTGAATTTAATTTTACAAAAGAAAAAGAAAATTTTGCTTTGTTTTTTAAGACAACAAATTGTTCATTAATTTATCCTGTACGAAGATTTTTTGTTGAAGATACATCAATACAAGATGTAAAATTTTTAAGAAATTCTGAACATTTAATTGCAATTAGTTTAAAAAATAAACAATCATGGACGTAAGAATGATTTATAATAAGAGATTTTTAATTAATTTTCAGTTGTTTTTGTTTTTTTTTATAGAGTATGGACAACACGAGATGAAAATATTTTTTGTTATCGACATTGGTCAAATGCAAGTGAATTTGCATCATCAATACTTAATGATATATTATATGCGGGTTGTGCACATGCAAAGTAAAATAGATAAAAGTATTTTGAAAAGAATTATGTTTGTTTTATGTTAGTAATCATAATGAATTACTTTCTGTGCCAATACATTCAATATTATTACCGGGACAAAATGTTTCGAATCATTTACAAACATCAATGTTATCAGCATGGCAAATTGTTAGTTTGGATTATTCCGAATGGATTGATGCTGTTGCTTATGCTGATCTTGATGGTATAAATTAGAATTTATTGGTTAAAATTTGGTTTCTTAATTTGAAAATTTTTAGGAACTGTTTGGGTTGCACGTGGTGATTCGTCCACTTGGTCACAAACCAATCCGAAATTTCGACCAAGCACTGTAAGAAAAAAATCATATTTTCTGTTCTTGTTTTGCTTGTTGTCGGTATATTGTGCGCTAAACTGGAGATATATGTTACTAGTGACAAACAAACTGCCAATATATTGGCAGTTTGTGCAAATATACGTGCGATATGGATGATGAGTGTAGGTTTTAACTCAGAGTTTTTGTGGTTTCATTCATCAATTACTCAAGCCATAGTAATTGCAGCCAAAGGTAACTGGATACGAATCTTCTCCTAGTAACAAAGGACAACGGATATCTGACTCCGTTTCAATAGTTCCTTCTCATGTGATTCCTATCGGCAATAGTGTCAACAAATGTGTAATACGAGTTGGCAACAGCAAAAAAGAAAAGGCTAAGTCTATTTGAGTATATTTCAAAAGTTTTGTTAAAATTTAAACGACTGAAATACGTATTCTACATAGCGTAGTTTCTCATATTTATGTAGACAAACGAGATTATATGATAGATATCAGGAATGATAACTATTAATGTTTGATTTGCTAAGGCCATTATATAATCTAAAAGATAAGTATGATCTGATCAAATTCCAACTAACGAGAATATAGAATATCAGTGTTTCTTAGTTTATCAAGATGTATAATAGAACATTAATATCTGATATAGATATAATGGATGTTTACACTAGACTTATGTATCAGTTATATCAATGACTAGAATAACAATAATAATAGTAGTATAAGAAAAACAAAGGCAAGAAACAAGACAAGTGCAAAAAAGAAAAAAGCAACAATGTCCGTTTGAAATGCAGAAATAAATAAGATAGATCATCTGTCTGACAATTGATTATCCTTGGAAAGCAGCTATCATCGTTTACAGATTTTTCACTCAACATATTTTTTTAATGGTAGAATGAAACTGATAAAAAACATATGGATTGTATAGCTTAGCCACCAAAAAAGGCTGCGTTGACAAATTTTCTTATTATTATTTATATGATTATAATGAATTTTAGTGTGTGGCGAAATTATCTACTTATTTAACGGGTGTAGGTGGTGCACAAACAGGAAATCTTGCGGATCCTGTTGCGATGCAACGTAAGAATATATTATTTTTAGATAAATATTAATCATGTATTTTTGTTTGATATTTAAGAATATAATCAAGGTCAAGCAGTTGTTCCAACAGGACAATATTGTGTTCAAATTGCTATTGAACGAACGGTAATTATAAATTGACTTGTTTTTCTTTTCATTAATAAAAGCTCATTGGTGATGAATGTTAAAAGAAATTGTCTCTTGGAAAATATCATGTCACCGTGCTATTTACATTTATATTTCATGTGAATCAATTATGAAATAGTTTTTTCTATATCAGAATCAAACTAGAACTAAAAAACTTGGTTCCGTACTAGGAGACGGAAATTACAGTTACTCGTCAATTTCGTTATCACGTAACGGAAGAGGATAGGGTCACATAAAAGCTATTTTTTATCCCTTTCCAGTTTCACTTCAGCTATGACTTATTTGACACAGAATTCACATGAAACAATTTGGTAACAAAATAAAGCTATTTCTCAAGCATTTGAAACTTATTGTGCGATAAAAATATTGACATATACTTTTGCACCAAAAAATCGATTATTTATCGATAGGAGAATGAAGCATGCAAAATTTCTCATTATAAGACACTTCGAATTGAAGATAATGTCAATCAACTATCTATCTGTACAGTTTATCTTTGGTGAAAACTTCAGCTAGAACGGTTGAAATATTGCTGAGTATTGATATAAATAGTGTGATGTTTTTGTGCATATTAGATTTGTATTTAATAGGTTTTAATCAGAGGAAATACAGTTTGTGTTAAAACCAATAGCATATTTAGATTTACCATAAGAAAACTGAATCGAATGGCGTATGTTTCGAAGTTTTACATCGAACATTGTTTTTTGTCGAACAACTTAGCTAGAGCTTTTAATATTTCACTAGAAGACAAAAGAGGAGATAATTAAACGATAAAAATATGTAATGCTAAATTTTCTGATAAAAAAAAATTTCAATGCAAAACTTTGAAAACATATCAAACGGCTTAGCTTTTCATAATGATTTCAAATATGGTATTGGTTTTGACTCAAACAGTACTTTTTTAGATTAAAACATGTTAAGTACTAGTCTCAAATGCAAAAACTAATTCACAATATTTGTATAAGTACTCAGCAATAATTTAACCGTTTATGATTATATTTTGTGAAAATATAGACTGTTGAATGAATACTTGAGTAACATAATTTTTGATTCGACATGTCTCAATATGGTAAAATTTGCATGTCTCTTCTATCCATAAATAATTGGTTTATGATATAAAAGTTTATGTCAATATTTTGACTAAACAATGGGTCTGGATGCTTCAGAAATATCTTTATTATGTTATAAAATGATGTCGTCTTGAATCATACATAAATATAAAAAATTGTTTAAACTTAGACAGGTACACTGGAAACGATCTTCCTTCTCTTTTCAAAATATTGTTCAATTTTTTTCTCAACAAAGAATTATGTCAAAACAGGAAGTCTATTAAAACAGACAGAATTGAATTGTATTCGAATGCACTCGGATAATGTTGATGTATCTGAGCCACCTGTACACTACTCACAGAATTCAAACCGAGTTCAGTTAAGAGATAAGTTTTTATTAGTAAAAATATATTCTAAAACTGTTTTCTTGTTGATTAATTCGAATTCGCGTATAAAACACGTTCTATAATTGTTTTTAGCTGAAAACAAAAGTCGTAAATTATATTGCTAGTTCCTATGAGTATCGGCAATAGTACGATCTAGACTATGTTTAGTTAAAAATAGTGAAGAAGAAAAAACTATAAATATTCTAATCTTTATTTTATCTCATTTTAACATTGTTTTATTTTATGTAGGAATATGCAAGTAGTAATATTGATTCTCAACATGATGAAACTCATAAAGTACATACATATAGAAAAGTAAGATTAAAAATGAAATATATTTATTTGTAACAAAACAAAAAAAAAAAATCAAATTTTTCTTTTGTCTAGATTCGATTTAATCCAAATCCAGGTACACATGGTTGGATAGCATCAGCTGACAAAGTTGGTTTATTTCTTTTATTTCGATTGTCAACATCAGATTCACCTTTATCAGAAAAATTAACTCAACGTCTTCAACGTGTGCAAGTTGTGTGATTAATTCCTAGTTCAATAATCTATTTATTGATTAAAAAAAAAAAATAAAGAATAGAATGCATTATTAAAATAAAAAAAAAATACAAATAAAAATAACAAACTTATTTATGTACATGTATAAATATACTAGAAAAAAAATAAACACATATTGTGTTACCTTTTGTTTTTTTTTTTGTCTGTTTTTCTCTATACTCTTAACTTGTCAGTTCAAGTCGATATAGTTTGATTTTGCTAAACAGATCGACAAGACAAACAAAAAAAAATACATATAGATTATTTTGTATATGTCATACTTTGTTTTCTTTTTTTTTGTTTTTTGTTTTTTGTCTTCTTTCTCATTTCGTACGTACATATTGTATTCTCGACTTGCTCGGTGTTGTATTCGTTTTCTTCTTTTTTGACGTCGAATGCAGTGATTTCCTCTTGTTTGAAAAAAAATATATATATATTCTACTCTGTATATATGAAATTCTTTATTATGCGCGCGTCATTTTTTCAAAGAAAACAAAACGTTATTATTATTATTATTATATACAAAATCAATCTAAGCATTGGCATGTTGATAATTTTTCATGTACGTACATATTCAATTGTTCTTTTTTTTTGTCTGTATTTGTGTTGAAATTTTCTCTCTTTTTTTTACGGGAACAGTTTTTAGTAGATTCTCTAGAAGAACAACGGAAATGAAGAAAGCTGCCTATCTTGATTTGATGTTGTTAAGTGTGAATTGTCTATTCTTTCTTTGTTTTTTCTTTTTTTCTTTGTGTAATTTTTCTTTTTGGTTTCTGTCGGTCTCTTTCGCGCGCCTGTATTGTTGTTTATCGACAAGAAGAAAGAAAAAAACAAATGATAACTAACATTGATTGAAATCTTTTATTATAAATTATGATAAGACGTTTCTACGAGGTCGTCAATACAGGTTTATATTTACAGTATTGATCAACATAATAATACTAATGTATTTTTGATTGTTTTTCCCTGATAGCAAACATTTAACTTGTATTGAAACAATACTTTGAATAATCAATGAAGTTCTCTATCAAATGTATTTCATAACGAAAATTTCGTAGATGAACTATGAAAAGAAGATTTCTAAGAAACACTGAACACGACGGTTTTTAGATTTCAGAAGATTTTTGGAATTCATTTTTGACGGTAAAATCTTAAAGAGCACAAAATTCTGTATAGAATGATGGATTATCATATTTCCTACGGCATTCTCTTAAAAAGTTATGAGTAACAGCGTGTGGATGTGGGTTTGAGTGCACTTTTTCTCTACATGCAGACACATCCAGACACGCACATTCAAGCCAACACCTGGATGAGGCCAAACTGAGTTGTTTACAATAAAAGTCTCGTAGATTCATGATGGTTCTTGCAAGAGAAAAGTTTAATCTTTTTCAACGACTCTTCAGCCTTGGTACATGTCTTGGCAGATATGGGCGTTGGTGTCTCTTTTCTCACATCCAGACCTACATCCTCAATATGGTTTGTGACAGCGCAGATTTATCCGGTTTGGATTCGAATAGATAAGACATGTGATGAGACCTGTAAGCAAAGCCGGAATTTGTATAATGGCATTCAAGACTCACCACTATCATATGTATATCTATCTTCTTCCACATTAGATTCTTCTCCAATCTTTTGTATGAAATTCTGTATAGAAGAATTTATTTTGTTTATGATGTTCGAATCATTATTGGGTGTGTATATGAATGTGCGGTTGAAGAGAAGGTTGGCTACTTCACCCACACTCACATCCTACGTTCAAACAAGTGACTTGGAGAGGTGATAATTGATTTGATCAATGATAAGAAACAGCCTATCAGTTGTAAGCATAAGAGATATCAATGAGCTCCTTCTGTCCGATAATCATCGATTTCGAAGATGAAGACACTACGAAAGTAAAATAGCCGAAAAAAAGCACTATCAATTTTCAGTTTTTCTCTGGTTTATTACTTGACCATGAACATCAATAATTAGGGTATGACATTTTCAAAGTCATGCCATCAGGAATACATTGAGCTTGCTGAATACATATCATTGATTTATCATAACTTCCGATATCGGCTTTAATGATGAATGATTGAAGAGTTTCATTATTATGATCGATCATTAAGTGATAATTCATAAACTAAAAGAAAGTATAGATATAAAGAAATATTGTGCTCTCATTTGATCCGATGTTATTATGTTGTAAGTAAAGTTGACCAAGAGTTTTGAATCAATTGATTCTCAACTTTTATAGAAAATTCGACCATCATATGTTAGTCTATAAAAACGAGAAAATGATTGATTTTCGAGCTGTAATTTAGTAAATCTGGTTGTCTCATCAACAAGTTGTGTTTCATTGAATTGCCTACGACAGAATGCTAATCAATTCTCATAAATTCGAGCATTAACGAATGATTTCTTCTTTTCGGATAACATTTATTTAATACTATTGGCATTCAAGAGTATGGTTGAATTAGCATTAAAGCTAATGTCTTGACAACTCAAATGGTAGTTTTTATCTGAAAGGTGAAATAATTTCAGTAAACTTCAAATAGAGCTGAACAATGACATTACATTAGTTTTTGTGAATAGAAATAACAACAACAATCAGTATTTAATTCCATATAGGGGTAGATGTAGAAGTACCCCTCCAAAAATCGTGTTTGTGTTCCGAGAGTTTAAAAACACTCTTGTAAAAGAGACCATCTCAATCAAACATTGACGAGTAGCAAGTGTCGTAATAAAAAATTCATCATTGTTAAATAGCGAACATGAGAGTATGATGATTTCTCAATTTTTATACTTAAGTTCCTTCATTTTCTTTGTTACTGTGTTCTAATAATCACTCTTTTCACTAGAATTGTTGAATACGACAGAGTTCAATTATACGAACATGAATGCACTTTTCTTCTCTGCTTTTTCTTGTTCACTTATCAATGCTTCTAACAAGTTCATATAAAATGTGTGATAAATATATTTTAGTAAATTCAATAAATTAGATAACATAAAAGTGAATATGAGAACATACCCATTCTCTGGTGACGTTATATATTAATCCATTTACAAGTTAGCTGTGATAAAGATTTTGTCACATATAATCATTATAGTTTCGATGATGTCACTCGTTCAATAAGCATTGGTATAAACCTTGGTTTCTTTCATTTGAAGAACAAAATTTTTCCACCTGATAAATTAAATATTATCTTATTACCTGCAATCGAAAACGAATGTTTTACTTCATTACATATCACTTTTCTTTGTAAATATTGAAGGATAAGATGTAAGTTGATAGGCAATATTTTCAATTAATATAATAATTTCTTTGTCGATTTCTACTTTTCGTTTTAAAAGAAATCTTTTGATGATATCATCTTGGACAAAATTTTATTGTCTTTGTTGAGAAAACGTAAATATTACTTAGAAATAATGACGAATAAATTTATTTTATCATTACAATGCCCTATCGAAATAAACTAGTCTCCTTTTTACACGAGTTACAAATAAATTTTGCTATGTTATTCATTGATTTAAATCTATAAGAAACTTCTTGCTGAGTTTGTAATCAAAACGTAAGCTAACAGTAAAAAGAGTTAAGTGAATTATATGAATGTGACAAATACCTGATTATTTGAATATTTCGGTTATTGATAAATTTAGAACTTTTCTATATGTTTTTGATAAAGGAAAATCTGGTCATCGTGCGTCTAACAATATGCAATCGATGGTTTGGATTAAATGAATTTTATCTTTTTCAACATGATTTTACAAAGAAAAAAAGAATGATTTCATTTCCGAAACGATGAAAATAATTCTACTATTTTTCACAACATAAATATTTTTTATTTTTAATTTCTTCATTCTTCAATGATGTTTTAGTCGTTTTAAATATTAAAAATTCTCGAAAATCATTTGACAATGCAATGATAGCTACCTGCTATAATTTGACAGAGTCAATTTTTTTTAATTTTCTTGATTATATTTTGAAAATACATTCGCTGAAAATGTTTGAACATAAGCATTCATTCTGAAATAAAAACCAAACAGGTTTCTGATAGAATAATACCTTAATTATCGTGTCCATATAGTACTCTATAAATAATTCGGCAATAGGATTTTGATTACATATTAAATCAATCAAATAAGAAAAAAGAACATATTTCTCATCATATATTGAAATAATGTACTCTTAATACTCTGAATCATTATGACGATTTCAATCAGTACATACCTAATTACTTTAATCAATTATTTGGGTCGATTTTTCCGTCTTATCTTACAAGGCGATAAAAAAAGTAAATTACCTTGAAATTTTTTCTCTTTTTACAATAACAAACTTGACCTTGTTATCAATGTCAAATCAAAGTATTCATGTGAAAGGAGAACAGACAACGTTAGACAATTGTTCTATTATGTTTACTTCAAGGTTTACGCCTTCACTCTCACTCTCTCATTATACAAAAAAAAAGACACAAAAAAGTGAGACTCCAACTTTGAACATACACACATACAAATAAATATTTTCATAGCAGCAGTATTTGTTTTTTTTGTACAACCTGAAGAAAAAGAATATGAGTACACACAACTGTTATTGAAATAAACAAGAATAGGAAGATATCAATAGTAAGAAGCACAGTATAGATAGATGTACACAAAAGAAAAACTCTACAAACGTCTACTACTGTTGTTGTCTTTTGCAAATAAAAAAAAAAAAGTCACACTTTATCACAGAAAAAACTGCAAGAATAAACGAACACAAAAAAAAACAACAAAAAAAAAAAGAAAGATTATTTACTACTCATATACTTTTAATGAAACTAAATTATTATTATCATCTAGTAAACGATGTTTATGTATGTTATATGGTGTTGATAATTCAAGTGTAGTTAATAGTTGTTCACTATTATTATTATTATTATTAGTAGTAGTAGTAGAAGCAATATTGATACTATCATCATTATTATAAGACGGATTAGAAGTAGTATTATTTAATAGTCGTGCTGTACTTTTAGACGAATTATTTTCCTGATCTTTCAATGGACTTATACGTCGAGTAGGTACAGGAGCAAATTTAATAGCTGATGTTGTAAATACAGATGGTGCAACAGCTGTTGTTGAATTTTGAAAATGAGGTGTAGCATTATATTCAGTTTTTGCTGGTGATGTATATTTATAAATTGTTTTACATTTAAGATCATTTAATGTTAAATCAAAATCATTTGAAATAAGAAATGATGATGGTGTTGTTATTGTTGTTGATGATTCAGATGATAAAGGTAATGTTAGTGGATGTGTTGTTTGTAATGAATGGTATCGATCATTATTATCATATGTTGTTGTTGTTGTTGCTGCTGATGATGATGAAACTGTTTGATGAGAATTTCGATTATCAACAGATTGTCTTTGTAATTTTTCATTTGTTGAATGTTGATCATCAAGAGATAAACTTACTGGTCGTCGATATGTAGGACGAGATAATAAAGATGAATCTGTTTTAGTATTATTTGATGAAAGATACCGTGTAGATATTGGTATTGCTGATACTCGATTACGTCGTTGTTGTTCTTTATTTACTGATGAATTGTCACGCAAACGAGTTGAATCAAAAAATGAACTTGTATGAAGTTCAAGTTCAACAAGTGAATTTGTTGGTGATATGGAATTTTCAATAGTTGCTGTTGATGTTGCTAGTAGTTGTGATGGTCGTAAACGGTTTGTATCATAATTATTTGATATTTTTTGATCAGTAAGTGAAAGAGCTGATGATGTTGTTGAATTGAATTGTATAGAAAGAACAGGTCCATGTGCTAACCATTTATGACGAAGAATATCTTTTGTTGTAGCACGATTATTAGCATCGGGTTTCAAGCAATGTTGTATAAGTGAAAGTGCACCTATGATATTAATGAAATAAAATAGAAAAAAAAACAAGTTAAAAAATAAGCAATCCATCACCAAATAAAGGTTTTTTTCGCGCATGCTCAAGCATAGGATTTGATTAGTCTCAGATTTGGTAAAGAAATAGATGAATGGAAGAAGAAAAAAAAAGAGAGACACAAAAAAAGAAAACAAAAACAAAAATATTTGAGATTCTTATATGGATTTATTTCTATTTGATTATTGTGTGCGTGGAGGATGTTTAGATGATATATCCCCATTATGTCGTTCTTTCGATGTCCGTCGACTTGTTTTTGAAACTTGATCACTCTTGATACTCAATCGATGTGTTCGTTGTATTAAATTATGTCCATTTGTTATTGGTTTCGAGTTCATTTCAACATCTGCCTGATGACCATTTTGTACCGGTAACGATTGAAAATAAACAGGTGCAGAAGGTTTAACAGTTTTTGAACTAGATCGAGTAGTTTTTATTGCTGAGTCATCATATGATATTGCTGGTATATCTGGTGATGGCATAAACATCCCATTTTGCTTCATTGACGGTGTAAGATAATAATGAACAGGTGGATATTTATAGCCAAGATTAACCCACCAATGGGTCGCAATATCATCAATAGTAAAACGTTTTGATGGTAATACCGTTAAACATTTACGTATAAGACCGACGGCGCCTATAGATTCGGTTTTTTTCGAGTTTTTAAAAAATTTTTTATAATAGAAAAATTTCTATAGTGGACATAATGATCTTCTAAATTCTCTTAGATTATCGCTTTATATCTCTTAATTTTTAGGATGATTCTGATTACCTGATTGTTCACGAGGTTGTATGAAATCGCCTGAAGTTATATTCCGTACGAGTCGATTATAATCACCACCTTGAAAGGGCATTGAACCAAAAACAAGGGTATAGAGTAAAACACCCAACGACCAACAATCAACCTATATACACATAATTTTTCTTCATATTGAAGGGAACAAAAGAAAAATAAATACTTCAGGACCATAGTATGGAATACCGGAAACGATTTCTGGTGATGCGTATAATGGTGATCCACAGAAGGTATGTCTGATTAAAACTAGAAGATCATATACATTGACAAAAATCAATAAACGACAACATACAATAGTCGACGAGGTGACCAACTATTACTTAAACCAAAATCAGCCAACTAATAAATAAAAACAATTTTATTTTTTTTTATTTGTTTTTGTCTGTATAATAATTAATATTTACTTTGATATCACCATTATGATCAATTAGAATATTTTCTAATTTTAGATCTCTATGAACAATTTGATTCTATAAATTTTTCAAGAAGAAGAATTTTTTTTAATCAACAATTTTTCTTTTATACTTTATGAAGAAAATGAACAGCTGAAACTATTTGTCGAAAAATAGCTCGTGCTTGAGATTCTGGTATACGTTTCATACGATTAAGATAATCATATAATTCTCCGCCACTTGCATATTCCATAACCAGAATAATTTTTTCACGACTTTCATAAACTATTTATATGGAAAAAATAAAATAAAATAATACAGAACACATGTTCATTTTTACCTTCTTTTACTTTAATAATATACGGATGGTTAAGGCTTGTCATAAAATCAATTTCACGTCGAATTCTTGCCAAATCATGTGGATTTTCAATACGTGATTTTTTTATTGTTTTTATTGCAACTTGTTCATTCTTACGCTTATCTAATGCTAATTTTACTTTCCCATATGTACCTTTACCTAATGTTTGTTTAAAATCAAATCGACTATGTAGTGTTTCACGTTGTTGTCCACTAGCATTGGTATTACTTCCACTACTACCAGTATGTTCTTGGGATGATGGTGGTGTTGTTGTCGATTCACCAAAACTATTCAGACTACCTAAACTAGACCAATTTGAATGGCGCATATGTTGACGTCCACTTCCACCTGGACCACCACCATTTGACATCCTTTGAACAAAAATGAATATGAAAAAAAAATATGAACGTTGAAATGTCTCTCTTCTTTTCTCTCTCTTTCCTTCTCTCTCTCTCTCTCTCTCTCACTCTCTTTCTCTTTTTTTCCTATGGTTAATGAAACCTTCAATTACACAGCCAAATGACAAGCCTATTTCAAATTGAGCGTATGACGAAATCAGTTTTTAAATATATACATATATATGTATATATACGTATTTTGCATACTATGAAAAAAATAATAATTTCATTTTCTTGAAGCAAATTGTTGAACAAGATCGAGTTCTTTTTTTTTCTCTTCGCTTTTGAGTGTATTTATTTTTACCTGCTGCCAGTTAATGTTTGCGAATAATAATCTGAGAAACCGATTGAATCAATATCAGAACTTTGTAAGGCAATCATTATTTGTATTTCTTTGCTTATATAATAACTTGGGTATACTCGAAAATGTAAAAAATGAACTATAGCGATGTATTATTATGTATATGTTCTTTTGTATGAAAAGAGAAGAAGAAAATGAAGATAGTCAGATTGAAGAGATGGGAGAGTTATTTAATATGAACGTGTGCCTGCACAATTTTTGCTTCTGTCGTCATCATCGTTGTCCATGTAATCGGTGTGAAGTATCTTTGAAGCGATGGTATGCACGAGTATGCAAAAGAATAACGGAGAAAAAGAAAAAATGAAGAAGAAGAAATGAACTGGTCAGATGATGATTTTATATTGCAACAGCAGAAAATCGCGTTTCGTTCGTCATTTTCCTTTCTTTTCGTTCTTTCTTTCTGTATTTTTCTTTTTCGAACTTCTTTTCTCATATGTGCACTTGCCTTAGCAAATATGAAAGCGAACGAATATATGAACTGATACTTGACAAGGCAGCAAGGTGAGGACAATGTCTTTTCTTTTTTTTTCTTCTCGCTTCAAAATGAAACCACAAGTGAAAATGTGAAGGTAAAAGAGAACTAAACATAAGAGAATTTTTTCTCTTAATATATGTATGTGTACATGCGTACAATGACCTCTCAAGTGTAACCAATGTGCATGTCATCGTTGTTCTTTTTATCCTAAAGTTTAATTATTTTTTTTTTATCTATACTAATCCATCACACAAATGGATGAATTTAGTTTATAAATCTCAACAATATATTTATGTATATAGAAAGAATAAGAAAAAAAATAGGTTGTACTTGACTAACATCATGTTCGATTTTAATTACACATCTCATTTCACATTGATAGAGAATAACAAAAAGAAAGTGAACTTAATAATAAATAGATAGTAAAAGACCATGTAAGTTGAACGTAAAATATAATGTCTTACTCGGCTAATAAATCATCAATCGAATATGAACGTTGTTTATTACGTTCTAATTTTGCTCGATATAAAGTTATTTCAGATACCATAGTTATATATTCGACAAGTACAAATAATATATATATTATTAATATTTTTTAAAATTCTGCACATTGAATAATATAAGAAAATACATAAATGAAAATTGATGGCAAATAACTGTCTTGTCACCTATTTTCTAATATATATACATATATATATACATATAGGAATATACATATGTAAATGAAAAGAAAAAAAGAGCCTTCAAAGTTTTATTATGCCAAAGAAAAAATGTTACTAGTTAAAAGAATCAGCAGGTGATAGAATAAAGTGCGACCAAACGAACAAACCCGACGTGATATATTTTTTTTAATTATATCATACGTTTTTGATGAAAAAAAAAAAAAGAGGCAGAAATATATGAGGAAAAAAAAAGACAAGACTCCTTACAAGATACCTTGATGCATATAGAAATACTTTCGTGATTGACTATAGAAAGAAAAAAAGAAAAGAAAAACAAGCGACAAAAAAAAACGGAGCTATGAAAGTGAACAAATAGTTTGATAATCATGGGTAAAATAACAAGTGCATCTGAAATTATTACTTCGAACACATTTGTTCAATTAGATACTATTTAAATCATACCCTATCAATTTTCAATATAAAGTGTGTCGTCCAGAATGAAGAAAACAAAAGATTGTTGTATTCGAATGCTATAAGACTGATGTGTTATATTCAGTTTGCTTCTAGCGATGACCTTATCAATATTACGGCAAGAGACAAGAGATAAACAGAATAGAAAGAAAAGCTGGTGCAAAAAAAAAAACGCGAGAAAAAAAAGATGGTACAACGGCGACTAAACGTAGAAAAAAAAAAGAACAACGAAAAAGAACACCATTCTTCAATAAATCTTATCTTAATTAAGCAAGAATTTATATTACACAATATATTATTATTTATAAAGAATTTTCCTTAAATAAATATGTTTTTTTTTATTATTCTGTTACTTTGATATAAGGCGTTAATGGCTTTCTTTTATAGATATCGATCTAGATTTGCACAAAGTGAGACCGTTTTTTTTCTTCCGATTATGCACAGTTGGGGCGTTACGTATTAGAGTAATATGACAAAAAAAATAGAAACATTTGATTTATCTATAAGTACTGTATCGATATTAATTTGTTCGTTTACGAAATCTAAACGAGAAGTTTACTTACGGCAAAATATTATTTATTGTTGATCGTTGTGGACTGATTCTTGAATAGATTGGTTGTTGTTGTCGTGCATATTGATAATGTAAAATATCTGAACATGGTTCATTTTGAAATTGATGACGTCGACGTGATGTGGAATTACTAGTCCTAGGAACATTATAAGTTTTACCAAGTGATCGTGGCCATCGTGTATAGGACGATGACGAATAACCTGTTGGTGTATCGTACTGTGAATCAATAGTAGACGATGGTATATGTGGCGGTTGCGATGATGGAAACAGCATTGTTCATCAGTCTCTAATGTCTTCGTATGTGTTCTAGCTGCGGCTAGAATAAGAATAAGAATAAGAACAAGAAGAAATGATCAAGCACTAGTTGTTTGGTGAACTTTCTTTTCTTTCGAACACAATTTTTCTCTCTTTTGCCAGCCTTCTTCTCTTTCTCGCAAAACGCACACATTTCTCTTCCGTCTAATCATTGCTATACAGAAGGAAAAAAAGAGAAGAAAAAAGTAACTTCTATATTCACAAATTGGTCAAAAAAAAATAACCTACAGATCAAAGTCAAGTGAATGTACTGAGAAAAAAAAAAGATATCTTTTATCATCAAATGATACAAACAAATAAAAACAAAGAAACGTATAAAACACTATGGTACTGTTAGTAATATATATGTAAACAATGAATCTGTCTGTTTGTAACTCATATTGTCATGTAATAAAGGCTTTTTTTATGTATATAATACAAATGATAGTAAAGACAAAAAGAGAAAAAGAAAACAAAAAAAAGTGTAATCATATCATATATGCACGCCTTGTATCACTATCATGGGCTTCTATTTATGATAAATAAATCTCATCTAAATTGCGAGCAATCGTATATCATCATATGTGTCGTAACAGAGTATTTTTATGATTGAACATATATACATTGCTCCTCCCCTTATGACAGTCAAACGAAAAATACACATTAATATAAGGATTACTTCTTTTAAATACAAAAAAAAATGTAATCATATAACTAGGGCTTTGATTTATGATTTAAATCTATTTTTTCAAACCAATCTTTCGTTAATATTCGTTTCGTTTTAATTGCAAATAAATAGAAAAAAAAGGATTTCTTTTTTTTTTCTCTTTTATATCATATTGATTTCGAAGTATATCCTTATAGATACTAATTTTTATTTCGTGTGAATTGTTACTTTATAAATTTCTGACTTTTACAATGTAATCATTTTTCATAGCTGATCAATAAAACATTTTTTGTTATCATCGACATTTAGTTTAGATTAACGCTCTTTTGTGAAATGCAATCTGAAAGAAATATTAAAGTAAAAGGGTAGAAATTTAGACTCTTCATAGATATGACAAACATATTCACAGGACTAAATCCTTCTATGGGATTATAGTAAAAGAAAATTGAGTTTAAGATGCTTGTTGTTAGCTTCATTTCAAAACTCATTGTAATATATTACGAATAATATCTTACATCATGGACATATCAACATCTTGGAAGCCCCAGATGGAAGTATACATATTAGAATGCTTTGATTGACAATATGTGCAGATCAATCGTGCTTTTAAACTTTAATTTTGCAGGAATTAGGCTAGCAGCTTTCTTTTTGTTGTGATATATCATATTATATTGAAAATTATTTAAAAACATATTCTATTTTCATTGTTCGAGAAATAAACAATTCATGTCAAATTTTTGAGAAGATTCGCATTAACTTAAACAATGATTCAAAAGTTTTGAGCTTTCTCAGTTACATATTATTGATTCTTACTTAGTAAAAATGTAAAGACATTCAAATGGTGACACATGATGTCTTGTAACTAGATAAATATTATCCTTAATCTTTTATATCTCCTGATCTACTAATCCGGTTTGATAAATATCTATTACCAAAAGACAAGAAAAAAATATTGGAGAACCAATTACATTATGAGACGATTTATAGATGTACTCAGAATTGATTTGTATAATACCTGAGATGATTGTATTGTCGAGTTGATAAACATCAATATTCAGTCGAAAAACGATCGCAATGACGTAAAAATAATTATAAACTATTCTATTGTTTACAATTGTAATTGTGATGAAAATTAATCATTGTATTTATCACCTGTGACTAAAAATATAGATTTTTTTGTTTTTTAGTACACAAGAACAAACTTCTCTAGAATATTAATCTATTTATCTTTCGTATTATCAGAGCTAAAGATGAAAAATAAAATTTAGATTAATATTCATCTATTTTCAAGAGATAAGACTTTGAAGTTTGAACTTTTTTGGATTTCTCATAATAGAAAACAAGCAATTATCCTACATCCGTCCAAAATTCTCCGAATCAACTATATACATATATATAATTGTTGAATCGTTTATTTTTAGTACAATGGATGCATGTGAATAGAGACTAATAATATGAAGAAATCAAACGACACATTTATATTCTTCTTTCCCTTCTCAGGCAATTAATTTTTTTTATTATCATATTTTTATGAAACATTCTAAAGAATCTGTTTTACATAGTATTATATTACAAGACATTTGCATGAAAAATGTTAATTCCCATTGGATACATAAAATATATTCACATATTTCAACTTGGAAAAGAAAAGCAATGTAATTATAGCTCGTAATATGATTGTTATGATCTGTGACAGAGTCGAAAGGTGTAAACACTATGTCATCGACAGCATTTTTCTTATTGATAAGATAAAAAAATTGATATACATGGTTATCGAATGTTTTGTAAATATTGAAGTCTCACAGCAACTTCTTAGATGCAAATGGGAAATGATCTCTAACTAAATTTATCTATATGAGATTTGAGTACGTTTCAAATGGCATTATATTGAATGACATATGGTCATAAGAATATGATTAATCATATTTTTAGATTGAAAAAAAAAAAGAAATCGACAAATATATTTGACATTATATGAAAAGATAGTAGGAACTAATAAAGGAGTTGTCGTAATCATGTACTTGAGAACTATCGTGAATGACTAGTTACATGATAAGTAAAACTATATGCTCAACAAACGATTTAAAATGAACTAACACACGTGAATAGAATAAATGCAGAACAGACAACAAAGGCACAAAGATTGTATTACAAACTATTGCTGTATTATGTAATATCTCAAGATGGAAAATACAAAGGTCGCATATGTATGGTCAATTAAAAATCTAGAAGATATTTTTCAACGAAAAAAAAATACAAAGAAAACGAGTTACTAGTCTTAATCTATTAACAACTAAAGTTAAATAAAGTAGAGAAAAGCATAATAATGTTTAATTATTGTCGAAATGAAAAAATCAGGAGAATAAATACGTTATTACCACCCTTGTTCAACCAGTGACATTACAAGACCTACCTTAATGAATTAATTTCTCAAAAACTGGAACTTTCAAATATGCCTAGTTTTCAGAAGTTTGAACTGAAAAATCTTAAAAGACCGAAATCAGTCTTATTTCTGGACTTTTAAAATCCTAAAAATATCTTGTCAAATTCTCAAATTCATTTTTGTTTTTTGAAAAACCCTCTTAATTAAAAACTATAGAAATATATGAGATACACTAGAAGACTTACGTGAAAATTCCCTACACTTGGGCATAATAGAAAACCTGAGATCGTCTTTTTTTTTTTTGAAGGGGAGGGAGGAAGTTAGTTCAACAGGACTTTTTGCGTCATGGTATCAATATATATGTCAGTCAAATCGTATTTGTGTTTTTCTTCCTAAAAAATGTTTGCGATTAATTTCGAATAAATGATCATAGAAAGAAAAGCTGAACTTCAGTGCTTCGAAGTACTGGACTCATTCTTTGTCTTCCGCTGAAGAGCCCTGTCATGTTAATCTTCCTCTTTTTCAAAATCCTGGTCACACCACTATTTGAAAATTCAACATGAGTACTCAAATGTCACATGAATGTACTTAGCTACAGATCATTTCCTGTCTGCTTATTAGTTTGTCGAGATTCAGAACTAATGAAGCATTTTGTATGTAGATGAGATTACGAAATGAATTCATATGTTAATAGATAAACAAATAAGAAAGAAATCAGAAATTACAGAGCAGAAAAATAAAATCGATATTTGTTTATGTTCGAACTAACACAAATGATAATAAAACATGAAAACATTTGCAATTAGATATTTTCAACTTTTATTATGAAAGTACTCTTCATTTTGATTGATTGTATCGCTGAGCATGTGAATTTAGAAGAACAGGAGACTTACACCCTTACCATTTACACATTTCATCGGAAAAAACGATAAAAGTATTGCATTGATAAAATAAAAATAAAAATAAATAAACCTCATTGGTGTAGAGTTCATGTAAATCCACAGTTGAGCTTTTTCTCACTTAAATCTATACATGACTTTTGGTAAGAACATTATGCACCAACAAAACACTATAGATTAGACAAGATAAATGGTTTAAAACAGAAAATATTCATGTAGAACTACCCGAAAAACTGTAAAATGTGTCCATTTGCACTTTCACGACAAGAGTACAGGGTTAAGTGTCTTAACTAGAGATATCAAAAATGTTAATAGATATTCGATTTTTGAAACTAAAACAGAATAAATTGTTAACACGTCTTGTAAAATTGACAACATTTTGTCAATGAGGAAAGAGCGATACTTGATTACTCCGAAATACCTCACTTCATTCGTACTTCTTAGTGCTGAAGTCTTGCTTTTTTGCACCTTACATTTTGTTCAATGTGCTTAACTCAATCGTCAGCATGATTCGCATAATAATCCAATATCTGCAAGGTTTAATTCCTATGTTTGATTAGTTAACATTGCGAAAATCTGTTTAGTTATCACTGGTATAAAAACATATTTCTTCTCTGACAATCTTTTCATGATTCAATTTATTCAATATAATTACGATCTATATGAAATCTAATATTTAGTTTTTATTTCTTCTCTGCTGTTAAGTTTTTCTTAGAATTCATAATTCATCCCAAGTAGAAACTTCGAAAACCTTGATGTTCGTAGTTTTGCTTGTAATTTTATTTTGAATTCTAGATTATTTTTTAACATCGTCCTATTTGGCAATAGAATATATTACAAGCATTATTACTAATATCTTTGGAAATACCAACTACTTATGTTAGTCATATCGCAAAAAAAAAATTAACGAATTCCAGTGGAATTATTACAAAAATAAGCAATTGGTTTTTATTCATCTGAGTTATCATTTGTTTTAACTAATCGACGTGGACCACGTGATGCTGGTACTTTTGGTCTAGCAAATGATGATGTTGTTGTTGTATTTCCTGAGGTATCTGAATGAAGTTGTTCTATAAGATATTCCATTGTAAAATCAGTTGAATCAGATATTTCCAACTAAATAGGAATATTGCAAAGGAAAAGATTGAAATAATAAAAATATTCTTACCTTTTTATCACAAATAATACCAAACTTTTTTTCAATATTATCAATAACACTTTCTTTACAACTAGCATAAACCATACGTTGTTTTACTTGTGATCTATGTCCCGGTACAGAATAGAGAAAGACTAAAAATGAGAAAACTAGAAAATGAAATAAAGATCTAGTAAATATTACGTATTGAATCTAATTTTTTATGATCAAATTCATGTTTGAATCTATAAAGATGATATCTTCCTTGTTGATCTGGTAAATGTTTTCTAATATGTTCTGGCGTTGCATGAGCTTCTGAATGAGATAAAAGTATAAGTTCTTTTTCATGATCAATATCCTACAATAAAGTAATTTTCATATTTCATAAAAAAACAACAATTTAATAAATTTTCAAAATTTACAAATTGAATATAATCAACTTGATGTTTTTTAAATAAATGCATTGCTTCAATAACATTTTCATCAAATGGAAATTTAAGTCCTTGTAAAGTTGGATGACGAGTACTAATACTAATATCTGCATTAGCCTAAAAAAAGATATATATTTTAGGGCTCCTATAAACCACGCGATCACTCACGAACAGTCATGGATCGTCACAATCGCTAGATATGGGTAAGATGGTCTCAACGGAATAGGAACGAACACGTTTTCAATGAGAACGGTACCTTTTATGATCGTTTAAAAATTGTACCAAATATCATATTATGACGATCAATGCGTTCCAAATAGATATGGGCAAGATGGCTCCTGGCTCGGCAGAATCAGAACAAAGACCAGGACCAAAAAATGACTGTTTCCATTCATTTCTAACGATCACGCAACAATAGTCAAATCTACATTGAAACAACTACTTCATGTAAGATGATTATAGCCCAATCTAGACACTTTGCTGAATACACGATCATTCAAAACTATAATCAATATCCACATAGACCGCAATCATTGTTCATGATTACCCCGAAAGCAAAAACAGAAAATATTTGTAGTTTGCTACCTCCGGTATGAAAATCTGCAGATCCGAGATGTACTGAGCTGTTATAAATAAGATATATGGTTTCTTTTTTATTCACGTTATCTTATAGTCTAGGAAGGCAGCAGAGGAGATCTTGAGGTTATTGTAAACATTAGTGACTAGATATAGACGACGCATATGATAGGAAATTTGATTTTGTAAGAAAATGATTTTCTGTAAAAAGAATTTTACATATAACAAAACTAATATCTGAAAGTATTAGCGGTATAGTAGAATACAATACCGCTTGCATCATATCTATCTCTAAAATCTTCGATATGTTCTTTGCAAACGTTTCTTTGTTTTTTTTTATTTTGTCACAAAATCAAATTCCGCACGAACTGGAGCCAGATAGCCCCGCTCATGTCTGATAGTGACGGATCATGTGGATGTTGACTGTATGCTTGGATGATCGTGAATAGTCGCGTATCTGATACAATATCTTGATTAGCATATAATCTCGCATGAAGTAATTATTGCTATATAGATTTGATTTTTGTTCAATGATCATGATTATTCGTGACTGTTCGTATAGTTTCTAAGAGCCCTATATTTTATATTTATTTCGCAATAATCTATTTTACTTCTCGTTGATGAATTTCAAGCATTTCTTCTTCGCGCATTGTTCGTGGTGGTGGTGCTGCTTGTGTATGTAAATATTGATGAAGTGAATGAATTGTCATTTCATCCTAATAAATAAAATAAAAGCAAATATCAATTTATTGATTTCTTTTAACAAAAAAAATTTACTTTTGATGTTGTTCGAATTTCTTGAGTAATATATGTTAAACCAAATTCTCGTTTAACTGTAGCAACTGTTGATGCATATAGCATTCGTTCACGTGTCTAAATTTTCCAAACATAAAGTAATTTTATCAATTAAAAATCTTATTTATGTACTTTAGCTTCATCTGGTATATAAGTTAATAATAACCAATTATGTCCATTTAATTCACTAATTGTATCAAGACGAATAAAATAATAAGCAGCATGATCATTTTGAACTAATGGTGGAATCATTTTTTCGAAATCTGTCAAAAAATAAATTGAATATCATCATTATCTTATTTTCTTATACCTTGATTAAATGTTCGTTCAGCATTATGTTCTTCCTTACAAACAAGTTTTTCTTAATGAAAAAAAAAAAAAAAAAACAAAATATAAACTATTCGTTTCTTTTTTTCTATAGAAATTCTAAATTCCAACCATTTTCAATAACAACAACAGAAACACGAATATGTCCATCTTTCATTTCAGCAAATTTTTCACGCAATGATTTACTTGCTAAATCATAGATAAAATAAAATTTTCAATAAAAAGAAATAAATAACAATTTTTAATACCAATAATTCCTGATGGATGAGACATGGTTGATCTTTTATTTTTTCAATTTTTATCATAGACAAATTAATGAATGTCAATGACAAGTTAGAAAAGTAAGAATATAGTCAACCAGTCATATGCATAGGTTCGAATTTCAACAATGAGCACCATCTAGATATCTATTTAAATGAAAAAAAAAAAGGAAGGCTTGTATTATGCTTTTTTATTCGTTAATCCAAATCTATTTATTTTCTTGCGGTTAGAGTTTTTTGACAATTCTCAGAGAGAGACTTCATTCTATAGTATACTTTTTTTTTTGTTTTTTTTTAATACTCTGAATCATTTTCTTGTATTTTTATCATTTTTATCGATAATGTAAATACAGATGAATAGATGACTGGAATATTTGATTATTTTTTATTCGTGCTGAATTTTTAATTCCATATATAAATACATCTGTTTTTTTTCCTAATTTAGAATTCCGTTTTATATTTAGTTGAGATTAGTAGGCATCTTTATATCTGTTTCTTCTTAGCAGGGCATCGATGTTTTTATTCATCACACGTCGATTTTGCGGACTTTGTTTTGTTTCCTTTTTCTTTCTTTGCACTGTTACTCTTCATCTCATCCTTTAAATAGTTTAATGCCAAAGTTTTTTTTTTTACATTCTCATCTTTCTCTTTTTTTGTGTGAAGAATATTAGCACTTTGCTAAAATAATCAGAAGAAATAGTTTTAAAACTAAGCCATTCTTCTTTCTTCTTTGTTTTGTATTTCTGTCTTTTATTTTATCTATTTGATAAAAAAAAAGATAATTACATCTATGTGAAAATCCGTTCTGAAAGAAACTTTTTTTTCTACAAAACCCATCATGCGTATTCTTTTTCCTTTTTCTTTTCATAAATGATAGTCTTGAAAGCGAACGCAGGTAGAGTGCATGACAACAAAAAAAGGCTTATGTCATGCAAGCAAGACATCAAAAAGAAAAAAAGTGCACATTCATTCTATAATAATTCTGCTTCATGTCACTCTTTTTTGCATTACTTGATTTGATGCAAAAAAGAAAGAAAAAGAACTTTCTTCTTTCTTTTTTGAATAAAAATATGTAGGATTTTCAAATATAAAATGAAGCGATATTTTTTTTTTATTGTAGATTTACATTCGTACGTATTTATCAAAAGGAAAAAAAAATGGTTATGCCTGCTTTAAAATGTCCTTATTTGGCTCAATTAACTTTACAACAAGTACGAGCATCGGCTCCAAATATTCTTAATGCTGGTGCAGAATCATGTCCCATATTTGGTCAATTAGTTCGAAAAATATCAACAACAGGTATTAACGATACAGTATCATTGAATACTTCATCATCATCGTCAATGAATTTTGATGATGTCAAAGCTGTTCATGAAAATTTTCTTGGTCGAAAAACATCCAATAAGGTTACAATACCAACCGCAATTAATAAAATAGCAAATTCCTATGGTGAAAGTAAGAATATTAAGAAAAAATTAATATCTTAGTTTTATAATATTTTTAATTAAAAGTTATTATTTCGACTGAATGTGAAGATCTTTTATGTCCATTTTTAAAAGCAACGCCAATTACACTTCGTCGTTTAAATAATGATCAGCATATGAATCAAATTCATCGAAAATTAGGTAAATTATATTTCATTAAAAATAATTTAAAAAATATTTTTTGTTTTTAGAAAAAATAATGAATCCAATGATTAATCATACAACTTTATTTCAATATAATAATTTTTTTGATGAAAAAATTGAAGCAAAAAAACGCGACAATTCTTATCGAATATTTAAACGTGTACAACGAAAGAGTGGTCTTTTTCCACAAGCTGAAGAAAAGAAAAATTTAGATGATGATAAGGATTCCCGTACAATTACTGTTTGGTGCAGTAATGATTATCTTGGTTTAGGCCAACATCCTAAATTAAAAAAAGCAGTCATGTAAGCGAAATCAAATATCTCACGCATTCTACTCAGATAATAGTTTCGTAAAGAAATCTTTATACTAAAATAGAAAGAATTAAAAAAGACTATTATTTATGCATGAAGATCTTTACGCATCATACACAACTAGTTTTCTAATCAAATTTTGAATATGCATTTTGTTTTTCTTATTAGTGACGCAGTTACATTACATGGTTCTGGTTCTGGTGGTACTCGTAATATATCAGGTACAAGTCCATTACATGAAAAACTTGAACAACAATTGGCAAATCTTCATCAAAAAGAATCAGCACTTTTATTTACATCATGTTATGTTGCTAATGATACAACATTATTTACATTAGCTAAAGCATTACCGAAATGTCATATATTATCCGATAGTGGTAATCATGCATCAATGATTCAAGGTATAAGAAATAGTCACGTACCAAAACATATATTTCGACATAATGATATTGGACATTTGGAAGAATTATTAAAAAAACTTCCAAAATATACACCAAAAATTGTTGCATTTGAAACAGTTCATTCAATGGATGGTATAATATAGAGATTTTCACATAGAAAATAATTTCAATTATGTTTATAAATAGGTTCAATTTGTAATTTGGAAGCTATGCTTGATGTTGCTCATGCTTATGGTTCAATAACATTTATCGATGAAGTACATGCTGTTGGTTTATATGGTCATAATGGAGCAGGTATTGGTGAACGTGATCATGTTCTTCATAAAATGGATATTATTTCAGGCACACTTGGTCAGTAAAAGTTTTTTATCTAACAAAAAATTGATTTCGTTTTGTCTCATAGGTAAAGCCTTTGGTAATATTGGTGGTTATATAGCTGGTAATGCAAAAATGACTGACTTCATTCGAAGTTATGGTTCAGGTTTTATTTTTACCACATCAATACCACCAACAGTTTTAGCTAGTGCTTTAGCTGCTATTGAGGTTAAAAAAACTTTTTCAATGAAAAAAACCTTCGAAAACAAAGTGTTGATTTTAGATTTCAATGAGTGATGAAGGTCGTTCATTACGTCGTAAACAACAGGAAAATGTTCGTGAGTTACGATCGAAATTGATTGATGCTGGACTTCCAGTAATGATATCACCAAGCCATATTATTCCAATTCATGTATGAATTATACTTTAAAAACAACTATAAGTTTTTCGATGATTTTTGACTACAGAAAGGTATATATGTAGGATTGTACAGAAAAACTTCCTCTATCTAATGGTTAATGCATTGTCAAGTTCTACTCAGGTCTACCAAACATAAAGTACAACTCGTGAAAAGCAGCGCCAACTTCAGCATAATGTGCCCTAGACCGGGCTCTGCTGCGTCCTGTTGATATTTCAATAGGTGACGCCACTTTCGCCATACCTACTGTACAATGCGTCGAAGGTGGCGTCATCTGTTGACATGGGAAGGATCCGCAGTAAAACTTGATAACGCATATGCTATTAGATAGAAGAAATATTTCTCTTACTGATGAGCGAAAGTAACCTCTTTTGGTTCCTGCTGCGGTCAGAAAATAAAATTTTGGCTTCGATTTCGGCCCGAAAAATATTTGGTTCCAATCCCGTCTGTGGTTAAAAAAAAGAATTTAGGCTCGGCTTTAGTAAAAACAAAACAAGTGGTTTCGGCGTGATCGGCATTACCTTGCCCGTATATACTTTGTCTACAATCCTACATATATATCCCGTTCTCTAATCAAATTCTAATAGTCTTCATTGCATTAATTATTTATTGTTGTATGGTATTTGTTTTTTCTAGGTAGGTGATGCAGCACTTGCTGCACTTTTATGTAATCATTTACTTGATCGTTATTCAATATATATTCAATCAATTAATTATCCAACTGTTGAACGAGGAACTGAACGTTTACGTATTGCAGCAACACCTTATCATACAAGTGAAATGATTGATCAATTAGTTGATGCATTAAAACATGTATGGCAAGATGTTGGCCTTACTTTAAAAGATGTTGAACAACAACATCGACAACAGCCTATACTTATGCGACACCATGCTTAATAATCAGTTGTCATGATGAACCTTTTTCTTTCCTTTTTGCTTCGTAGATTTTCTTTACTTCTCAATTTAGTTAACTGATGTTGAATTTGAGAAAAGAAACATACTTATGTTAATCTCAGTAGACGTCCTTCATATTCAATTTTACATCTTCCTTCAATTCCCTTATTATTGCATAATAATTACGATTACAATATTCTTTAATTCTGTCTTATGGCAATGTTTTTTTTCTGATCATTTAAATTGAAAGAAAACAAGAAAAAGATTTTTTTTTCTTATTGCGTAGATTTTTATTTCTATTCGCAGAATTGTATCTTGATGAAATTTACAAATAAATGAGTGAAATAAAAAAATTTTAAACCAATGTGCTTTATTGTTGTCTGATACACGTGCTTTCCAATCAATTATATATTATTCAATGTTGATTTGAAAATCGATGACGAGAACTACTAATTGTAAAAAAAACAAAAATATATGTGATACATGTTCGGCATACTATTTAATACTTTTTTCGTATTGTAGGCATGTATAGAAAAAAAAAAGCCGTAAAAACAACAACAAAAAACTGCCAGAGCTACTGAGCAGGAAACAAATAAACAGTGCTTCCTCTCAGCTATCGCTTTCAATCTAATAAGAATGTTCCTCATTTCAAATAAAAACCAATCGTCAATATATATACACAAAGAAAAAGAGAACGATTGCATTGAAACATATTTTCAAAAGCCTATTTCTTTTTCCTGTTCTCTTTCTATTTTTCTCATAATATTATTATATTTTTTTTCTCTTTTCATACACGATCGCCGTTTTCATTCGACTTGTATTTCAATACAGATTGATTAAGCATGAAAATCTCCGCCGATTGATAAAATCAAGTGACATTACATATTAATAGAATCAATTATTTATTTTATTTTCAAATAAATAACAACGATGAATACAACTTCTACTGACTGTAATACAGAAATTACAGCTGATAATCGATCAAGCCCAGTTTCTAATGAAGAATGGAATCAACAAACACTTATTGATGTACGAAATATTCTTCAACCGCAAATATCAAATGCATCATGGCAACATTTTCATGAACAACAGTCGGGAAAAAGTAAAATAGATTGTTTTTTTTTTCTTTTTGATGACCAAAACTTTGTGTATGTATTTTAGTTGAGAAACAAACTATTTATCCTAATTATATTCTTCATCCGGAAGCTATTCCGTCTCTTAATAATGTTTCACAGGAACTCAATAAGCGTCGTAATGTTCATTGTAATGATCCTTTAATGCTTGAAACATTGGAAACAGAAATTCCAATGGATATTGCAAGTTTATTACAGGATGAAGTTGAACGTGCTGTACAAAATCGGTTAGGAAATTTTTTTTTTCGTTTGTTTTTTTACATTTGATTATTATCAATAGAACAACTAGCAATCAAAATAATGATCAAGAAAATAAAGCTGAAGTACCAGACGATATGGAAAATTCATTTCAAGGTATAGTTACTCCTGAACACATAGCTTCAACAAATCTATCAAATAAACCATTTGAATATCATCAACAAGAATCATTTTTAACACGTTCATTAAGTAATGATAAAACAAGCTTAAGTGAAGTATTTCAAAGAATAAAAATATCTGGCGATTCTCATATGCCATATATTGAAGATCTAGAAGATTCTGTTACTCCATTACTTCGTGCATTAGTTATTCGTGAAAAGTATTATTTAAAACTTTTAAAAGATAAATTTATTTACAATTTTTTTTTTGTTTTTCTTTTTTTTTGCGAAAGATATATGTTTTTCAGTCTACAATCATATCCACCAACGGTTGCCAATTTTTTAAGTAAAACATTAGAAGAAGAAGAAAATCAATCACGTCGTGCATCATTAAGTGTCAATCGACTTAATATAGGTTCGAATCTATTGCTAAATTAGTTTTTCTTTCATCATAATTTTACATTTGCTGTTTCTTCCTTCTCACACATTCTCTTAATGATTGACGTGTGCTTGTGTGAAATAATATCTTCTTTTTATTTAGAATCTAATTTCAAAGATATTTTTATTTCTCTTAATAATCGGATATCACTTGAACAAATTGATCAATCTATATATTTGCACACGAAATTACAACTATTAGCTTCTGAAAAAGAGCATAAAACTAACGAAAACAAATCTGGTACTTAAAAGTTTTTTTTTTGACGAATGCTATAAAAAATGAGCACAACCGTCTAATGTTTGCTTTTGTTTAATGATTGCCTTGTGAATGTATTTTAAATGAAAGTTTGAATATACTATTGTACAGATTTTTCTTAATTAGGGGAGCCTTATCAACGACATCCACCAGATATAAAACGTGAAGAGGCACTTAAAATCCCATTACTTCCACGTATTGATTTTTGTGTTAAAGCAGAAAAGGGTATTTATTGTGCTTATATACTTAATGAAGAAAAACAATGGATAGCAACTGATTATCCGTCCATTGATCGTGATGATTTTATTGAAGATTATATACTCCTATCAAAAATGGTTACAGATGGTCCATTAAAATCGTTTTGTTATCGTCGTTTACAATATCTTAAAGCTAAATATGAATTACATTGTTTACTTAATGAAGTTAAAGAATGCGCAGAAATTCGATCAATTCCACATAGAGATTTTTATAATGTTCGAAAAGTTGATACACATATTCATGCAGCATCATCGATGACTCAAAAGCATTTATTACGTTTTATGAAGAAAAAACTGAAAACATCAGGTGATATGCAAGTTTATAAAAGATATGATGGAAGAATTATGACATTACAAGAAGTTTTTGATGAATTAAAAGTTACAGCTTATGATTTGAGTGTTGATCTACTTGGTGTTCATGCTGTAAGTAAATAGGATGAAATTTTCAAATCACAGATATATTCATTAAAACTTAAATGCACAATTAAATTAGATAGAAAAGAAGAAATTCATTCATTAATGATTTCGCGTCAAATGTAAATGTTTCGAATGATTTAATATTTCTCATCGTTTCAGCCTATTTAAATTCAAATAAATTATTTAAAACATTCTATAAAGACAAAACAATTTAGTAGAAAAAAAATAAAGATGGACGATGTTAAATACTTTGAATTTGATTGGTTTTTCATATGAATACAAAAGAAGACTCGATTCTACAAGTTGAATATAATAATAGAAGAACAAGTATAGACATACTGTTCAATATAACACATCATTATACGATCAGCATAACATCGTTGTTCGACACGGTATCCACAAGGTACTGTGTACAAATCACAGGACCATCAATCATGCTATAATCCTGGAGAAGTCATTAACTGCTGTTTGTCTCGTATTACCCTTCCGATTACATGCTGACTACATTGTAACATGCACCTACTCTTGTAGTTAGTTAACGTGCGTGAGAAAGATATCGAGCTATTGTTCCTTCTTCATTTCTTCGTTATAATGTATGATGACGAGGCTATTTTACAGTCTGCATCATCTATCTCATTTGCTTTACAAACTTCCGCTTACTAATGAAGGAAGCTTTCCAAATGCTTGTTTCCGGCTTCAATGATATTTTTAACCTATAGATATGTAATAGCATTCTAGCGAATATTGTAAAAGGATTTGAGTACGTTTGAAGACTCAGTAGAGCTATTGAATTTTTAATGTTTATTTGCCAGAGGCTCTTTGGAGGTTCATATGAAAACTTTCAGCGTTTGGACATTTCGTATTTTCTTCGAGATATGAGCTTTTGAAAATATTCTTGTATTATTCAATACATGCCGAAAAGTGTCTGTCTTTGAAAAGTTCATAGCTTGAAACTCTCCATATAAGCTAGTGTGCATTAAACCTTCATATTGAGGTAGTTTCAAGATAAAATTTGAAAACAAAAGCTTTTCGAAAATGAAGAGTTCTACAGAGATCTTCTGGCAAATGGACATACTAAAAATTCGATACCTTTGTTAATTCTCAATAGGAACTCAAGTCTTTTTAGGGTATTCACTAGAATGCTCTTTAATATCTATGGGTCAAAAAATCAATGAAATTGAAAGGAGTTGTTCAGAGAGGCTCTTGTGTAAATCTATGATCAGAATAAAAGCAAATCAAATTTTTAGGATCGACATACATTTCAACGTTTTGATCGTTTTAACGCAAAATATAATCCTATTGGTCAAAGTGAATTACGGTAAGATATTAAATAATTTTATTTATTTTGTAATACTTCTTTCTTATGTAGAGAAATTTTTCTTAAAACTGATAATTATGTTGATGGAGTATTTTTTGCTGATCTATTAAAAGTAATATTTTCCTTTTCTTTTGTAAACACAAAAAAATACATCTATATTTTCTTTTCAAGGAAGTTATATCTGATTTAGAAGAGAGTAAATATCAACATGCCGAACCTCGTTTGTCGATCTATGGTAAAAGTATTGATGAATGGAGTAAATTAGCGAAATGGTATATTAAAAATTCAATGTATTCGACAAATGTGGCTTGGATGGTACAAATACCTCGTCTTTAGTATGTTTCTTTAACAAAAAAACTTTTTATAGTTCATTAAGAAAAGTTTTTAGCACAATCCTTGTGCAATTAAAATGTAAAACACGATGCTTCTACTGTTTCGAATTACAGAGAGATTGTTTAGAGATTCCATTTATATACGATTTTTGATCGTATATCAATAACGTTCATTACGATTTATGAGGGAGGAGGGAAGCGTCGCTAAGGCACCTGTGACGGTCTTTCAATGTCATTTATCATAATCTGTGAGAGTGAGCAGTGTTTTCTTCAGATTTTCTCTTCTGATGGACCAATTTAAAATTTTGTGAAGGAGAACATTTATTTTTGGAAGCACAGATACATAAAATGTGGTCAATAATCACAAATTTCCAGAGGACTAACTTCATTTTTGTAGCTGCATTGTCTCCTTGAGCTTCACACTTAGTAAAAAACTGAGGAAGATGAATGTAAATTTCTATCCTATGCATTTTGACATCCTTTTTATATTGTGTTTAACAAAATAAATTCGTTCTTTAGTGATGTTTATTATGCAAATGGTATGGTGAAAAATTTTCAAGCTTTTTTAACAAATATATTTCAACCATTGTTTGATGCAACTATTGATCCTGAATCACATCCAGATTTATTTCGTTTTATGTATCATTTAACTGGCTTTGATTCCGTTGATGATGAAACTAAACCTGAAAAACCAACAGTTACAGCTGATATGCCATATCCAGATGAATGGAATACAAAAGAAAATCCACCTTATGCTTATTATTTAGTATAAAAAAAAAAAAATCTATGATGAAATTTATTTTGTTTATTTATTTGAATATTTTTAGTTTTATTTGTATACAAATATTCTTACACTTAATCAACTTCGAAAGTTTGAATTTAAATTATTTTTTTTGTTTAAATAAAAATTTTGTTTTATTATTAGAGCACGTGGTCTAAACACATATCAACTTCGTCCACATTGTGGTGAGGCTGGTACTGCAGCACATCTTGTTACAGCTTATATGGTTTCAGAAAATATTTCTCATGGTTTACTTTTACGCAAAGTATTTTTCTTTTTATATATTAATATTATTATTTTGGTTTATATTTTAGTCACCAGTATTGCAATATTTATTTTATTTATGTCAAATTGGTATTGCTATGTCACCATTAAGTAATAATTCATTATTTATTAATTATAATCGAAATCCAATGTTGGAATATTTTGAACGTGGTCTTTGTGTATCATTATCAACAGATGATCCAATGCAATTTCATTTCACAAAGGTTTATTTCTTTTAGAACGATTTTACCTTCATATAGACCATGTTTTTATCTATTACTATGGAAAGAAAAAGTTTCAATCTATTGAAACTTTTATATGTGATTAAGAACTCGCGATCGAATTTTATCGCATATGACTAATTGTTGTACTCGAATGTTAGGCTCTGATATGATACAAAAATTGTTCTATTATAAACATTAGGTTTATTATATATTATGATTGTGTGGAAGTTAATAGATTAAGTTTAACAAGAATGAGCACAGTGACCGATGGCTTGATATTATCTATTTACATTGAGCCAATAAATTTTAATTAGACTGCTTCAATATTGATGCAGAAAGTTCAAAAACGAAGAAAATGAGTAATATCGGTTTAGTAACGAGTCATCTGTAAAGAATGGAACACGTTATTTTTTTAAAACAGCGCAGATACCGCTGAGAGACTTTGTTTTGATACCATTCCATAGAGAATTTTTCACTCTATAAAGCTGTATATGGTGCTTGTTAAATGAATTCCTCTTATTGAAGAATAATTCAAAATATTGAACGCTACTCAGTCATTCAATGATGGTGGTCAAAAAAATGATCAAATTTCTTGCATATCAATTTACTAGTACTTCAAATATACTTTAAAACTCTGCATCTTTTCATATTTTTTTCAAGTAACAATTCCGAGAACGCTACAAAAAATATTTTTCTGATAAGTCTATGTCATTGTTTGTTTTTAATTCGGAAAAACCTAACGATTTTCATTATCCGACTTGAAAGTGACATCATTTTGTTCAAAATAAAAATCTGATACCATACCAGTAAAACCTTCATAGTGCAAGTCTGACTTTTGAAAACACAAATTTAAAAAGTACATTCAGAATTACCATCAGATGTTTGTTCTTGGTATTTACTGATGCTAGATGCTTTACTTTTAACCTTCTCAATCTAAGAAAAAGACAGGAAAAACTGATATGTCTATGTTTTTTTCTTACTTTAAACAGAAATAAAAATTAATATTTAGTCAACGGATAAGTACAAAGCATACGTGCACGTTTACAAGAAAATAAGAGAAGAAAACAAACAAAAGTTTACACTAATAAGACATACACATTTTGAAAGTCTTATACTACGTATAACCACTCAGTTTTTTCGAAATTATGTCTACATCAAAAGTAGCAGATGTTCGATACATTTTGCTTCTACTTGGCGTACTTAATATTGAAAATATATGAGTATTAATTGCTGGTACTTGGAACGATTCAAATTAAAAAAAAAAGACTTTTTCATTTTGTCTTGTAAAATGAAATAAAAATTGAAAAAGCCTGATCGTGCAACTTTTTAATCAGAATAATCAAATATTCGTTAAACGACTGTCTAAAAAAGAACAAAATTTAAAAACTTTTAGGAACCATTAATGGAAGAATATTCTATTGCCGCTCAAGTATGGAAATTATCATCGGTTGATATGTGTGAATTAGCGCGAAATTCTATTTTAATGAGTGGTTTTTCTCATGAAGTATAATTCCATAAGAAATTTTCTTTTTCTTAAAATTAATTTTCTATTATTTAGGTTAAAGAATATTGGCTTGGTTCAACTTATAAAGAACATGGTGTTGCTGCTAATGATATTCGTCGTACAAATGTACNACCACTCAGTTTTTTTCGAAATTAGGTCTACATCAAAAGTAGCAGATGTTCGATACATTTTGCTTCTACTTGGCGTACTTAATATTGAAAATATATGAGTATTAATTGCTGGTACTTGGAACGATTCAAATTTTAAAAAAAGACTTTTTCATTTTATCTTGTAAAATGAAATAAAAATTGAAAAAGCCTGATCGTGCAACTTTTTAATCAGAATAATCAAATATTCGTTAAACGACTGTGTAAAAAAGAACAAAATTTTTAAACTTTTAGGAACCATTAATGGAAGAATATTCTATTGCCGCTCAAGTATGGAAATTATCATCGGTTGATATGTGTGAATTAGCACGAAATTCTATTTTAATGAGTGGTTTTTCTCATGAAGTATAATTCCATAAGAAATTTTCTTTTTCTTAAAATTAATTTTCTATTATTTAGGTTAAAGAATATTGGCTTGGTTCAACTTATAAAGAACATGGTGTTGCTGCTAATGATATTCGTCGTACAAATGTACCAGCTATTCGTATAGCTTATCGATATGAAGCATTTTGTGAAGAACTTCGTTTACTTTGTCTTGCATATAAAAGTCGACAACAGGTATTTGTTTTAAAAGATAGAAAAAAAAAAAAAACAGAAATAAATTCATTTTTAATTTTTATAGAAAAGAAAATAGTCGATTCGTAAAATAAATTTTCATCGAAATTATTACACATTATTAAACCCGAAATATCCAAGATATTTATTATCGGCTTGAATGTTTTATTGTGTCAAATTAATCATTTCTTTTGATTTTTAATCGGTTTTTTTATGTTCTAATTAATGATAAACATCAATTAATGCTAAACGAGGAATACTAATTATTATATTAAGTTAACTGAATTTTTTATAATCTAGCCCTTTTTTTCTGTGATAATTGTTTGTTTTACTAATATATTGTTTTTAATTGTAATAAAAATATTAATAGGTAAAAATTCAATCTTTATCAAATGAGCATAAAAATCTACCTCTATCTAGATTGTGACATTCGATTATATAACCATGTGACCATCAAGCTCCAAATTTTACCATATGTTTTTCGTTCTCTTTCTTCTGCATACTTTTTAGACTAATCTAAATAAATAAAGAACAACAACGATAGAAACGAAAAGGAAGGTGTGTAGCTGATATAACATATTGTAACGTATCAGCAGAAAAAAGCATACCTGAGGTTTTTATTTTTTATTCGATAAAAACATGTTTACAAGTAACACAAAACGTTTTTTTGCACGTCCACAAACAAGTTGGATCATATTTCAATTCAAAAAACGAAATAGTTCAACAGCACCGTCAACAAAATTAACTTCAAGTTATTTTCATCATGTTTCATCACTTCCATTTGTTTATAAAACAATAGGTCAAAATTTTGATGAAACGGCTGCTAAATATCCTGATCATGAATGTTATATTTTTAAAAGTATATTGATCAAATAATTATTAAATTTGATATGCATAACATAAATTTTTTAGGCGAACAAAAACGATATACATTCAAATCATTTAAAGATGAAGTTGATAGTTTAGCTGCATCTCTTATTGAACTAGGCTTTGAAAAAGGTGATCGATTTGCTGTTTGGTTACCGAATACATCGGAAAATGTTGCAATGTCATTTGCTACATCTAAATTAGGCCTTATCAAAGTAAAGTTTTACTTTNAATTGAACCTCTAACTCACGCTGCTTCTTTGTATGTCGAATAGAAGAGCAAAATCAAACGAACATGATACAATTCTACATCTCTGTGTTTTTTGTAAATATTTAAATAATTAATCCGTGATTAATTACTAAATCACTTTTTAATCAGTTATTAATAAAAGAGTTCTTACCATATTTAGCTTCGCTACAATTATTTAGTATTTTTACTCTCAGAAAATTTAATAATACAAAACATAGTTCTGTAAACGTGTTGCTGTTGCGAACATAGAAAAATAAAACAAAATAAAATATGACTGACATATATATACAGTAAAACCTCTCTATATGGGCACCTCGCTTATATGAGCAGTCGGCGAAACGACCGATCAATTTTTGCTGGAAGTGAGTCTTTCTAACAAGAGTGTGGGTGGTTGTGGGTGTAAGAAAAAACCACACCCACACCCTGCTTGGCATGCTTATTATTGAAGTATGTGAGTATGAATTGCTGGTACTTGGAGCGATTTAAATTTAAAAAAAAGACTATTTCATTTGTCTTGTAAAATGAAATAAAAATTGAAAAAATCTGATCGTGCAACTTTTTAATCAGAATAATCAAATATCCCTTTAACGAATGTGTAAAAAAGAACAAATTTTTAAAACTTTTAGAAACCATTAATGGAAGAATATTCTATTGCTGCTCAAGTATGGAAATTATCATCGGTTGACATGTGTGAATTATCATGAAACTCTATTTTAATGAATGGTTTTTCTCATGAAGTATAATTTCATTAGAAATTTTCTTTTTCTTGAAATTTATTTTCAATTATTTAGGTAAAAGAATATTGACTTGGTTCAAGTTATAAAGAACATGGTGCTGCTGCTAATGATATTCATCGTACAAATGTACCAGCTATTTGTGTAGTTTATCGATATGAAGCATTTTGTGAAGAACTTCGTTTACTTACTCTTGCATATAAAAGTCGATAGCAAGTTTTGCTTTAAAAGAGAGAAAAAAAACAGAAATAATTTCATTTTTAATTTTTATAGAAAAGAAAATAATCGATTCGTAAAATTAATTTTGATCGAAATTATTACACATTAATAAATCCGAAATATCCAAGATATTAATCAAGATCGTGTCTTAAAAAAAGTTATTTTATCGAGAGGCTTATTTCTTTTATATTTTCGACTTAGATGTTTGATTGTGTCGAGTTAATTATTTCTTTTGATTTTTAATCTTTTTTTATGGCCTAATTAACGATGAACATCAATTAATGCTAAACAAATAATACTAATTATTATATTAATATAACTGAATTTGTAATAATCTTAGTCCTTTTTTTTTCATGTAACAATTATTTGTTTCACTAATATATTGTTTTTAATTGTAATAAAAATATTAAAGCCCCTCCTCCATCCCTCAAAATTCGATCTCGGCCCATGTACATTTAAATTGACTGAAATTTTTACCATATGTTGAGACCATAGTGGAGAGGCTATGACAAAATTTTCAGCTCGATACCATGACGTTTGACTGAGATATTCACCCAACAAGGGTAAAAAATAGCTCATTTTGTGACGAAGATTTTTCCGTCCAGGTTCGAGTTATATATTTTTTTTCGTAGAAAGAGCAGGGTAGAGGTGCGGGTGTGGGTGGGAATTCATTTCTACTGATACCCACATCCACACAGTCACGCGCATATCTACCCACACCCAAACCCTTCTTTTTTTTAAAATTCTTAGTTTTTTAGCGGAGAAAGGGGATCCTAAGTTTAATGACTCAAAAAACGCGCCAAAAATGGATGTCTAGGTATATAATTATCTATATATATAATAAGAATAAAGCTTAAGTAAAAAAAGGGACTCTGTGGTGCCCTGTATCGCGACATGCTCTTTCAAACAATAAAAAAAAAATTAAATATATAGATTGAAGATCATCGGAGAATTCTTCGTCATAAGATTAAAGAGTCATAAACCGAGAAAAAATGAAAAACATTTTTTGATTTTTCAAAAAACAGCTGATTTTTCGAATAGGGATTGATGGAAACCTTGAAAATTCGTTTGGAAAAACGAGGTAACAAGAAAAACAAATTATTGTTTATGAAAGAGCAGATGACAGGCTATCTGCCAATGTATTTATCTCAACTTTAGCCATTCTGACGAAAACTGACTTTTTTTCGAGGAAGCAGGGGGGGGGGGGGCTTAATAGGTAAAAATTCAATCTTTATCAAATGAACATTAAAAAAACTAACGTTATCAAGGTAGTGACATTCGATCATAATCCATGTGACCATCAAGTTCCAAATTTTACCCAAATGCTTTTCGTTCTCTTTCTGCTGTATACTTTTTAGACTAACCTGAATAAATAAAGAACAACAACGATAGAAACGAAAAGTAAGGTGAGTAGCTGATAATAACGTGTTTTAACGTATCAGTAGAAAAAAATATACCTGGGGTTTTTTATTTTTGTATTCGACACAAACATGTTTATAAGTAACACGAAACTTTTTCTTGCACGTCCACAAACAAGTTGGATTATATTTCAACTCAAAAAACGAAATAGTTCAACAACACCATCAGCAAAACTAACTTCAAGCTATTTTCATCATGTTTCATCACTTCCATTTGTCTACAAAACAATAAGTCAAAGTTTTGATGAAACATCTGCTAAATATCCTGATCATGAGTGTTATGTTTTTAAAAGTATATTCATATAATAATTATTAAACTTGATATGCATAAGATACATTTTTTAGGCGAACAAAAACGATATACATTCAAATCATTCAAAGATGAAGTTGATAGTTTAGCTGCATCTCTTATTGAACTAGGCTTTGAAAAAGGTGATCGATTTGCTGTTTGGCTACCAAATACATCGGAGAATGTTGCAATGTCATTTGCTGCATCTAAATTAGGTCTTATCAAAGTAAAGCATTATTTTATTTTGAAATATTGCTCATTACAATCATCTTAGGTTAATATAAATCCAGCTTATGTTGGACGTGAACTTGAATATTGTATAAACAAAGTTGGATGTAAAGGTATTATACTGTCACCAACAGTCAAAGTTATTGAATCATTATCATTGTTTCGTCGACTTGTACCAGAACTTGATCAACATTCAGTATCACGAGAACTTTCATCAAAAGTATTACCAACATTAAAACATGTTATTCTAACTGGTAAACAATCATCAATATCTGGGCTTCATTCATATAATGATTTGATTGAACGTGGTGCAAAATTATCATATAATAAATTAAATGAAAGACAAGCATCTGTTAATCCTGATTCACCTGCTGCAATATATTTTACGTCAGGTACAACAGGTCAACCAAAAGCAGCGACATTAACCAATTTTGCTATGCTTAACTTAGTTCATGCTCAATGGGAACATCTTGGACGTTTCTTTACTCGTCTCTGTGTTCCTATTCCATTTTTCCATATTTTTGCAGAAGTTGTCGGTATACTTAATGCTGCTGTAGCAAAATGTCAAGTTGTTTTTCCAGCTATTTTACCTGATACAGTTTCAACCATGCAAGCTATACACGAAGAAAAATGTACATCACTTATAGGTGCACCAATTATTTTTCGTGATATGTTAACACATCCAGATCGAAAAAAATATGATTTAAGTTCATTGGTCTTTTCTGTACTTGGTGCAAGTCCTATGCATTATGATTTCTTACGTCAATTAGAAACAGAAATTCCGATTAAACGTGTTGCTCAAGGTTATGGAATGACGGAAAATTCTGCAATACTTACAAGTGGTATGTGGGCTGGTGATGACGATCCGAAACGTCGTCTAGGATCACTTGGTAGATGTATGCAACGTTTAGAAATCAAAGTTGCTGATCAAGAAGGAAATACTGTACCTATTGGACAACAAGGGGAAATTTGGGCAAAAGGTTATCCAATTATGGTTGGATATTATGGTGATCAAGAGAAAACACGAGAAGCATTAACACCATCAGGATGGCTTCGAACAGGTGATCAAGCAACAATGGATGAAGATGGTTATCTTTATTATATCGGACGTCAAAAGGAAATTATTATTCGTGGTGGTATTAATATTTATCCAATCGAAGTTGAAAATACAATAATTGAACATCCAAGTGTTGCTGAAGCACAAGTTTTTTCTATTCCTGATGAACGTTATGGTGAAGAAGTATGTGCATGGATTAAACTAAAACCCAATACATCTCCATGTCACACAGAAGATATTAGAAAATTTCTATCTGATAAATTAGCCTTTTTTAAAATACCAAAACATATTCGATTTGTTGATAAATTCATTATGACAGCAACAGGAAAGGTACAAAAATTTAAATTATCTGAATCAATGGTTAATGAATTGAAAGAATCAAAAAATAAACAATAAATTTTCTTGGTGCTTATTTTTTTCACTTATGATACGTAGCTTAGTAACTTTTCCGCTTTTTTATCAAGTAGATTTGCAATGAATAGATTATTCATCGAAACATTACAAAGAAAATAAATATGTAAATTTGAAGAAAGATGGCAGTTGAGTTGTTGATGCTGATGAACAATAGTATTTGGGCGATTTGCAATATATTGGTACCGTTTCAATTTATAACGTATATTGCCAATCACTCTGGTTCATAATGATCGATTTGAAATTTTTTTTTTGTTTTGATCTACTATTTAACCCTCACTACCTGACAAAAAGTCAAGTTTTTATCGTATGTCATTCTCGAGCTATGCATGCTACAAGCGTCAAAATCTTGATTTTTCTCGCCACCTATTGTATAAAAATTGGATTTTTTGTCATCTTCGATTCTTGCTTTTAATTTAATTTTTTTATCATTTTATAAAGGATGCTTTGAGCTTTCAGAGAATGTAAAAGATCTCCTATAACATCGCACTTTTCTTGATAAATTTTGATATACTTTGTGTTGACAGACACTTGTTGATTTTTTGTCGCGCGAAATAAAAACCGTTGGTGGAGACAAACGGATTTACATAAAAAATTGGGAAAGGTCTCGAAAGATGGACAAATAAAGGCGCTATCTTTTGAGAAAAAAACTTTCTTTACTTTCTAATTCTGACGAGAAGCTCGGATACAAAATCGAAAATCATATTTGTCGCACTAAATGTCCCGCAAGATTCTTTGAGTAATATCTATATTAAATTGCAAATAAAACCACACTTATTTTACATCAATTGATTCGTCTTTGGAGGCGCTATCGATCTAACTATTTACTATTCCTGAGATAATCCACTACGAATTGCAGAACAGCTTAAACCTAGGATATACGTACACTATATATCTGCTTCTCCAAAATCAACAATCTTTCTGAATTCTAGAGGGTACAACATTCTGCTGATATGCAGTTATGTTTCTTTACTTTGTTTTAAGGTTTGAAATCCAGAATTAGATCTAATTGTAAAGAAGAAACTCGAAGAATTCTACAGAAAGTGCTAATATTTTGTTGTGCAACTACCTCGGAGAATATATCTCTTCTCTATAATTCCTGTATCTCCACCATCGTAATAGTTTTCGCAAACGGTAGTAATATATTGCAAATCGTCCATTTATTTGTTGAAAGTAGTTTATAGTAAAATAGAGAATTAATCTAAGGACAAGATAATCATTCGAATAACTTCATCATATCACATTAACGTGACGTAGATCTACAAACAAAACAAAGACATGATCAATTCTTTCAAAGAAGACTGATACATGAATGTGAATCGATATTATTATAATGATATATGTATAT